ATGTCAAAACATTCTGGTACAGGCAACACTCCAGATAAGGTTTTGGGTCTTTGCGTAATTTACCCTCCAACTCCTCTTCGCTCACAACCTTACAACCCACGACTCATATAATCCGTGTGACCTACGGGACCGGCAAAAAAAACCATCACCCGAATCCCTATTCTTATGATCCACATATATATTGTGCTTCAATGCCCCAGCATTTCAAAGTGCCTTACATCTTATCTAAATCATTCCAATTCTCAGCTGTAGTTTGTTTTAGACTAGGGGGCTCCTATTCTTGGTTCTTTCTGTAAAGTCACGTAGAAGGGAAATAATAAAAATAAACAATAAAATTCTCACGACGTTTCGATTGCAACACAAGCAATCATCATCAGGTGTGAAAACCATGGCAAGAACATTTATTTTTACGTGGCGGGTTTTTTATTTTTTTATTCTTATTTTTTTATTTCCCTTCTAATTACTTTACCGAAAGAACCAAGAATATGAATCCCTGCAGTCACGAAAGCTTTAAATCGAAATTTAGGGGGCTCCTGATGACAGCCGACCCTGTGTAGAACAAAGTGTGGCAGCATCAGAAGACAAGTGGCCATATCACCGCCCTTACAGAATGTTCCAGCCCCAGTGCAGCTTCCTTATTCCAATTATCCGGGGGGGGGGGGGAGTTTCACAAGTGGAGTTGCGCAAAAAATGCAACCATTGTCCACAGGTTAGCTGACATTTCTTTCATTTGTATTACTGTCAAAAGCAAATAAAACGTCCGTGGATCTTCCTCGCTAGCATTTAAAGACATTGCTTTACTTGTGAGTTAAGCAGTGCCCATTGGCAGAGGTCAACCTATAAGACGCAATTCTGTTTCAGTATGAAAGAGATTACAGTACAATCTTGTTCTAAATCCATCCGATGCCGATGCTGGCGTGGTTAAATTTAGATTTAAAGCTTTCGTGACTGCATGGATTCATATTCTTGGTTCTTTCGGTCAAGTCACGTAGAAGGGAAATAATAAAATAATAATAAAATTAAACAATAAAAATTATCACGACGTTTATACTGCAAGACAAGCAATCATCTCATGATGATCATCTCATGATGATTGCTTGTGTTGCAGTCACACCTGATGATGATTGCTTGTGTTGCAGTCGAAACGTCGTGAAAATTTTAGTTTTATATTTTTTATTATTTTATTATTTCCCTTCGACGTGACTTTACCGAAAGAACCAAGAATATGGCATGGTTAAGTTTAATTATTTCACCGCTCACTGTCTTCCGGTGGAGTTGTAAATCTGTTCCAGAGAAAGTTCTCACAACCCTGAACAGGAAAAACCCACATTATGAATTGCAGCTGATAGCTGGACCGGAATTTTGGAAAATCCTGACAGCTTGACCTCGGCGAAATGGACACCGCTTAATTTGTGGGTAAATCAGTGTTCCCTTTTCAGATATCAATGCAAATGTCCACTCAAATATCCACTCTAAATATATTGCCAAATGCAAGAGTAAAATATAATCCAAGGATGTATCAGTCGCTGGGTGGCGAAATCTTTTGCAAACTCCCTAAAATACTAACAGCCTTCATGCTGCTGAAATGAAATGGCCACACGTTTTGCTATAGTTGGTGGTTTAGACAAGGCTGAGTGCATTGACGTCACACGATCGCGCCTCCCGCCTTCTACAAATCACCTTGCACATGTATCACCACGATTAATATCTCCCGTGGTTGTTTCTGCAGCCTTGTACTCTTTTAGATCACGCGAGTTTCTCATCGTCCACTAAGAGAGATTAAAATTGGTTTGAAAGTAAATTCAAAATGTTAAGGGTCAGTCGTTATAACACGGGAGCTGGGTCCCATTCTCCACCACGGGAGCCATTCACTACCACGGGAGCCATTCACTACCATGGGAGCTGGGTGACATTCACCACCACGGGAGCCATTCACTACCACGAGAGCCATTCACTACCATGGGAGCTGGGTCACATTCACCACCACGGGAGCCATTCACTACCACGAGAGCCATTCACTACCATGGGAGCTGGGTGACATTCACCACCACGGGAGCCATTCACTACCACGAGAGCCATTCACTACCATGGGAGCTGGGTCACATTCACCACCACGGGAGCCATTCACTACCACGAGAGCCATTCACTACCATGGGAGCTGGGTGACATTTACCACCACGGGAGCTGGGTGACATTCACCACCATGGGAGCTGGGTGACATTCACCACCACGGGAGCTGGGTGACATTCACCACCACGGGAGCTGGGTCACATTCACTACCACGGGAGCTGGGTCACATTCACCACCACGGGAGCTGGGTCACATTCACCACCACGGGAGCTGGGTCACATTCACCACCACGGGAGCTGGGTGACATTCACCACCACGGGGGCTGGGTGACATTCACCACCACGGGAGCTGGGTGACATTCACCACCACAGGAGCTGGGTCACATTCACTACCACGGGAGCTGGGTGACATTCACTACCACGGGAGCTGGGTGACATTCACCACCACGGGAGCTGGGTGACATTCACCACCACGGGAGCTGGGTCACATTCACCACCACGGGAGCTGGGTCACATTCACCACCACGGGGGCTGGGTGACATTCACCACCACGGGAGCTGGGTGACATTCACCACCACGGGAGCTAGGTGACATTCACCACCACGGGAGCTGGGTGACATTCACCACCACGGGAGCTGGGTGACATTCACCACCACGGGAGCTGGGTGACATTCACCACCACGGGAGCTGGGTGACATTCACCACCACGGGAGCTGGGTCACATTCACCACCACGGGAGCTGGGTCACATTCACCACCACGGGAGCTGGGTGACATTCACCACCACGGGAGCTAGGTGACATTCACCACCACGGGAGCTGGGTGACATTCACCACCACGGGAGCTGGGTGACATTCACCACCACGGGAGCTGGGTCACATTCACCACCACGGGAGCTGGGTCACATTCTCCACCACGGGAGCTGGGTCACATTCACCACCACGGGAGCTGGGTCACATTCTCCACCACGAGAGCTGGGTCACATTCACCACCACGGGAGCTGGGTGACATTCACCACCACGGGAGCTAGGTGACATTCACCACCACGGGAGCTGGGTGACATTCACCACCACGGGAGCTGGGTCACATTCACCACCACGGGAGCTGGGTCACATTCACCACCACGGGAGCTGGGTGACATTCACCACCACGGGAGCTGGGTGACATTCACCACCACGGGAGCTGGGTGACATTCACCACCACGGGATCTGGGTGACATTCACCACCACGGGAGCTGGGTCACATTCACCACCACGGGATCTGGGTGACATTCACTACCACGGGAGCTGGGTGACATTCACTACCACGGGAGCTGGGTGACATTCACCACCACGGGAGCTGGGTGACATTCACCACCACGGGAGCTGGGTGACATTCACCACCACGGGGGCTGGGTGACATTCACTACCACGGGAGCCATTCTCCACCACGGGAGCTGGGTGACATTCACCACCACGGGAGCCGGGTCACATTCACCACCACGGGAGCCATTCACCACCACGGCAGCCGGGTCACTTTCACCACCACGGGAGCCATTCACCACCACGAGAGCTGGGTGACATTCACCACCACGGGAGCTGGGTGACATTCACCACCACGGGAGCTGGGTGACATTCACCACCACGGGAGCTGGGTGACATTCACCACCACGGGAGCCATTCACCACCACGGGAGCTGGGTGACATTCACCACCACGGGAGCTGGGTGACATTCACCACCACGGGAGCTGGGTGACATTCACCACCACGGGAGCTGGGTGACATTCACCACCACGGGAGCTGGGTGACATTCACTACCACGGGAGCCATTCTCCACCACGGGAGCTGGGTGACATTCACCACCACGGGAGCCGGGTCACATTCACCACCACGGGAGCCATTCACCACCACGGCAGCCGGGTCACTTTCACCACCACGGGAGCCATTCACCACCACGGGAGCTGGGTGACATTCACCACCACGGGAGCTGGGTGACATTCACCACCACGGGAGCTGGGTGACATTCACCACCACGGGAGCTGGGTGACATTCACCACCACGGGAGCCATTCACCACCACGGGAGCTGGGTGACATTCACCACCACGGGAGCTGGGTGACATTCACCACCACGGGAGCTGGGTGACATTCACCACCACGGGAGCTGGGTGACATTCACCACCACGGGAGCTGGGTGACATTCACCACCACGGGAGCCATTCACCACCACGGGAGCTGGGTGACATTCACCACCACGGGAGCTGGGTGACATTCACCACCACGGGAGTCATTCACCACCACGGGAGCTGGGTGACATTCACCACCACGGGAGCTGGGTGACATTCACCACCACGGGAGCTGGGTGACATTCACCACCACGGGAGCCATTCACCACCACGGGAGCTGGGTGACATTCACCACCACGGGAGCTGGGTGACATTCACCACCACGGGAGCTGGGTGACATTCACCACCACGGGAGCTGGGTGACATTCACCACCACGGGAGCTGGGTGACATTCACCACCACGGGAGCCATTCACCACCACGGGAGCTGGGTGACATTCACCACCACGGGAGCTGGGTGACATTCACCACCACGGGAGCCATTCACCACCACGGGAGCTGGGTGACATTCACCACCACGGGAGCTGGGGTCTCCCCGCGCACCGTCGGCTTCCCGTGTCCGGACCCCGCGCCGCGCAAAATGCAAAACTCTCCGCTCGTTCCGCGCCCGCTGAGCGAGCGAAGGGGGGCAGTGGGGGGCAAGGGGAGGCAGTGGGGGGCAAGGGGGGGCAGTGGGGGGCCAGGGCAGGCGAGGGAGGTCGACTGTCACAATCGGGCAATCAACCCCGGGGGGACTGGCGGAGGAGGAGGGGGGACGACGCGTTCACCAGCGGGAGGCGAGTTTATTCAATGAAAGAGAGGAGACACGAGACTCGTTCGCGTTGACCTCACCCGCAAAGTGCTCCAACAGGGAGTCGGGGGGGGGGGGGCTCTTACCGCAGACTCCACCCCCTCCGAGGCCCCCCGTCAGATTTCCCACCACGAATCGGCAACGGTCATTCACGGAACGGCCGCGTCGACCAATCAGGGCGATACGGGGCGTGGGGGGGGTGTTGGGGGGAGGGAGGGGGTCTCTGCTGGCGATGTCGATGCGAGCTACGGAATGTAGAGTGACGTCAGTGCACGTGGCTTGTGAGAGGCTGCGGCCATGTCTGTAAGGGAGGGGGGTGAGGCGTCGAGGGTGACGATAGACTTGACCGCCATGTTGCATAGGGGTGTTTTTGTTTTTAACACACTCCCTTCCTGGCAATTGAACAGGAGGTGTTCAGATTTTCAGACACCAAATCGATAGGGCCCAGTTTCAGCACATGTGTCAGACCAGAGAACGTCAAAAGACGAGCAGTACAAAGACAATGCCAATATTAGAGAATTTATAGCTCGGGTGAGCAGCTATACAATGCGACCTTTTTGCCAAGTTCAAGTTCAAGTTTATTTATTAGGTATAGCCCTGTGAGCCATTCAGCTCTTGCCAGTATCAAGTATGAAAAATAAGAATGTGTTTTACCCTTTCTGGCAATAAAACTGGTGTTTGAACATCTCAACTACCGGTTTTATTTGCAGAAAGTGTGAATCATATTCTTATTTAAATTGATTTTTTTTATTGCCAGAAACGGTAAAACCTTTTCTTACTTTTTCATACTTTGATATTGGCAAAAAGGTCCAATCACGTAGGCAGTAACGCCCATCGCTTTTACAAGACTAAACTAAACACTTTTTAAAAAATATATATATATATATACCAGGTACTCTTGGTTATTTAGGTAAAGTCACGTAGGTAAAGAAATTTTCAAAAAAGAAAAAAAATACAATTAAATAAATAAATATTGTATTTTATTTATATTTTTTATTTTCTATACCTACTTGACTTTACCGAAAGAACCAAGAGTATGGATCTTTGCAGTCACGAAAACTTCAAATATAGAATATATACCAGGTGTAAGGCCCACTTGAGCTATTTTTTTCAGAAGCGACCTGGCCACAAATGATAAGAGCTCAACGACGTGGCTTATCCATCACGTGGATATGTATCGCTGCCAAAATACTCGAAACGCACGTTGATGTTGATTCTATATGGCACTGACAAACCGGAGGACCCGGGCAAAAAATCCACGACCAAGGTGAGGGAGAGAAGCATGCAAACTATATATTTCCAGCAGGTGGTCAGGGTCGGAATCGAACCCACGACCTCCTGTAATTCCGTCACAGTTCCTATGATCACTGTTTCATTGCTTTCATGGCTTTATTTTGGTGATTTCGAAAAGTGTATTGGTTTGGCCATGTTTGTTTGTTGTAGTACGGAGTTAGACTGATGGCCTTAATCTAAGTTGTCTTGTGGTTGTTGTTGTTTGACTTGCATCCCACTGGGATTTTTGCACAGCGTTGATGTACGGTGTTTTTTCTGCAATTTTTTGCCGTCTTTTCTTGGATATTCTGTTTGCACTTAGTCACATATTCACTTTAAGATGTTTTCTTGTTCATGTTTTTGGTTTTTGTTTGTTGCGGTTGCACCCGATTCAAGAGCCGAATGGCTCACAGGGCTACACCTAATAAATGAACTTGAACTGTATACCAGGAGAGGTAGTTAACATCTCGCCACCGCGGCACCCTATCGTGTGTTGTCAATGCACAGGGTGATCCAGATGTCTTGTGATCCCCCAATTAATTGACCCCGAACATGTTTCTCTACTTTGCTTATACATTTCATGTTTTAACACCCACTGGTATACCAAAATAATAAAGTTTTAGAGAATTTAACGAGGGTTACAAGACACGTGGGACCAGCTTGTAGAATCAGAATATGTATTTAGACTGGAGAAAACTGACCACAATCATCATGAACACTGTCTTATAGCAGGAACATCTATAACGGGCTGAAGTTCCAAGCAATGGTAACCAGAAGTTTGTATTTATCGTGGAGGAATTCCACTGAGCTATGAAGCTCTTCTCTCACAGGTGTCCAGTAAGGGCGGGTGAGCAAAGCTACAACAACAAACAATACGGGGGAAATGATAGGGAGTGCAAAGTAGAGAAAAAGTAGTAAGTATGTAAATAGTTTAAAGCGATTTGAAGCATGTTTTATTTGGGGGGGGCAGTGCTTTGTAACGTCACATTTGAGGGGGGGTCTGACTTTTTGTGACGCCATGTGACGAAGCGGGGGGGGGGGGGGTCATAAATCGTCCAAAATCGCGTGACGTCATTTATGGACGGCCCCTTATAACGATTGTAAAACAAAAACATAATAAGGGGTTAAATCCCCATCCATAGTATATGCAATGATGAATGGTTTCTCAAAGCCGCCGACATCCCCCTGGATCTTAGGATGCAACAATCCATTTAACTTCCCACACAAAGCTATTTTCATTGCCCTATCTCTATAGTGGTCGTCCACTGAGGCATGTTCATTCCTTTGGCTATCATTCAGTTGTCAGTCTCGACCATCGTTCATCCCTTCCAGCGAAATGTCCAGCACATGCCCCTTTTGTGAAGTCAATGTCTAACTTGCATTCCCTAAATCGATTGTTCCTCTTTCTGTCACAAGCATGCACCTAGCAGCTTCTGTTCCATTTTCTTTATAAACGAAGGCTAGTTTCACCAACTAGCGTGTCCATGTTTAACCACATTGCAGAATACTCTTTGGTTTTTTATGTAAAGTCACGTAGGTAAAAAAATAAAATAAAAATAAATTACATCACGACGTTTCGGAGGCAACACAAGCTTATGTACAGTAATTTTGCTGTGATGGTGCCACCTGAAGATGGAAGCTTGTGTTGCCTCCGAAACGTCGTGATTTAATTTTTATTTTTTTTACCCTACGTGACTTTACCTAAAAAACCAAAGAGTATAGACCCTTGCAGTCACGAAAACTTCCAATCTAGAACACATTGTAGAATGCCTGCGAGGTGAGGCTGATGTCACGACAGATCTGACAAACGCACGAAAGCCATCCCCTGGTCTGCCGACTGCATGATGCTGATGGACATTAGATCCATCCACCGTTCGCCTGGACGGATAGAAACAGGGCACGGTGTGCATGAGAGTCGTCCTCCATGCTAGCCACAAACCAAACAGAGGGAAGTCGTCTCCAACGGACGTTGGTGTCGCGAACAGTAATACCATCTGACGTCAAGAAGCTGTCAATGACACCATGTAAGTAGGCACATTTAATCAACTTGCATTGATTAACAACGTTCTATTTTTAAATCCTTTATATTAAGTTCGCATGCTTGCTTGCTTGCTTGCGTGCTTGCTTGCTTGCTTACGACCGTGCAAATCTTTCGGTCGTTTTTTAACCCACTTCCCGTGATCCAATCGAGCTGACATTTTGCACACAGACTCGTTGTGCGTGACAATTAATTTTCGTGAAAATTTTTGTTTCCAAAATTTTACACTGTTGAGGGAATTTTTTTTAAATATTTAATTACCAATTGTTTAATGCTGCCAGAGGACGAGAGGACTCGCCGCCCCGATGCCACGCATATAAAGGATTTATAGTGAAAAACTTTGTTTTAACGGGTTTACTTGTAGTGTGTTTTAAGTAATCAAGTTCAGCTTCACAAAAGCAATCTACCCTCACCCACCTCGTTACAGGAGTTCAACGTTTTGATCACGGTCCACCTTCATAATTGCCTCAACGATGCAAATTTTGGTTCAAGATAAATATTAGCATAACACAAGTCATGTACAAGTTAGAATTTTGTTTTAAAATATCTGTTGAAGCGAAACGACTTTATTTAAATTCACTACTTAAAATAATTGTTTTTCAACCAACTGAAAACAGGTCCTGATTAGTGTAACGTGTGGTGACAGTTACGGGCATACCTCCATACACCTTTGGGGTTGTGTTCTCGAAAATATGAACGTAAAGTGAAACATCATACATCGAAACTTTTTTCCCATAAGGTCCCATTATATAACTTGAGATATGTTCCTAAGAAAAAAAATCTGCCCCAAAACCTACTAAATAACACTTTTCAACACAACTAACATATTTTCTCGAATAAATATGGAGAATAATAACTGGACATGGAATTCATAACACCGTACCGTACACTATACGCAGAAACTAGTACACTCTGAGTGAGGTAATGCTACATTGCCCTCTACTGCCCAAGATTCCTACTATACCTGTTTTATTTTGCTTGGTGGTCGCCCATACAAACCCTATTTAATCTCTAAGGCAGCGGTCGGGAACCTATGGCTCGCGAGCCATATATGGCTCTTCCGGTGACGGCATATGGCTCCCAGACAATTTTGAGTTGAAAAAAAAATCAGTTTGGAACTGATTTTAAAATACTTGTGATATTGCTTAATAATACTGTGTAATTTTAAAGTAAACAGAAATTCGTTTTGAAGATAAATTTCACGGGTCACGGGTCCCGTGACCAGAAGTCGCATTAAAAGTAAGACATATTTAATTTATTATACGTTAAAAATACTATATGGCTCTCAATGAAAGATATTTAGAAATATTTGGCTTTTATGGCTCTCCCAGTCAAAAAGGTTCCCGACCCCTCCTCTAAGGTCTAACTAGATCCGGTGCATTTGGACTGATTTGGCCATAGGTGGAGCACAAGCACAATAAAAAAAAAATCTCATCACATTCGTCATTAACAGTGCCTCAAACATATAGAATAGACTGACGTTTCTCCTGAAGGAGACCTTTTTTTACAAACAATGACTGTGAAGCTTTATCTGAAGGCTGACACTAAGGCTCATACAAAATTAAGGGTGCTGTTTCCTGTCTCCTTTTACCCCAAATGTCTCTGCTGCATCTCTGAAACTGCAACTTTTCTAAAAGATTTCTACCTGTCTGTGTCAGTCGTTCTGCCCTTTCCACTCTGTGAAAAACATTGGCAGATTATACACAGTACTGTATAATTTGTTAGGACATGTGAACGATGAATGCGGTGCGGTTATTTATTTATTTCTTCATATGTACTTGCAAGAGAAATGACTTGGTATGCAAAAAGCTCACAGATTTCACTGGAAAATTCTGACATTGTGAGACGCTCGATGGTAAACATGTTTATCAATAAAACCATTTTAATCACGTTTAGTTACAATGAATCAATCATAATAGCAATGTCCAGCTTTCAGATGTACTGAACCTTTGTTACCGAAGGCATCAACTTTGCAGTATTTGTATGTTTTGATATTGCATTTGCACCACTCATTTCCCGTTCAAAAGAGACATGGCTCCTATCTCCTGTTAATGTGTTGGTTTTGTAAAACAAATCTGTGCGAGTTTAAACGTACCAAAATGTAAAATTTGCATTCTGAACGCTTGTTGTCCCTAATCTACAAAGAGTACACAGTAGTTTCCATATTTCACATGCAACTGTTGTGATTAGATTTCTTAATTCACAATTTAAAGTTTACCAGTTAAAATTGTTGATAATAAAGGTTTTTGGGTTAGATCGCGTTATTTATAAATGTGTCGTAACCCTCCACCACCCGACACGGCCAAACAGGAAAAAATGTGTCACGTTTACAAAGGACAAATAGTTCACTACTTTAGCCCACCGGTGTGTTGAAGAGTGAATCAACATCATTTACAATTTTGAGTACGACGTTTCGCTGGTAATTACATCCAGCATCATCGGGCAATTTGCCAGAATGGTGAAGCCCTCCACTTGCTCCCGGTCTTAAATAGAGCAGCACGGTGAGGTCATCGTTCAATCTGGTGCAGTGATTTGAGGCGGAGAGGGGGAGGATACTGTAATTATATAATAGATTGGTAATCAATCCATTGTTATTAATTAGTATTTGTTTCCCCTATAAGGAATTGTAAATGTAATATATATTTTATTTAATAATACGCTTCCAGGCCGCACTAAGCCTGTAGCTGTCAGAGCGATAAAAGTTATTTGTATTTCTCTCAATTTCAATGGATTCTCTAATTAGTCTTAGCCGGTAGTAATTAGTTTTACACAACACTTCAACGTTATCAAAATCAATTGAGTGTCCTTGTTGACAAGCATGTTCTGCCACTGCCGACAGTTGTGATAATGTAATATTTATTTGGTGTTCTTTTAGTCTTCCGCTGATGTTACGTCCCGTCTGACCAATATAGCATCTGCCACGTTAACAGTTAAAATTGTGTTTGCGAGTCAAATTGTTCCATTATAATGTGAATAATTAATTAAAACTTGCAACACGCACGGTTTTCGACTCAAGAGGCACGAGTAGGAACCACGGGTCAAGCGCAGAAGTCGCAACCGGGTACCCGATACCCGGCTACCTGTACCCAGCCGGGTACGGGTACCCGTTTGCAACCCTGGCGCGGCCGGGTACGGGTACGGGTAGGCCGTGAGTCACTGGTGAGTCACCGTTTGTCACTCATTTCGGGTAGGGTACGGGTATGGGTAGGGAACGGGTACCCGTACCCGGCCAGGTACGGGTACCCATTTGCGACCCTGGTGCCGCCGTGTACGGGTAAGGAATCAAAACCCGTTTGCGACCTCTGGTCAAGCGGTAAATACAACAGCCACGCCCAGAGCCAGCACCAATCCCTCCCGCCCCCCTCCCCCCTCCAAAGCTCTGCAGTCTTCTATATATAGTGTGTTCTAATCAGTTGCACACCAAAACTTGGAGGCAACACGTTCCAAGATTAACTATGTACATTCCGAGCGACTATGCACATTACGGGTTAACTACGTAAGGTGGTGACTACCATCCCTAACCACCTAACCCAGGGGTCGGCAACCTACGGCTCCGGAGCCGCATGCGGCTCTTTACGGGCTGCTTCTTGACGATGAGTACGTATGTACTCAGATGCATTGCGGCTCTTGAAATACTGAATTTTGTACCGAATTGGAAAGAAATGGCTCTTCTTGTTATTTTGGTTGCCGACCCCTGACCTAACCACTTGAACGGAATCTCTATGTGGTTGAACCTGCACAGCCAACACGTCGTCGGGTCGTTTTGTGCGGCGACCGAAGAGCGAGGATCGAAGAAGGTGACTTCTTTCCCGGGTTGAACAGCTATGCTCCCTGTCGGGACTCGGCTTATATCAGGGGCGGAGCCCCTGGTCACACCCCCTTCTCGATCCTTCGCGGAGGCTCTGGGTCCACATCACGTGGCCCGCTCGCCCCCTTCTGGGGGTCCCCGTGCCCCTTCGTCTGATCACGTGCTCTCGCGGGTTCACCCAGACTGTCATGTCTTGACCCGACCTTCGTGACATCCGGAGTCTGCCCTCTCGTGAGCCCTTATGTGTAGTACACCCACTATGGCCATGGAACGGCTCATTTATGTCGTTACATGTATGTAGTGGTGTTATCAGCCAATTTGTGAGTGTTTTCAAATGGAAGGAAACCAAAGAACCACGAGAAAACCCACAACTTGCAAGGGGGCAACACTCTATCCCATACCGAAAGAATAGATTATCAACCGTTGGCTACATACGTTGCGAACGAATCTAGATTTGAAGTTTTCGTGACTGCAGGGATCCATACTCTTTGGTTCTTTCGGTAAAGTCACGTAGATATAAAATAAAATAAATGACGACGTTTCGGGCGCAACACAAGCGTCCGTCATAAGGTGGGACAACTTCCTGTGGTTTGTGTTGTCATTTGATTTATTTTATACCTACGTGACTTTACCGAAAGAACCAAAGAATATGGTGCGAACGAAGTTCAACATACATCCATAAATACACAATCAGATGGAGTCCACATTAGGCTGTACCGCCTTGTCTTGGCAAGCCAGGGCATGGCACATCTATGCCTTTTCCCCATTCAGTGTTGCGAAAATCAGAACCAATTTTGAGGCGGTGAATAGTAGGGAGACCGAGAATGCATGGGACATCGGGAACACTTGGGTTTGTCCAATTGCCACCATTGGGTTGGAGCAGGGAGATACTTTAACTTCATTTATACAGTATATAGTGCTGTTCAATATACAACACGTTGAGTCTGTGGCACAGGATGTTGCTCAAGAGTGGCTTCCACGCGGAAGCCCAAAATGCGGTAGTGGGGATATCTCTGTCAAAAGCCAGCAGCAATCGTGGTGAGCTTCACGTGCACACAACTCGGTCTCTCGCTATCGCGGAGACGATCGGCAACGCACCCCGAGCAGCTGGTCTGCCAGGCTGCACACAAGCACACCTAAGCAGGTACGTGTGAACTTGCAGCCATTGAGACTCAAGGTGGAATGACCTGTCAAGCTCGGTTGAAAGTTTAAGATTTATATTCTTTGATGACACGGACAACATTTCAAGTTTGAACGAAAAAAAAACATGGCACGTTATTTGTAACTTTTCACAAAATGTATTTATTTTAAAAGGGCAATTATTACGAGTAGGTGTAGTATGTTAAAATGACCTTTTATTGACAGTTGTTTTAACATGATACATTCGGTCTTGTGCCGTTAATTCTGATTAAACCTGCTGCTTCCTCATCGCTCACCTACTTTTGTACTTGTCAGTAATGTTTGTGCCTTGTGCATCATGGCAAGCTACGTAATTATGCTTCACAATCCAAACAACACACGTCTGCTGATGGATGTATGCGAGCGTGCCTGGGTATTGATAGAGGCAGGTTTACAGATGGGCAGCGGATTGGTATTCTTGTTTTGCTTGATGAATGACTGAACGATGGTTTATGAGTTATCAATGATTAATGGTGATTTATGTCGGGGTTATTATTCAAAGACTGACGGTTGAATAACAGCTTATATATCTCTGATGTCCGGTTCATGACTGATACGTAACTCATTGACAAATTAACCTTTTGCAATAGATTACATATTGATTATTGATATGAATGCGGTAAATGGGTGCGGAACTTTACATTTATTCCTCACACCACTAAAACACGCTGACCAGACGTTTGTTTGGGAGAGGTGGTAGTACATACACTTTACCCCACCGCACGTGACCTGCCAACCGACGAACTGTTGCCCTCAATGATGCAGCTGGGTGGACAGGCAGGGAGAAATAAGAAATCTGCACCGTTATTTCAACTGCTGCGCAGGGAGATAAAACTAGTACCCTCTGGATTGCAAGTTCAGTGTGCCAACTATTACACCACGGCAACATCCCTGATTGATATATAAAAGGCTAATAAATTGCTTCCTAAATAGATTCTAATGATGATGATTGTTATTGGTCCACACAGGTGAATGATGGATCTTCTCAATAATCAACATTCCCAAGTCCAATGCCCCAATGCAGGTAGGAGAAAGAGTCTGTCTCACCAAGGCAGCTCACAAATCCCACTCCAGCACTTCATCCACTTTACAGTGCAGTCAAATCAATTGCTTGACATATAACCAGCCTTGGAGCTTATTTCACCATTTGCAACAGAATCGTAGATTTTGAAACCTTGAGGAAAGAGGCCGTTACTCAATTGTCATTGTTTAGCTGCAGGTTATCTTTATGTATCTGATTGTGACGCTGACACCATTTATGCCAATTCTGTAGAGTTCCCGTCATGAATGCATTCGCTTAATCGTCGCATCAATTACAAAGTGCAAATGAAAACACACTGACATCATTTGTCTCGTAATGCTCCACAATCAGTGGTTTTTAACCTTCACTGCAGCCTTGCACCCCTTTTCTTATCATCGTTAAAACATTTATAATGTCAATAAATACATCGATTTAATGAAAGAAAGTAGTTGTAAATCTTGACTTACAGCTTTCGTAACTGCAGGAATTAATATTCTTTGGGTCTTTCGGTAAAGTCACGTAGATAGAACAATTATAATAAAAATATCACGACGTTTCGATCGCAACACAAGCAATCGTCATCAGGTGAATTATGGTGTGCAGTGCTGTCTCCAACTCTGACTTTATCCACTCAATCCCTCTGGCCTTCCTAGTTAGGTGCTACGAAGAAGGGCCAATTGCCAAAATGTCACTCAATACGGGTATATTTTGCCTTTGAAGGGCACGGTGTTATTGAAAAAAAATCGAGGTTTTTGTTAATTGTGCTTGTACACCACTGCCAGCTCAGAGTCACCAAACAATGTGTATGTGCACATGGATGTTCAGAGGCGAAGCTAAGCCTTTGTCTGCATGGGCACGGTGCCATCCTCATTCCCAAGCGATGCCGGGAAACGCCGCACCAAAACATTTGGGCCACTGCTTGTTTCGTTTCCATTCTCAATTAAAATGATTTTGTTCGTCGTGTCTCCTGTCCAACCTGTGTAGAATTTCCCCCCACTATTCTGCACAGGCCACCGTCTCTGGTGTTGGCATTGCCAACAGTAGTCGCTACACGTTGCGTTTGCTCAGTTACAATGCTATGCCTTACCACCCTCAAGTGATTGGGGTTGCGGGCAAGTCGACACATCGCGAACACACTTTTGTGCGGTTTCTTTTTCCGCTGCGATAACAATTTCAAATTCCCATCTGGCTCGGTGAATGTGCGGGACTGCCTTTTCCACTACGATATCACTTCTCAAATAATCGTTTTACTATACCTGAAGAGTCATACATTCAATAAGTCATTTGTATGACCGTCATCTCGTTGCAACTATTGAGCCCAGGAAGACAATAACAGCTACACTCACATGGCACATTTAATTTGTTATCAAAGTCATTAAGTCACAGATTCTCCCTGCTTAACTGAGCCTGGGACATTTGTTAATACCTATTGTAGACGCTAAGCCAATAGCGTAGAGTAACTACTGAATATTAGCTATCCGAGTGGGACAATGCAGTATATTCGGGAGAATGACATTAATGGGTCTTTATCATCCACTTTAATGAGGAAGAAACAGTGGTGATATCCCACGCCATTAGTGGTGGAGGTTGTTTGAAAGCCCCCGACAAAACCCATTGCAGCAATCACTGGACTATCCACCATCACACACTGGAGAGCAGGAATGCTGTGAACTTTACCGCTTCCCTTAAACATTCTGGATATAAATCGTTGAGTGTTTAACATGCAAAAAAGCGGTGTTCGCGCTGCGGTTTATACGTGTACGTTATATAACTGGCACGTGCTTGATAAAGCTTCCTATTATTGGTCACGACCGACGTGCCTGCTCTCTCCCACTTCACTTCTGCCGAGGCCACCCTTCCCGAATGAGCCGATTTATCACTTCTCAACGACCTCTTCAGCTAAGGAAATGAAAAATTACCATGCGAACAGAAGTCGCCTCGTGTACGAATCTTTGCTTCATTCCATATGCGCATCATGAGCAGTGACAGCACTGAGACAAATACAGTAAAACAAAAAATCCACTTCTTCAATTCGATCCAACATTAAAAACCCCACGCATTAAAATGTTTTATTTCTGTCTGGATGACTTCATACACAAATGAAAACCGTGTATAAAATGTATTTTAATATTTAAAAAGGGGATGAAATTAGCATTTTTTTAAAGACATTAACGTTTAATTATTGTCCATCGATTGATTTATTTTCTGATTTAATATTTATCCACAAACACTTTTCTGGATATGATTCAAGCAAGTTCTTACCCGCCCCTACTGAACATTTGTGATACATTACTTTATAGCGCATCAGATTCCTCCAGTATAAACAAATATTCCGATTCTAAAGTTACATATTACCTTGCACCACTTATAAAATGTGCAATGATATATCCACACCATTCTGACTTTTTAATATTATGAAAAATAAGTTATGGTAATTCATGATCTCAATGACTAGATTTGTCCCAGCTGTTTGGAAAAGATTTTTCAACTTCACCAGTATGGCCAAAAGTACTCATTGACTTTAGTGCACAATACAAAGCAGTAGGATTCAGTTGACAAAGCTACATAAATCTGTCCACTCACTGGTAAGCCTTCTAACGTGTTATAATGACGACGTACAAAAAAGGAAACATAAATGCAACACATTACTCTGAAGAGCAAAAAAAATAATCCATCCTCCTAAACCTACGTTTGACCTTGCAAAACACTGTCAATCATTTCAATAGCAGCCCGAGCCAAATCTGACTTAAGGTGCCCCGTGAAAAATCCATGGGCTGATAACGGTCCTTTTCCCATCAGGCCATCATCGCCACCTGTGAATACGTGTATTAATGTGCACTGCTTGCCTGTTCAATAGTGCTTGCGCCACAGCCTCTGCTGTGATGCATGCACCCCATTAAAGATGCAGCTCTATGTTTCAAGGTCACGGTTGAAGCACATTGGCAGGCTCTGGGCCAATGCTAAGAGGACATTTATTGCAAAACTGCCGCATTTAATCACCCGTGCAGTTTCTAAATTATTTGCCATGTAAATCTCTCGTCACGTGTAGGAAAAAAAAATGCAGTTACATCTGGAACTTCCAACTTCATCTTTGCAACTCTTGTATATGCTTCCACACGGTAACAGCGAGGTCAGGGACGAGACGAGAGCCGGGGTTTGTGAAATAATTTCTGCTAGGTTTATGTTTTCCATAAATTTTAGTGCAGGCGTGAGCATCGAAAGACGAGAAATAGGCGCGTCTTCGTTAAGCGCAGACTCAATTAGCAACACGTGAACATGGCCACGTAATTAACAGAACAACCGACACTGTACTCAGGAAGCTGTCAATCCAATATTTTAATTGGGCCTCGAATAAACACATTGTTTGTTGATACTGTATATTCTTGGGTCTTTCGGTAAAGCCACGTAGATAGATCAAATTATACTGCTTTGGCAATGTCACCTATGAGTCACGTGTGTTTACACCCACTTGCAAATATTACTGGTAGGAACCTCCTGGTTACACCAGCCCACAGGGGATTATTGTGTCCGTCCGTCCGTCGTGCATCCAAAAATGAGAGGGGAGGGGCTGGGTGGGGAGGGGCTGGTGGGGAGGGTGGGGCTGGGTGGAGGGTGGGACGGGTGGGGATGGGTGGGGAGGGGCTGGTCACCCCGTGGTGCCGTTATAAAACTCAACGTTTAACCTACTCACGCCGGCTTGTGCCCGCCCTCACAGTCGGGCATATTTGCGGAATACACCACGCTGCCGTTGACCCTGGCCATTGACCGAGCAACCCAACGTTCCTACCAGCTCCCTCCGCAGGAATGTGTTCTACTGCATCTGCAGTAATCAAGCTGGGACTTCAAGAGTAACAGAAAGGGTGTTTATAAACGAACTATGTTTCAAAGTAGTACTTTGCCAATCTTCCACAGGATCTGTAAAACCACACTTATTTCGACATTGGCATGTTGAGCTGTGTGGTAATTTCAATAGAAAGTGCTGTTGTGTAATTGTTTTAACACGTAAATCTTTATTAGATGGGACAAGCCAGGTAAACAGACGTAATAATTTTCTGGGGAAAATAAATCAGTAAGCGACTGACTGACGTATGCATTGGGGAATGCAGCGTACATCACTTGCGCATACTTTGGTCAATTACCTGAAGAATAAGTTCAACTTGTAACACGCACAGCGTGTGCTTACGATTGAAGAGGAAACGACTCGGAGGCACGAGGAACCACAGCCAAGCGGGAAAGGCAGCCAGATGGTGAGGCGACCACGATTGCCCACACGCTGTGCCCCTCCCCACCCCCCATATATCAAGGTGTTTCGAGCCGATTAATGATCGTTTACATGCGGGAGGAAACGGAAGCACCTCGATGCACAGGGGAAGGGAGTTTCACAACATTTGTGGGCGATCCACCAACGTTTGCCTCCACAGTGTTGGACTACTGTCACGTGCCCACGCTGCACGGCTTATATACGGACAAATATCATTCACATGCTGAGAAGCGACTGCTGAAAATCCTCGAAGAGGAATTGTCAAAATTTCATGCTGAGTTGCTAAGTAAGGGGTGTATTTTTCCTGCATGCGTAAGTGACCTCAATGTGCGGTCGTGGAATGCATGGGGTTCAAGAAAATGTTTTAGATCATTTTTCGACTTTACCGAAAGAACTAAGAATATCGCTCAATCCCGTTAAGACATTCTACGTGTCACGTGTTCAGTGGCTGGGAACGTCCACGATGACACGGTAGCAGTGCTTTCAGTTTAAGCCACTGGAAAGTCAACTCGAACGCAAAACGTGATTTCACCATGGCCAGATAAATTACTTTAATGCAATTTCATAGATTCTACTGGGAGAACACGAGGCCTTATTCATTTAGGCTTAACATTTCTCAACCCTAATTACCGCCCTAACAGCTGTTGTTCTGGTATTCCCCAGGTTCTTATTCCCTTAATTATACAGTTATCTTTGTAAGTAAATGTTCGCGTATTGGAGATTATTAATATCAGCTCGTGCTTGTGCTGGGCAAAGTGTATGAGTGAGTCATTGCGAGATGAACACAACACTGATGAACACAACACCGATGAACACAACACCGTGGCTTGCGATGCTTGAGTTCCAGCACAGAAGGGAATTAAACTTTGCGTTGCCCGAACTCTGTTGAGTTTCATTATCCCGTTAAAATTACCGCGGCGCTTTGCTTAAAACATATCTGGCTTCTGGAATGCAATTACAATTGTGCCACTATGTTAAAGAGAGATACAGACCAAAATAATTGGGGGTTTTGTTGTTGTAGAGATATAACAAAGGCTGTGCATTCGGGGCTGTCTGGAATAACTCTGAAGCTTCATTATAAAATATTCAGTGTATGAGATTGTCTATTAGCAGTGCTCTGCTCGTGATGTCTATGCAGAGGTGTAGTAAAGGTTACGATAGTCATGCCATATAGACGTATTTAATTTGCTTGACTCAATAATAAAGCTTTAAACTCTCTGTTTTTGGACAGACTGGGATACATACAGTCTACATACATATCAAGATAAGAGCTATTGACCTTTGGTTTGCATCTGAGTTATTACGCCAGGCCTAGTAAGGGCCATGATGTATCTGAAACACCCAAGGTCAGGCAGTGAATGGCTTCCTGTAAGGGAGTTGCTCAGTCATCTGTGAGTATCGTGCAGTAGTTTGAGTGGTTTTTTTCCATATACTGTGCATGAAACTTCTCCAAACACTCCAATTTCCTCCCACATAAAAAAAAATACAGCAACAAAAACCGGTCACCAAACTTATCCTGGGAAAAAAAATTAAGTTTATTCAACTCAATTGACCGTGGTATCCAAGTAGAGACCTTAACAAAAAAACTAACACTATTATTTCTGGGCAATGGTCCTGAGCCTACCATTCATCCACGGTCAATAAGACTGAATACGGTGTACTACTTTGTGGAGGTCAACAGTGGCCATTCAATGAAGCACCCGGCACAAATTATGGCAATCTGGAATTTCAACCACAAACTCGGGGACCGCCAACAGAGATAAGCCCCGCAACCATTGCTCAATTCCTTTTTTTACAACAGTTGTTTTTTTTGCTTTGTCTCTTTCCATAATTGTGCAAAATGCATCGTGTTAAGACAAATCCATTTCCATTTGGAACTCTCAGAAAGCAGTATATTGCCCTACATTAGAGAACAGTTTGTCGAGCACAACAAATTTCCTCTCGTGCATTTTAGGCGATGCCTTTCATCCCTTGCCCAACGATTATCATAGGGCCCATTGTGGCACATTACACACAACCGAAAATGTCATCGTTATTGGTCGTGGAATTTGACAAATCAAGTGAAAACCCAAAACAATCGCGATGGATATTTTTTTTTCAATAAGTGATCGCACTGAGACCATCAACACTTTAGACCATCAATTTAAAATCATGGGAGTACTGTGCCCTACTTGTTTGAGACCAGCACATCCCTGGGATTTATCTTGTAGGCAGAGGCCAAGCGGAAGGTGGCCTGGGGCTGCTGAACAGGCGTCGTGGCGCCATCAAGCAGGCTAAGGTCAAGTACGTGAAGGGTCACGCGTTCGTCACCACCTTCTTCCCACAGCCCACGTTCTGCTCCGTCTGCAAGGAGTTCGTCTGGTGCGTACGGGTCCCGGACCCACCCACTCCCTATCGCCAACCTAGCCAGGATCTACGGGGAATAATGACATTCGGTTGCCAGAATAGGGACCTGCTTGAATCTGCCGTTAAATAGCTCGTTGGCTCGTTGTGCAATATTTGTAAAGGACATCTCCCTCTACTCGTTCTCTGCGATATTGACGATTTGGTTTATTGTTGCTGTGCTCACGCACAACCACGGATCTCGCCTTGTAAGATAGCCGGGCAACTGGTGAAACTTAAATCAAATAAACGTGAATTGTGTGGCACTCGATTCACAGTTTGGAAAGTCACAAGTTTTAATGGAAAATGGAGATTTACTCACCCCCATCATCCTTATGGGGGTCAATATATCTAAAATCACTTTTAGACTTTGCTTGCACTGGCAATTCGGATTTTGCACCACTGCTGCAGGGCCATCAGTGGTTATCAGTAGCACCCAACCCTAGTTTGAGTATTTTTACCCTTTTACGCCTGGTTAAATGTTACATATGTACTGTAGGTCTATGCGGTGATTGGTAATGTTAAGTTGTGCAATCAAATATAATGCTGTCACCTAATAAACGATGAGGAGATCAAATCTTCCAGCTGTGGATAGATCAGAGATGATGATTATATTTTGTTTTTAGGGGCTTGAACAAGCAAGGATTTCAGTGCAAGGGTAAGTAGAATATTTTGTAAGTTCTTTATATATAAAAAACATCGACATTTTGTCCATTCGTTTTGTGTAAAGTGACTCTTTTTGAGTATCATTTATATACTTGAAATATTTAGAACCCACAAAAAACAATGCATCTTTGCAAAGTGTAGCCTGGGCATAAATAATTCAAATGTATGAGGAATAAAATAAAGCACCCCATTTATTGAGACATGAGTGATGCAGACATTAGGCTTGGTGATTTTTTTTGGGGGGGTTCTAACGTCAAAAGGCAATTTACAGCTCGCGGATAATGAGTGAATTCATAAGACGATGAATGAATGGAACAAAGCCAGCTATAATAGGCCAACAACAGTGCTTGGATCCATATATGCAATGTATATGTAAATCTAATGGCACATGCGGGTTTAAATAAAATCAATAACTAAGACTTATTGCCCAGTGCTAATCCTGGATGAAAGCCTTTTCTACGTTGTTTTTTTCTGATTGACTGCATGCCCAGTCACAATGGGCTATGCTGTTCCACGCTACTGTCACCTCTTCGTATTTCTGTCCCATAGCATTTCTATACATTCCACTACATTCACCTTTTCCAGAAACTGGTATTCCCCTCTGCTGTACATTTTTGCAACCCACTACATAAATTACAATCGTGTTGGTAATTAATCTATATTTAAAACAACATCTATATAATAATCAGAAAAAATCAGGTAGGGTTTTGTGTGCAGACGAAGTGAGTTAACACTTTAACTCGTCAACTATGATTTTTGTTATATTACTTTAAAGTGACTGACCCTACGAAAGTGCTTCTGAAAGTCACAGGCATGCGAACCATTATATCTCTCTTGTGACGCCGCTGAATTGCAGTCGCACAGTGCGAATTAAGATGTATTGGAGTGATGTTGCAGTCATGCCACTTGACTGAAAAAATGGTAGCATGTGACCATAAATTGAAAACCTTTTGTTTACGCGTAAAAAAAAAACCTTCAAACCTCTGTCACATAGTTTATGATAGATACCTACCTAGGTAGGAACTGGGGCATGCATATTGGACTTATTTCGCACCGGACGCAGCCAACCGTACTAATCGGAGGTGCGGGATCATGGTAGATAAGAGTCAGCTGAATGGAGAGTTCCTGTGAAGCAGTGTGACCCTGTCTGCAGAGTGCAACGCGTCGAGTCACAAGCGGTGTGTGGACAACGTACTGGCCCGGTGCACGGGGTCTGCAGACACCAACAGGCAGACGGAGGTGACAGCTTCTTCCGCATTAGACGCACGCCACTCTTACCCCTCTTATACGGCTGGCGTATCCGAGCCGAGCCAGCAAGAGGGGGTTATTTGCGACACAAATGGCTTTCCCCATCGTCTATTTGTCAAGCCGATGCGGGAACCGAGCCTCTTTACGCTGGCCTCACGGGATGTCTGAAATCTGGCTCGGGTCTAAGCAGGGCCAAGGGTGAGGCTAATGACATTGTTATTGCTGGTGACGTCCTCAGTGCAGCTAAGAATCAGTGTCACACCGCGCCGTCGGCATGCATCCGACTCGCTTATCGCGTGTGACGTCGGCACACGGCTCGGGTTCTGCTGTGGAAAAACAGCATGGCGCTTCGTGAGCCTCACTGGGCAGGCTGAGCATGGCCCCCTGTATGCCTCGGTGTACAGTGGAAAAGAGGAACCAGTTCCCTTGCCTATTCAAATGCGATGATTGAAATGGAGCCCCCTGTTAAACATCTCCCCTCTTCAATGCCTTGGTGCCTGGGCCTTCACAGTCCGTGGGTCTAGGAGCGTTTCCACCACGCACTGACTCAAGAGCCGCGTCCTGGATGTGTTCTGGAATCTAGACGGGAACGGTGGTGGTACCTCGCAACTCATAATTTGGAGGTTGGAAGTTCAAATCTAATTAAGGAGTTGATTTAATCAATTGGGGCTATTTAGGAATTACTCACCCCTGCCATATGAATGTGGAATTTCTAACACTGACTCAGAGTTGTAATTGGAAGTGACTTTCAATGCAATTTTATCGTCATTGAAAAAAAAATTTAGTTAAAAAAATCTATCATATTATAAGCGGTCCCATGGCCTAACAAGTGTTGGTTAGTGCTTTTCTCTGTTTGTATGTACGTTGAACGTTTCCCAAGCTCTACGTAGCTAACCGCGCTAATCGGAGGTGACTGTGGCGAGGTCGCTTCTGGAACAGAGCGATATAGCTCAGTGGGCCTCACCTGGTAAAATAAAAAAAATAAAAATAAAAAAAAATTGGAGTTTTGTTTTCGCTGAGCAAGACTCGCTCCGGGGGATGTGTCGCCACAGATCGTGCGAGAGAGCTTCAACCTGCACATGCCACACTGCTTCAAGGTGCACAGCTACCGCAGCCCCACCTTCTGCGACCACTGCGGGACGCTGCTGTGGGGCTTCGCCAGGCAGGGCCTGCAATGCGAAGGTGCCGCCATGCAGTTTCATTTCAGTTTCACTTATTAGGTATACAAGCCTGTGAGCCATGCGGCTCTCTTGACTCGGGTGCAACCGCAACAAAACAAAAACATGAACAAGAAACATCTTAAAGTGACTATACGCAACAGAAAAATCCAGGGGGAAAACAGCAAAGTCTTCCAGAAAAAAACACCGTATTTCAACGCTGTGTGCAAAAAAATCTCAATGGGATGCAAGTCAAACAATAACAACCATAAGACAATGTAGTTTAAGGTTAGCAGGCTAACGCTGTACTACAACCAACAAACATGGCTAAACCAAAACGTTTTCAAAATCACCAAAATAAAGCTATAAAAACAATGTAACAGTGATCATGGGAACTGTGACACAGGAGCGATAGGACACGTTCACTTGTTGCAGAGGTTCGCCGTTCGAATTGCCCCCCCGGCGGCCGCCCTGGTTAATACTGCAGGCGTAGCAACTGTAAAATGTGTCGTTCGCTTCACAGCGGACGTTAGAGATCCTGCTACGTCATTCGATATCAGTCGGCCATTGTGTGCCGGCGTCACGGTCCAATGTTTTTAAATTTGAAAACATCTACAAATTATCATGGGACCTCCTTTGCCAGTACCAAAATATGAGAATAGGTTTTCTCCTTTTTTCTGGCAACGAAACAGCTGTGTTGAGATGTTAAAACACCAAACTGAAACCTTTTACAAGTAATCATGTCTGCATTAACCACAATACTTGTGGTCAGGATGTGGCATCCTCTGGTCGAACACCGTTTTGAGACTAGGCTCCAAAGAAAGCTGTCTCTGGTGTTGACCAATCAGTTTCAAAGACAAAGCATATATTATCAGAGTACGTTTTTTGTTTGCATTCTGTCCACAAGTATTCTGGTTAATGCAGACATGATTCCTTGTAAAAAGGTTTCAGTTTGGTGTTTTAACATCTTAACACCTGTTTTGTTGCCAGAAAAAAGGGGAGAAAACCTATTCTCATCTACAAATTACTCCATCAGGATTATCATCACCCCCCGGACTGTGACAGACGATGCCTGTGAAACATAGCGCCCACACGATAACTTCCGCGCTATTTAGAATGGCGCTAACACCAAAGGTCTGAATTGTAAATGTCATCGTCTGCCACGACGAAACCGCGATCCTGCGGTGGAATGACCGTCTTGAGCCGCGCGTGCCACCCCCACAGCCTGCGATGCGAACGTGCACCACAAGTGCAAGGGGAAGGTGGCCAACCTGTGTGGCATCTCCACGGAACGACTGGCAGAGCTGCTGCGCCACGTGGAGGGAGGCCAGGTGAGCTGTGTGGGCAGACGAAGGGGCGGGGCGGGGGTCGGGGGGGCATACTCTCACGCAGCCTCCCAGAGTTTGCTGGAAAAGAGAAATAGACACGTGGGGAATTGGCATGGGGCACTTTTCTACTGTGTAGTATATCTACCAATTGTGAGTTGAGCAGTCCATCTAAGGTGCCATCCGGCGGGATATTGTTGTAGATTGTATATCGATGGAAACACAAAGATGTCCCTTATGCCATTTAACAGTCTTGGCCAACCTGTGTGGCATCTCCACGGAACGACTGGCAGAGCTGCTTGCGCCAGGTGGAGGGAGGCCAGGTGAGCTGTGTGGACAGACGAAGGGGCGGGGCGGGGGTCGGGGGGGCATACTCTCACGCAGCCTCCCAGAGTTTGCTGGAAAAGAGAAATAGACACGTGGGGAATTGGCATGGGGCACTTTTCTACTGTGTAGTATATCTACCAATTGTGAGTTGAGCAGTCCATCTAAGGTGCCATCCGGCGGGATATTGTTGTAGATTGTATATCGATGGAAACACAAAGATGTCCCTTATGCCATTTAACAGTCTTGGCCAACCTGTGTGGCATCTCCACGGAACGACTGGCAGAGCTGCTTGCGCCAGGTGGAGGGAGGCCAGGTGAGCTGTGTGGACAGACGAAGGGGCGGGGCGGGGGAGGGGGCATACTCTCACGCAGCCTCCCAGAGTTTGCTGGAAAAGAGAAATAGACACGTTAGGAATTGGCATGGGGCACTCTTCTACTGTGTAGTATATTTACCAATTGTGAGTTCAGCAGTCCATCTAAGGTGCCATCCGGCCGGATATTTCTGTAGATTGTATATCGATGGAAACACAAAGATGTCCCTTATGCCATTTAACAGTCTTGGGGCAAGTGCTGTTAGCGAGCACCTATGAAGGTCCATATGGCACACGAGGGGATGTGTGGCCAACACCACATCTGGGCTGCCTTTGTCTCCCCAGTGCTGATGTCTGCACACTGCACCAGGGATGGGGAGTCGACCTACAATAGAAAACTAATTTATTGAGAACTGCTTTTTTGTGGTTAGTTTGTTGTCCTTCCCCCGCACCTCTAATTAGCACGGTTAGCTACGTACGGTGCAAAAGAAATTCAACATCCATACATACAGAACCGGTTCAGTTATTCTCCACTTTTATTGGTTGTGAGTGGAAATTGAACTTGGGTCATCAAGTTCGTAGTGAAGTGCGCAAACCGACGCTCTACCGCTCCCGGCCGATTTAAATGCACGTGCGTAAGTTACGTACAAATGCACGCGCACACAAAGCGGACAAACTGGACATCATAGAACAACTGCGCGATGCCGTCTGAATGCAGAAGGAGAAAGGTCCACCAGCAGCAGAGAGGCCGGTCGAGTCACAGCCGCCGAGCTTCAACCCCGACAATGCAGGTGCAGTCGCAAAGCAACACGATCAGTGATGTACGTGCGTGTGTGTGTATGCGTGTTCGTAAAAATGTGTGCATGATCTTCTTGGTTCTTTCGGTAAAGTCACATAGAATGGAAATAATAAAAGAATAAAATGAAAATAATAAAATAATATTGAAAAAAATATCATTTAAATTTTTTTATTTTATTATTTCCATTCTACGTGACTTTACCGAAAAACCCAAGAAGATGAATCCCTGCAGTCACGAAAGCTTTAAATCGAAAAAAAATGTGTGCATGATGTTTGTTTGTACGTATGAAAGTATTATATATTAATTCTAGATTAGAAGTTTTCGTGACTGCAAGGATCCATACTCTTAGATTTTTTCCGTAAAGTCACGTAGATGAAAATAATAATAATAAAATGAAAATAACTACATTAAATCACGACGTTTCGGAAGAACCAAAGAGTATTATCTATTACGCATTGAGCGCATGTGTTTGCGTATACGGTAATATAACTGATCATCCTGTTGAGACTGGCCCTCGTCATGGAAATATGGAATTTCCATCAGGGCCACCAATGGAGATGAGCACTACCCCATTGTTTATTTGATCATAGAGATGCTTTGATTTTGACTTACGTTTGTATGTATATGTACGTATGTGTACATATTTATCCATAATGAAATGTCTTCATCCATCATTGCCCTTCCTGCTCCAAAGTATTCCGGTACAATTGTTTTTAAAACATTCAAACTCAACTGGTCTCCAGGACTCGGTGAGTCCTTGATGTCAGAGCCCTGAACCTGCACGGTGGAGATTGCAGGTTGCATGCAGCATTGTCTTGGCGCCTGTCGTCTCTCTGATGCCTTTGCTGAAATGAAAAGTTGAGAAGGTGGAGGTGGCATGGGAAGCCCCAGCACTGGATGAAGCAAAGAAATATCTGACCCCACCACAACCGGCACCGCCCCAGTCAGGGCCTGACGAGTCGACACGGCCAAGCGGAGAGAGTGCCGGAAAGTTATCGCTCGACCACTTCCACCTCGTCAAAGTGCTCGGCAAAGGCAGCTTCGGAAAGGCGAGACCAATGGCACGCACAGGACATCGCCAACACGGAACATTGCTGACGCATTTAAAGCTTTCGTGACTGCAGGGATTCATCTTATTGGTTCTTTCGGTAAAGTCACGTAGAAGGAAAATAATAAAATAATAAAAATAAAACATAATAAAATAATTATCACGACGTTTCGGCCACAACGCAAGCAGCCGTCTTCAGGTGGAGAACAGGTCTGTCGACTCTGCCTTCTCGACAGACCTGTTCTCCACCTGAAGACGGCTGCTTGCGTTGTGGCCGAAACGTCGTGAGAATTATTTTATTATGTTTTATTTTTATTATTTTATTATTTTCCTTCTACGTGACTTTACCGAAAGAACCAAGAAGATTGCTGACGCAGTTGCGCCGACGCAGACATTGCAGAGGCTGTAGTTGGATCGACTTAGCGAATCATCGCTAAGGGATTGCTCAAGGGAGTTAGCGCCTAACGGGAACTCAACAGTGGTTGTGGTACACATAGATGAGCTCCTGCTTAAGGAAAAAGTCATTTTCATCCCATGAGTGTTTTGACTTTGCCTCCGTCATTTTGTATCGAGGATTAAACAAGTGAGTTACAATGTTGATTTGAAGCTTTCGTGACTGCAGGAATCCATACTCTAAAAAAAAATAGTATTTTATACCTATGTGACTTTACCGAAAGAACAAAAGATGCTCAGAAGGGACCTGTTTGGGAGGTTTAACCAATTTCCTGTCTTTACAGTACATTAAATGCTACAGAAATAGCAAGTTCTGCGAACCGTTAAACGTAAAAAAAAATCATTTTGAACAACAAAAACGTGACAGGTGTCACGAAGAGACGGTATGAGACAAGATGGAACTCACATCACGCCATGCCTAATACTCCCACATTTATACTTGTGGTATAGCGCTCAACATGAATTACGAGTTAAAAATAATACTTTTCACTTTATGGGCGATGAACAAAGGACTTAATGCGTCCCAATATGCTTCATTAAAGGTAGACATTAAACAATGTTTATTCCCCCAAGGTAACCCCCAATCATCCCTGGGTTATGATTGAATGACAGTCAGAATTATAATCAAGTCTCAATTATGTGTCGTCGTATTCGTCCTGTCTCTTCTGTCTCCTCTGTTTCCTGCGTCACGTTTGTGTTGCGCTCATGCTCTTGACTGAACTGCACCTTTGTGTAGATTTGTCACGAATCCTAAATAATGAAGCTTGCATTCACACATTCAATGCATGTATCGCAAGCGTAATTATAACAGATTTAGTCACGTAATGGTATTATTGCACGTCGGGAGGATGTCCATCGGTGCAATGGCTTGGCCTTTGTGACAGCCTTCTGCTAAAATAATGTTGCAAATACCAAGTGCTACTGCAATATGAACTGCGTTGTTGTCACTGAATGATCGTAGGTGATGCTGGCGGAGCTGAAGGAGCAGGGGAAGTTTTATGCCCTCAAGGCGCTCAAGAAGGAGGTGGTCCTCATGGGCGACGACGTGGAATGTACCATGGTGGAGAAACGCGTGCTGCTGATGGCCTGCGAGCACCCCTTCCTCACCCACCTCTGTGGTACATTCCAAACCAAGGTGCCCAAGGACCGCTCACTCATTGCGTGAACACAGCCATACACAGGCACGCACAGGCACAGACAGACACAGGCACACACAGATACGCACAGGCGCACGCAGGCACACATAGGCACACACAGACACACACAGGCACGCACAGATACACACAGGCACACACAGGCGCACACAGGCACACACAGATACGCACACACACACACAGGCACGCACAGACACACACAGGCACACAGACACACACAGACACACACAGGCACACACAGACACATACAGGCACACACAGACACACAGCCACACACAGACACACACAGGCACGCACAGACACACACAGCCACACACGGGCACGCACAGGCGCACACAGACACACACGGGCACGCACAGGCGCACACAGACGCACACAGGCACACAGACGCACACAGGCGCACACAGGCACACACAGGCACAGACACACACAGGCACACACAGACACACACAGACACACACAGGCACACACACAGGCACACACACACAGGCACACACAGACACACACGCACAGACACGCACAGACACACACAGGCACACACAGACGCACACAGGCACACACAGACGCACACAGGCAAACACAGACGCACACAGGCGCACACAGGCACGCACAGACACACACAGGCACACACAGGCGCACACAGGCACGCACAGACACACACAGACACACACAGGCGCACACAGGCACGCACAGACGCACACAGGCACGCACAGACACACACATGCGCTCACAGGCACACACAGACACACACATGCGCACACAGGCACGCACAGACACACACAGGCACACACAGACACACATAGGCACACACAGACACACACATGCGCTCACAGGCACGCACAGGCACACACAGGCACACACAGACACACACATGCTCTCACAGGCACGCACAGACACACACATGCGCACACAGACACACACAGACACACACAGGCACACACAGGCACACACAGACACACACATGCGCTCACAGGCACGCACAGACACACACATGCGCACACAGGCACGCACAGACACACACAGGCACACACAGACACACACAGGCACACACAGACACACACATGCGCACACAGGCACACACAGACACACACAGACACACACGGGCACGCACAGGCACACACAGGCGCACACAGACGCACACAGGCGCACACAGACACACACAGGTACACACAGGCACACACAGACGCACAGGCACGCACAGACACACACAGGTACACACAGACGCACACAGGCACGCACAGGCACAGACACACACAGGCACACACAGACACACACATGCGCTCACAGGCACGCACAGACACACACAGGCACACACAGACACACACAGGCACGCACAGACACGCACAGCCACACACAGCCACACACAGGCACACACAGCCACACACAGACACGCACAGGCACACACAGACACACACACACAGGCGCACACAGACACGCACAGCGAACGGCAATCATTGTATCTCAGGGGCGCCTCCCTCACTGAGTCTCTTTGGCGAATACCACGACTGAGTGCTTGGGGGCCGTCCATAAATGACGTCACGTCATTTATGGGGGGGGAGGGGTGTCAGACATTTGTGACGATGTGTGACGAGGGGGGGGGGGGTTGAGAAATGTGACGTCACATCAAAATGCGCAACTTTAAATAAATACAGAATTGTTATAACAACACTAATTGTTATAAAACACTTCTACAGCATCAGAGTGCAACGCCACATTAAATACGCACTACAATGACGATAGTTTAAAGCGATTTGAAGCATGTTTTATTTTCAAAATGGAAATATGGTTTTTGGGGGGGGGGGGGGAAGAGCTTTGTGACGTCATATTTGAGGGGGGGTCTGACTTTTTGTGACGCCGTGTGACGAAGAGGGGGGGGGGTAAAAAATCGTCCAGAATCGCGTGACGTTATTTATGGACGGCCCCTTGGCACCTGCAAAGAAATCAGAGCGGCTGGAGTAAACACGGGCACACGAAGGGTGACACTCAACACTGTCATCTCCTGGCCACCGCTCAGCCCTGCGTCTACAATTGCAGGAGAGTCCTCTGATGCTAACGCTTATGTAATGTCAATTATGGCGGGAGACGAGTTGACGGGGCAGCACTCATTTATTAACATTAATATAACAGTAACAAGTACAGCCGAGCTACAGCCTACGCTACGCGTGTCTAACCCGGCTACACTCTCGGGCCCTCCGGCCCCGTACCTCCCAAGGGGAGATATCAGACCCACCCTAGCCGGGGTATGGGTCTCGACCACTGGGTTCCACAGCCCGGCCCTTACAAGGACGTCAGACCGTGAATCCCAAGGTCCCGCCTCTGAGCCACACAGGGTCCCGGCCCTTACAAGGGCAGCGGGGCTAGGGGTCTCAGTGCCCTGTCTCTTCCTCCTCCGTCTTCTGTCTTCACTGGTTGACAACCCCCCAAGTGCTGCTGCGCATTGCCTTACATAGCCCTCCGCTCCAGGGGGCGGGGCCTATGCGGACCGCGATGTAGACACCCACCACGCGCTGTCTCACGATCCCCCCCCCCGCCAGCACGTTCCGCCTCTACACATCGAAGCGCTAACCAGACATCGAGTCGTGCATAACCTGCCCGTGACTGGAAATCTGTGAAAAGGATCTTCATAGCTCATCGGATTCCTCCAGTATAAATAATGATCGTGTTTCTCATTCTGAACTCAAAGCGCTGTTTATCGAGATTGACCTGAATGAGTCTCCAGGCTCTTATTCAGCAAGATCCTCCGTTAGGTTGTATGACTGTTTCATTAATAATTTCACATGGAAGGAAAGCAGTGGATGGAGAAAGCCCATGCATATAAGGAGATTACACAACAACAACAACAACAAAAAGACCTGTACAAATAGGTAAACAACCTACTCGCTATACTGCAATGGACGTATCACCTTGAATCACCGTGGGCTGGGTGTTTCACACAGTGACATGCGAATGGGTCGTCGTGAAGCGTTGGAAGAGAGGCGTGGGCCACTGCACTCTGCAATTGAACCGCAATGGCTATTACACCTCATGGTGGGCATGCGACCTCCCATTATGTCTTTTACCCAGTTAAGTGTTGAGTATTACTGAGACGGTTACGAGTCAAAATCCTTGTCAAAGGTCAAATCGCTGTCATCGCTAAAAAAAACACACATTCGTCAATAACACTGTGCCCTTAAAATAAATACAAATATAAAAGGCGACGTTTTGGGCAATGACTATAATCGTAATTTTAGAAACTTTCGTGACTGCAGGAATTATTATTTGGTTATTTCGGTTAAGTCACGTCTAAAGATAAAATAATAAATTAAATTAAATAATAGCATACAACGTTTCGATTGCAACACAAGCAATCATCATCAGGTATATCTGTCTGCTAATATGTCTGTCTATAGTTTTCTGGTTAGATTTTATGTCGCTATTTCATTTTACCTGATGATGATTGCTTGTGTTGCAATCGAAACGTCGTATGCTATTATTTAATTTAATTTATTATTTTATCTTTAGACGTGACTTAACCGAAAGAACCAAATAATAATGACTATAATCATACATATCTTGAGCGTCCAGAGAGACAGAGTGAATACGTTTATTATTTTTAATTTAAAGTCGTGTTATTAACAAATGTGTTGACCTTTGTGTTTGTTAATTGTGCTGGTGCACTACCTGCCAACGCAGCAGCAGCATCGCCAAATAATTTGTCATCGTTATAGGAGTTGTTAAAATTGATACCACTTTGTTGGGAGTCACCGGTGACCATTCTACGAGAAAATAATCCCCTGGACATGGGAATATGAATTCCCACCGCTGCCTAAAGGCCACTAAAAGATGAGTGCTACCCATTTAAGTCTTTGAGCATGGAAACATCACGTCTTGAACTTGCATATACATCGCCACAGTCTTGCTTGCGAAACAATCTGTAGAAACCCCAAAACAATTCACCCAGTTAGTTCAGCTTTTAGCTTGCAGCGCCCGTTTCACAATTGCCACGTGGCACACACATGTTGCAACCATGCCTCTCCCCGTGTCTTCAGGAGCACTTGTTTTTCGTCATGGAGTTCCTCACTGGCGGTGACCTCATGTTTCACATCCAGGACAAAGGGAAGTTTGAGCTGCCGACAGCAACGTGAGTGGGAAAAGCATTGCCATGGCTGCACAATGCCACGTGCGCACACAATACCGCTGAGCTCCTTCAAGCAATCCTTGATCACTGGGCTGCACAAAGCAAGTGACACGCACACGTCTGGTAATGTCTGTGTGTAAATAGTGATTATCAAGTAAAGTAAAAAAAATTCTGCTCAGATGTTTTATGTTTAAAAAAACTAAATTGTATTAAATTTCGATTTAAAGTTTTCGTGACTGCAGGGATTCATCTTCTTGGTTCTTGCGGTAAAGTCACGTAGAAGGGAAATAATAAAATAATAATAAAACATAATAAAATAATTCTCACGACGTTTCGGCTCATTCAGACGCTGCCTTTCCGACAGACCTGTTCTTCACCTGAGGACGGCTGCTTGCGTTGTGGCCGAAACGTCGTGAGAATTATTTTATTATGTTGTATTTTTATTATTTTATTATTTCCCTTCTACGTCACTTTACCGAAAGAACCAAGAAGATAAATTGTATTATTTAAACGTTAATTTTTTTACCAGGTAAAACCTACTGAGCTATTCAAACCTTTTCAGAAGTGGGCTGACCACAAATGATAGCTGAACGAACCGGCTTATCATGTGGATATCTATATAGCCGCCAACGACTCTGAATGCATGTTTTATAAACATGGAGAGAACTGGAAAACCCGGAGAATAATCCACCCGACCACGGGGAGAACACGCAAACTCCAAATATACAGCAGGTGTCAGGGTCGGGATCGAACGCACGACCTCATGCGTACCGGGCGAGGGAGATGACATCTCCGAGCCACCACAACCCTCAGTGCCCACCTCTGTTGGTGGTCCTCAGCCAGTGGTAACCAGGAGGTTCCTACCAGTATCACTTTTTGACTTCCCATAGCGACTCCAGCATGACTTTAATCACACCGACGTATCTGTCGTGTGTGTCGAGCACGTGCTACTCTAAGGGGGCCCACGGGCCAGAAGGGCCCACGCGCCAGGCGACGAAGATGAGGGAGATTGGACAGGAGGCCTCACGTCATTCCTTGCACCAGGGTCCACGCCAACGACGCTAAGCTACTGGTCCATTAAATAGACACCAAGGAATGAATTGCATTGTTTGCACGAGTGAGCCATGCCTAAGCTCAAACCGCAAACGTGTAATTATCGCCACTAAATAAAAAAACTGTATCTAAAATAGTACAATACATTAGTCAAAGTCTCACTTGCAAAGCAATTAACCTCTCCCACTTGGCTATATAATGAACACTGATTGAACGGACGAAAGACGGCAGTTTAAAGTCACGCTGCCATGGAACTATATTATCTCAACTTGAGCACGTGCTGTTGTGAGTGACTGACGCTACGTGTGTTCATTTGTGTGGGGAACGGTGGCGCAGCGGTTAGCGCACTGCAACGTGAACCCGGCAACCCGGGTTCGATTCTCGCTCACGGCCGACACAAGTGACAATTATCCGAACCGGTCCTGGACCTCCCCTAGGTCTACTCAGTCTCAAATGAGTACCCGGTGCCGTTTGTAAACGTTGCCACTGGGGAGACAAAGGCGGCCGGGCGTGGTGCTCACCACCCACCCTCCCCCGTGTGCCGTGCCGGCCTTCATAGGTGCTACTCGCTAAACAGCACTTGTCCCAAAACGATGTTAAGGCTATACGGGAGATCTTTGTTTCGTGTTTCTTTAACAGATTCTACGCGGCAGAGGTGATATGTGGCCTGCAGTTTCTTCATTCACACAACATCATCTACAGGTAACGATGCGGCGGGTGTATTTGAGAGGTTTCATCCTATCTTGATTCGTGATTACCCGTTGGAAATTGTCCCGAAGAGCTGTGGTTTGATACAAAAAAAACGATACATTTGGATTCATTTTGCATTGTGTATGCTATGTCTCTGAAATTTCTGTACACATTCGAACCATGTTGTAAAAAATATGGTGAAATTTCGATCTCAAGAGCTGTCCATAGGCCAGGGGTCACATCTGGATCACGTCTTCTTTCGTACGGCTGCTGATGTACATGCAGAGCAACATCAATTTCAATTTCACGTGCAGGTGATCAAGCCAGATAAGCGCATCAGGAGCAGCGGTGTGTGTCGCTGTGATGTCTTCTTCGTATTTGTGCATCGGGCCATTGCGTCGTTATACATTGTGCGGTCTCCATTCTGGATGGCCGCAGTCGCACTCTGGAGATGTTTTCATTTTCCAATCGTGCATCAGCTACCCTCACTGCCAGGGTTGGTGTGGGTCACTACAATTCTAATACAGCTTATGGAGATTCACAAATACCAATTTATTCTTGGTTCTTTCGGTAAAGTCACGTAGAAGAGAAATAATAAAATAATACAAGCTAAAACATAATAAAATAAAAATTATCACGACGTTTCGGCCACAACGCAAGCAGCTGTCCTCAGGTGAAGAAACAGAGCCAAGAATATGAATCCCTGCAGTCACGAAAGCTTTAAATCGAAAAATACCAATTTATCTGCAGTCAAAGTCAGTACTCTGAGTGAGCACCTACTAAGGCTGACCCAGCACGCCTCTCAATATTTGATGTTCGCATAGCACACAAATGTAAACAGCCTAGGCAGTGTCGACCTCGGAGAATCCAAGCCAGGATCAGATATCAACTTTCACACTAGGTGTGAGACATGGCCTTAAAATGTAACCTAGGTCATCGGGATTGTAGTGTGCTCATGATTATACCACCGTGTGACTCAAAAAGTAAAACACGGCTAATTGTCTTCCTCCTGTTCGAAACAAGCGATGAGGTAGCACTCGTCTTCATTGATTGCCCTGAGCCAGTTGTGGAAGTTCCACAATCCCATGACAGAGGCCAGTCTCTGCGTACGATAAGCCCCCAGTTGGAATTCCAAAAAAGTGGGTCGGCATTTTTTGACCCTGAAGTCGATGACGGGCTGAGTCATCTCTGAGCTGGATATCAACTTGCAGTCTTTCAACGGTAAGGCGAACACTTTAACCGAAACATTACTTGCCCAAGTAGTTTACTATTTACCCTTTATAAACACATACACATGACTACTACAGCTGCCATTCTCCGCCAGATGATGGTGACATCACCAGGGTGCTTGTGCCAGTCTAGGTACACTGTGAGGCCGAATCAAGTGGTGAAGCCTGGCTGTCAGGAACTTATGGGATACACACGTTATGGATGAATAGCCTAGAGTGTGCACACACACACACACGTGCATACTATACGGTAAATTCACATATACCATTGCCAGGTGCGCAAGTGCCAACATTGACTTTCAACAACAAACTTGTGCCTTGGTACTCTTAGTTCTTTCGGTAAAGTCACGTAAGTAAAAAATGAAATTAATAAAAATAAAACAATAAAAATCACGACGTTTCGGAGACAACACAAGTCTCCGTCATCATGTGGGACCGTCACAGCCAGATTTGCTGCATCACCTGGCTGTGACGGTCCCACCTGATGACGGAGACTTGTGTTGCCTCCGAAACGTCGTGATTTTTATTGTTTTATTTTTATTAATTTCATTTTTTACCTACGTGACTTTACCGAAAGAACTAAGAGTATGAATCCTTGCAGTCACGAAAGCTTCAAATCTAGAATTGTGCCTTGATACACAACAGCTTCACGTGCTCCCCTCTCTCACCGTCTAGAGACCTGAAGCTGGACAACGTGCTGCTGGACAGGGAGGGCCACGTGAAGATCGCCGATTTCGGAATGTGCAAGGAGCACGTGTGCGCAGGAAACCTCGCCACCACGTTCTGCGGCACCCCGGACTACATCGCACCCGAGGTGGCGTTTCGCGAAGCGGCCGCCTGCCGCTCTTGAGCGTCAAGCTGCCGAAGCAGAATAGTTTCGCCGTCCTCCGTCGTTTGTTGTCCCCCTTCCCACGCAACTCCGATTAGCGCGGTCGGCCAAGTGCGGTGCGAAAGTAGACTAACGTCCTCACGTGCGTACGATGTGGGGGGGGGGGAGCGAGCCGATGGTTGAGAGCGCTGTCTTGTGATGACGGGTTGGTCGATAGCAACACATGTTGCGGAGCTCTATTACCGTGGATGTTGAGGCGTCAGAACCCCCCCCCCCCCCTGGCTTTGCAGGAGAAGGAAGTGCATGAACAAGTATAACCCGTAAAACAAAGTTTTTCACTATAAATCCTTTATATGCGTGGCGGCTAGAGTCCTCTCGTCCTCTGGCTTGAGATGGCTGCCACCTATGGGTCAGATGATTGCATGGCACCATTAAGCAATTGGTAATTAAATATAATATTTTTGTCCTAAAAAGTGTTAAATTTTGGGGGAAAAAATTCACGAACATTCATTGTCACGCACAACGAGTCTGTGTGGAAAATGTCAGCTCGATTGGATCACGGGAAGTGGGGTAAAAAACGACCGAAAGATTTGCACGGTCGTAAGCAAGCAAGCAAGCAAATGATCTTAATATAAAGGATTTTGAAAGATGTGGACCCCGTCTGCTCTGTCGGGGATACAGTGTCCCCCCTTGCACACGTGGGATTTCTTCAAGTGCTCCAGTTTCTTCCCAAATATAAACGCTCATGAATTGGCCGATGACACCATCACATATAGTGGACTGCAGAGCTTGGGCAATTGTTTTTTTTGTGCCAGCTTACCACGTGGCTGCCTTCCTGCTTGTCTGTCGTTCCCCCCGACTCGTTCTGTCTCTACGATAATGAGCGAACGTGGGGCGCGTTGAGAGTTGAAATTGTATTCGGCCGTGTTAACGTGGCGTTTTTTATCTATTCATTCGAAAAAATATTTTGTTGGAATTATAAGTCAATTGAATAAATAACTTCGAAACATTAACATTATCAAACTTGATTTTGAGCTTTCGTGACTGCAGGAATTACTCTTTGGTTCTTTCGGTAAAGTCACGTAGAAAGAAAAAATAAATTAAATAATAGCATACGACGTTTCGATTGCTACACAAGCACCCTACCTGGTGTACCTGGTTGTAATCAACCAGGTCGGGTGTTGACTGTTATGTTAGCCGACTCTCTGTGTTGTATTATTATTTTCTCTTTCATTTGTACCTGATGATTGCTTGTGTTGCAATCGAAACGTTGTATGCTATTATTTAATTTATTTTTTCTTTCTACGTGACTTTACCGAAAGAACCAAAGAGTAATTAACATCGTTTCGAAATAGTTTGTTACCGTAGCAAGCCACTGCGTTCTTCACAAGGGAGCCTTGACAACCATGAGTGTACGCCGAGCAAGGGAGCTATGCAGGATGGCTTGGGACGTTACTCCCCTTACTCTTAGGGTCTTCCATAAGCTGATTGAGTTTGGCTGATGGGAGCCTTTGGTATTTACACTGAATCGTAATAAATCCTGAACATGATCTGGTGTGACTTAAGCAACTTCCAGCGACCCATAGTTCTTCAATACACTTTGTGAAAGTATTGTAATTTCTAAAACGAATTAACTTGTAGCAAGCTAATATTGTAAAAAATAACTGTCTACGTGAGACAGAGCAAACCAGAACGAGACGAATGAATGAAGAAAAAAAGCAATACTTTATAACAGAATAATACTGCATATGATTGTCACCCTCATATGTGAGAACCAAATCGCTGGTGGGGTGAGCCATGGGGATTGTTGACTGAGGAGTGAGGTTGGTGATGTGGAAGATGTGATGTGGTGGCAACCACGTTGGGTGCAATGTGGCTAATTATGCAACGAAAAGAGTCTCGTCTTTTTAGCCGTTGCATAATATGGCAAAGAAATCTATCGGCCTTTTTTTTAAATGACACGTGCTTGCGATTTTAATTAAGATACGAGCTTCTAATTAATAAAAACCTTCAACTTGTGGATCATGTGTGGATGAAAACTATAGGGGTTAGAATATATACAGTACATATATATCTCCCTGCATGAGAAACTAAGAACTTAGACTATCCCTATACTCAAAATAATGAACCAGTGGTGTAAACTCAACATTCAAATTGCAGGGTCGCTGACTTGCCGCGAAGTGGAGCACATTTTACTGACCCAACAATGATGAATAGCTTGACCCCCGAACGGGATGGAAGCTCGCGACTTTCTGAATGTGCATCGGCCGTTTTAGCCAGAATGCCACCTGACCGGATAACACTCGTACTGGACAATCCCAATCGGGTTGTGTACGGCCGTTTTCGTGGTTGTGCTGTACACTGAGGGTACAGGTCTCCCCCGGGTTTTTTTGGGTTGTACCGCGTGCCGTTTGGCCTTGCTGAAGTGATGGAATTCAAATTCAGCCTCTGAAAATATTAAAATAAACTCCTGCACACGTTGGAGTAAAATTTCGTACACGGTGCCAGATTATCCTAGTAGCACAAATGCTACCGGCCCCGCACTTTCAAGGGCCCCGCGCTAAATGCTTTCATCAATTCCGCTTCAGTGATTCTGCACTTGCTCTATTACTATAGTACGATACTGCCTTCAACGTTTATGAACGACTGGGTGTTTACAGTTAGCGATTTTTCGTATTACCTGGCTGTATAGCAAATGAAAAAACACAATTACTTTACTATGCAAGTTAATCGTTTGTCTTTAAATTGTATATTTAGGGCCCCTTCATAACATATGTGACAGGCCCCGCACTAGCTTAATCCGGCACTGGTGCTAGTTCTTACACTTATGAGAGCTAAACCCAACGCTGCTTTTCCCCCACCTCTCCTGTGACATGTGACGAGACAGCCAGGGTTTGGTGGTTAACCCACCGTCTCCCCTCCCGTGCCTCCCGTAGATCTTGCTGGGGAGGGCGTACGGCACGTCGGTCGACTGGTGGTCCATGGGCGTGCTGATCTACGAGATGCTCATCGGGCAGTCTCCGTTCTACGGCTCAGACGAGGACGAGCTGTTCGAGGCCATCAAGGGCCGCACGCCGCACTACCCACGCTGGCTCACCGACTCCTCACACAACATCCTTAGCTGTGTACGCTCCCTCCGCGGCATTAGCAACGCAATCACCGAATTGAAATTGGCTTTTTATTTTTTTGACCAGGGAAAGCCCACTGAGCTGTATAGCACTTTTTCAGAAGCGCCCTGGCCGCACATGACAGCTCAACGAAGTGGCTGAACATGTGGACATTTCTCGCAGCTGAATTCTCTAAACGCAAGTTTCTAAGTGTGGAAGGAAAAACCGGAGGACCCGGAGAAAAAAACCACGCGATCGCGGGGAGAGAGACATGCAAACTCCAAATATACAGGTATCAGGGTCAGGATCGAACCCACGACCTCCTGTGTACGAGGTAGTTAACATCTCGCCTCCGTGGTGCCCATTAATGGAAACTTTTACTCACTTTTGGTTTGGAAAGCCATCTCTTTTTTCGAGTTATATTTCAATTGTGTTTGTAAGTCATGTCATGAGACGAATCCCCTTCCGTTTGCAAATCTCACAGAAAGTAGTACGACTACTCCATAGTAGAATAACAGCCGACAGGAGGTGATATCAGAACGAATTCTGAGATCCCTTCAATGGCATCTTGTGCACACGAGATGCTGCGAATTCTCTCAAAGCCCTCCTTTGGAGGTATTGGCCACTTCAGTCAAACCGATATTCAAACTTTTTTTAGTCGTCAAAACCGGAAATATTCTGAATTAAGTTAAAATTCAATTTAGTTTACTTTCTCTCGTGTGCGGACATTAGTAACTCGGCAAAGATCGCTAACTTCCTACACGAGAGAAACCTGTTTATTGACGCGTTGCTATCTGGAAGAAAAAAACAGGTGCTGTAGACTGCGTTGTGGGTAACAGATGGCAGTGGAGCAATATCCATTGTCTATGCTCTCTGTTTTCACCAACCAGCATAGTGGAAGTACCATGGGGGTACAGCGGGGTAACCTCAATGACCCATACGGCATGGGGAGGTGCTCATGAGGCACTCCACTGACAGAAGGCCAGACGTGTAAATGTTACCTGGATTTGAACCCAGAGTTACTGCACCGCTGACTCAGTGCTCTGACATCAGAATACTTGGCTACTTTTTCGTTTTTAAGCCGAATGCTTATTCCACCCTCAGCTGTTTGAGCGAGACCATACCAAGCGGCTGGGGGCTGTAGGGGACATTCGCCTGCACCCCTTCTTCAAGAACATCGACTGGGCCAGCCTTGAAGCGCGGAAAATAACCCCTCCGTTCAAGCCCAAAGTGGTGAGTGCCTGTGTTCACCGTCTAAAAACCTGGCAATACATGGACTGCATCCACAAAGATTCCCCCTTTAGCCTTAAACATTTGGGGCAAGTGCTGTTATAGAGCACCTATGAAGGCCAGCACGGTACACGAGGGTGTGAGTGGCCAGCACCACGCCTGACCGCCTTTGTCTCCCCAGTGGCGATGTTTATATACAGCACCAGGTATTCATTTGAGGCCGAGTTGACCTCAGGGAGGCCCATCACTGGTGTTTAGCGATGAGTGGGAATCGAACTTGCGTAGCCTGGTTTGTAGCGCAGTTTTCTAACAGCTACAACAACCGCCACTCGCCACTAAGTGGCGGTGACGTCACCACGACGCTTGTGCCAGGCCGTGTGCACCTTGAGGCCACGTGAAGTGTCGAAACAGCTACACGAGCGCATCCACACACACAGACATCCCCGTGTGCACAATCTCAAATCCACGTTTTAATGTTTTTTATTTGACCAGGTGCCCACTGGACATGTGAACCACTGAGCGGTTGATTCGACCAATGGCCAATTTATAAACAGATTGTTCATCAGACCGCTGACCAGTTATTTTATTCGAGAGGACAAGTAATCATCCTCATTGTGTCATGGGACCTTTTTTTACCAGTGTGAAATTATGAAAAATATGGATAGGTTTAACCCTTTTTGGCGAGGAATCAAATCTGCATTAACCAAACGTACTTGTGGTGAACATGCAAATATGCTTTGATTGGCCTACACCACAGACAGCCTTCTTTATGGCCTAATCTCACCAGTGTCAGACTAGAGAACGCCAAAAGGCGACTTGATTCCTTGGTGTTTGAACATCTTAACACCTGTTGTATCGCCAGAAGGGGTAAAACCAATCCTCATTGTGTCATCTGTACGTGGCTCCAACGTGAGCCACCTAACTTGAACGAAGACACGTGTATGATTTTTATGATGTATTTAAGATCGGGAGCAGGTAAAGGCCTTCACTATTCTATGATGCTGGATGTAATTACCAGCGAAACGTCGTACTCAAAAATTGTAAATGTTGTGGATTCACTCTTCAACACACCGGTGGGCTAAAGTAGTGAACTATTTGTCTTTTGTCAACGTGTGTCGGGTGGTGGAGGGTTGCGACACATCTATAAATAACGCGATCTAACCCAAAGACCCTTTTTTTATTAATAATATGTGTCGCGAAAGCCTGCCACGTGTTAAACTGACACGTGTATGAGATCCAAAAACGATCAAACTAAACGCGACCTGTCGGCGACTCCCGGGTGCGGTGGCGACAAAAACGTCGCGATCGCCGGTCGAAGTGTCTGCCTTGTCCCGCGTGTTGGATTTCATGTTTTGTTTCTCTCGGTGTTTCCGTCGGGAGCAGACGTCTCCCAGCGACTGCAGGAACTTCGGCCACGAGTTCCTGAGCGAGTCCCCGCAGGTGTCGTGCCGAGGAAACAGCAACCACATGATCATGTCCATCGAGCAGACCATGTTCGCCGGATTCTCCTTCGTGAACCCTTCGATCCGGGCGCTCCTCCAGTGAGATCCACATCCCCAGTGTTGGTGCTTGCCCAGCCGGCGTTGGGTGCAAAGTAAATTTAATTTTAGAGGCCACCCCTCCCACCCCCCCATTTGATTTTTAAAGTCCCAGTGAGATGACAGGTGACATATAAACAAGAGACAGACGTGGAGTGAGATGAGAGAGGTGAGACAGAGATGCAGTGAAACGAGAGAGATTAAGACAAGAGATCGAGATGGAGTTAGATATTTTTTTAAAAAACAGACAACATATGGACGAAACAGATGCGTATGGCTTTCATCGCTTTAGTTGGCTTTTTTATTTTTAGGCTTGGAATTCGAGCTGATATCTTGTTCACCATTGTTTTTTTTTCTCCCATAAATCTGGGGCCCTTTAAGCTTGGTAAATAATAGCCAGACTGCCGTGCATATGCATTTGCTTAGTTTAACTATGCCTAGCCATGCCTAGCGCCACCCCTGGCGATTCCAGCCTCAGTTGCCCCAAGATGGCTTGCGCAATTCACTCAAAGATGATTTGCTGGGCCCAGTCAGTTACATTACACTGTTTTGTGACCTATACCGGCGTCATGGGCGTCACGTGATGTGGACCACGTGTGTGTTTTCTGCACCGTATCCTCCTCGTGATAACCGTCTCTCATTGCATAACATCCCAAAGCAGGGCCACAGAGCCGAGGCAATTATTGTGCTCCGGTTTCAGCCTGCCTTATAATCATTTCAAATCGTAACGCGCACAGTATTCACTCACTCTTAAAGAGAGAGAATGTGACTCAGGGGGGCGAGGAACCACGGGCGAGTGGGAAGGCAGCGAGCCGCCGAATCTACGCAAACTGTGCGCGTAAAACATTTGTAGCTCTAACTTTAATGAGAAGGTGTAGACGTAGTTGTGCAGAGTCGACTTAGAATGCATTCTAACTTTATGAAATACATTTAGTCAACAACCTATAAAGAGGTATATACACTTTGATCCTGTTTAAAAGTGGGATAATTTGTTTTAAATGACCTATAACGTTTAATTCATCCTATTTATCATCATCATCAACCTTGATCAATCCACTGAAGCCCTCCCCAAATCCACCACCATCTCTGCAATATAATAATCCACCTACCACCTGCACATCAGCTGATTTCATCCTTCCATCTCCTCCCCTCCTTGGTGTACGTCCTCTCGGACGCGTTCCATCCCTCGGCTAGCACTCCGTCATTATTATTGACCGTCGGTCATCATCCCTTCTAGCGATGTGTACTGCACAAGCCCACTCACTGTAACGTCGCGTATCAGGTATCATGTCTTCATCCTGCACGTGTGTTCTCTAATCCGCGTGTTCCTCTTTCCGTTACTCCGTGCACTTCTCAGTTTTCGTTCCACATTTGTCGTGTGGGTCCATCTTTCTGATAGATATATATATCTCATAGCAAGTAATATTCATTGATTAAAACATGATTCTGTAGGTAGATTGACATGTTGCTTTTTATTATAAAGTTCAGCTTTTCAAAACACTCTAACCTGCTCTGGTCCATCTCTATCATTCATCAGCTTGATTCTGGTCTGTTGTAGCCCATTATATATCAATATATGTCCTTTCAGGGCAGTGTTTGTTCAGTTTTTATGCATATTCTACTGTGTTTTCCAGTTGTATCTCTCCGGCAGATGTCATCCTCTTTCTTTTCCAAAATAACTGTTATTTGACTGAACAACACTTATTTTCATAAAAAAAAACCAGCCATCGGATGTGATTCACACGCCGACTTGCATATGACACAAACGGGCTTGGCATGCATGCGTAACCCGCATGGCGCTTTGTTGAACACACCATCACACAAATGCAGGAGCCACAATTATATTTTACTATAAAAATGAGTGGAAGAGAAGCTTTCGCGAGCTTTCTGTTGAGGAACAGCGGATCAAGTAATTAGTGACCAAGGGTGCGATCCCACATGTTTGACACATTGATTCGTCAGGGACATTTCATCCTTGCAGAGTGCTCTAAGTGTTCTTGTTACATGAGCTCTGCCAAGACGGTGTGATTCACCAGGTTTCAATCGCATCCGTAGACTTCTCCCTCACGGGTATTTGTTATTTGTTTACCTCCAATAATATTCCAGCTGTGCTGAGAAAGTCAATGGCACAATATGAAGATACGTCATTTTTAAACTCTCACGGAGTGCAGTATTCCCTCGTTGTTCACAAACTGGCTATCCGCGAATCGCATCTGAAACCCTACACGACTGCATCAAGAGAGGGAAAGAAAGTGATGGCATAAAGTGAAGAGAGAGAATGTGATACGAGAGAGTAATGAGACAAAGAGATGGGAGAGAGATAACTTCTCAAACGTTAATTCATCAAGAACGTAGGTTTTCGTCGGTCCAATATCATCATCCGCAATATGTGCTTTTCACGAGCATCTCCAGAAAGTATCCCTTTGCGAATAACGAGGGAATGATCTGCAGTGCATCACACAACGCCGGGGAGAGGCGCCCAGAAGATGATACGACCAGCACCTGTTTCTGGAGCCACTAAAGCAGGCCTCTCAACACTAGGAGACTACACTTCCTTCATGCCCAGCAGAGAGTGTCAGGTTAATATTAAAACCAAAATTGTATCCCTCGGAGCTGGAATTTGCCCAATTAAGTGAAAAAAAACCAAAAGGCTAAGGGGAAACTTTAACTGGGTGGAAAACCTTGACTTTAAATTAAGCACAAGAAGCCGAAATAACGTACTGCTTACTAGCAACTCGTGAGGACATTTGGCAATTCGAGTGGGCATGTGGTGTGTAGATAGGGCCAATCTACAGCGAGTTGTCCGTTTGAAGAGCATGCTAGCTTTTCATGACTTCAGTTAATATGGGCCTCCAGACCCCCATATCTCTATTTTTTAAATAGAGAGATGCCCCTATGTTCTCTTGGCAATCAAGAGTCTCAGCGTGATATCCTTTATTTAATAATCCCTGAACGCACTCGGAATGGGTAATGTCCCCTCTGAGGCGGATTTTTGTGTGGATATCGCACGATGGGCTGATTGCCTCCCATTACGCCTATTTAATCCCCCCCCCCCCCCCCCACAATCACTAACGACCCAACAGATGTTTCAATGCACTGTCAATACGACTCATGAGAGAACACTGAGCGCCTCACATCTGAAATTGATCGTGCAGTGTGGATGAGCCTTAGGAATAAGTGAGATTGCTTCCAGTTCACACCGAATGCACCCAGTCCCCGTTTTAGAACAGCGGTGCATTTAATTTAACGCGTAGGCTTTCGCGGCCAATGTTATTCATAATGAAGGTTTTCTTACGGTGGGATCGCGCAAATATAAATGTGACGTTAACCCACCACTCCTCGCGACAGCCAATTAGTCAGGTTCGTGCCAATTAGTTACCGGTGTGTTGGAGAGTAAACCCACAACATTTACAATTTGAGTACGACCTTTCACTGGTAATTACAACGAGCTTCATCAGGCATTTCACTGCACTAAATTCTGGACCGGCCGAACATTTCTACGAAACGGCGTCGTAAACTAAATTGCAAATAAACAAATGTAATGAGAACAGTGAAAGCTCTATATTTCTAATTTGTTCTAGAAATTTCACCCAATAAGTGAACCGAGTTGCTATTCTAGGCAAGTGACATCGACGGTCGTGTGTGTTGTCGCTTATTTCAGAGGTTCGCAGTTCGAATCCGTCGGCCGCCCTTGTTAATACAGGAATCCCCCACGATACATTTTCCGCATTATGCATTGTTTCGCATATACGTTGCCGATTGAGTAGAGGACATATTTCCTTATCAGTGTAATGCTTCGCATATGTGTTTATTTGAAAAATTACGCAAATAAATGTTGTGCACATTTTCAAAATGGCCCACCTCCTGCCAGCCCGCCATTTTGCGTGGTCATTGCACACGTGCTTTCGTTTGTTCGGTCGTTCATTTCTCAGTTCGCTTGTCCTGGTGGTGTAAGGTAGAAATATGGCGTTAGTTGATAGTTTAAAAATTAGTGAAATAAAAAAAAATTAACCCGTAAAAACAAAGTTTTTCACTATAAATCCTTTATATGCGTGGCGGCTAGAGTCCTCTCGTCCTCTGGCTTGAGATGGCTGCCACCTATGGGTCAGATGATTGTCTGCCACCATTAAGCAATTGGTAATTAAATATTTTAAAAAAATTCCCTGAACAGTGTAAAATTTTGGAAACATTTTTTCACGAAAATAAATTGTCACGCACAACGAGTCTGTGTGGAAAATGTCAGCTCGATTGGATCACGGGAAGTGGGTTAAAAAACGACCGAAAGATTTGCACGGTCGTAAGCAAGCAAGCAAGCACGCAAGCACGCAAGCAAGCAAGCAAACTTAATATAAAGGATTTAATAAACTTTTTTTTAAACACGCTTTTATGAAATGTACTATTAATGGAAGAACTCCACGACTCCAGGAAGTGGCCCCGAAGCTTGTCACAACGTAAGGGACCGTGACGAAATACAGCGGTCATTTTAGCGTGGACAATTAGACCCAAGCCGAAATATAACATATAAAAAAGAATGTTTTAAAATATGTTTTTTTAATGATAGAATATAGTATTGTCATCAGTATGACATAAGTATACCAAGTTTGCAGTCGATACCACATTGGGAAGTGGGTAAAAATTGAGTTACAAGATTTGAGGATACAACAACAACAGAGTGAGTTGATAAAAAGCGTGTAAATAAATAGCACAAAGGGCTGACAAAGGTGAGGACAAAACGCACAGTGCCTGTGGAAATATAAGGCAAATGGAAATGTATAAATCTCGTAGTAAAATTAGAAGGTTCAAAGTGTTTTGGAGCAGGTGAAAAGGCAGTCGATGTTGCCAGAATGCTTGGCCTACCCACAACCTCAGTGGGAACTCTTCAAGTTAATGCGGGGACCATTTCTAGAAGAAACCAGTTGTGAAATTCTCGAAAATATGTGAAGACTTTTAAATGTCTGGATTGAATGATCAAAATAAGCATAGTTCTTCAGCCATCTCTGGTAAGTTGTATCTAATTGCTTGCATTATTAGCGAAATGTAGGTTAACTCATAATTATCATATGCATTTGTGCACACTTCATGACATTTAATCACACGTATTTTTCCCCCCACAAAAGTCAGCGAGGAACGCAACCCCTGACTTTAACACGATGTCTAAGGGAAGTTAGAGTTCGCTTTAAAGACATTTCGATTTAAGTAACATTTCCCTGGAACGCTTCCTGGGAAATGATTCCTGTATTGCAGGTATATTCACCGTAAAATTTGTGCTGTCTGCCTCACGGTGGCTATTAGATTTTGTGACACGATTCTGTAAGAGCAGGCAGGCCATTTGTGTTCTGTTGTCACGGTCCAAATTTGCTCAGTTAAAAAAAATCACACTCCCCTCCCATAGTCAACGGCTGCATTCATTAGGCCCAATCTCAGCACTGGAGCGTCTGAGCTATAAGCTCAGAGACAAGGAAGACGAATACAACACGTGTTTGGGGTCCATTCCTAAACCTTAGAACAGTCTTAATTACCTGAGCCCAGAATGGCAATGACCTGGCCAACCACCCCCCTCCCAACCTGCTCCGATGAGTCCGTTGTGCCTGATACCGTCGATGCAACTGGTTATACCGTCCAAAATGTCAGGATGTTGCAATGTATGATGTGAGAGAAGACGTGGAATAAAGCATATTTTATATATATGCAAAGAAAATCACATGCAAATTGCTCAATTGGGATAACATCGTCCAAACTGTAACACTCCAGCAGACTATCTCGGAAACCTAGCACCATCATAGCCGAGCACAATGAGGATGGTGTGAATTACAAATTTAACTGACTTATTAATTATTCTTCTTCGTGTTCTTATTTGAAGAACATAAGCGTAAGGTTCTAGATTTGCATTTGAAGCTGTAAACCCCAAGCCTGAAGGCAAGTGTACTTGCCGCAGTGCCGCCATCTACCCAACAACCACCATGCAGCAGAATAATGGAATGTCGCGCTGTATGATACTTGTAAAGCATGTCACTTTGATGGCTTATGGTAACATCAATACCTCTCGCCTTGCTCAATACAATTTCTTTTGACCTCTATACACAGGCGAGTCTGGCTATTATTTACCAACCCACCCGCACGCACACATAACAGTACCATTTGTGTACATTAAACTTGCATTAACCAATCTTGATTTGAAGCTTTCGTGACTGCAGGAATCCATAGCTCTTTGGTTCATTCGGTAAAGCCACGTAGGTAGAAAAATAATAGATCACGTTTCGATCGCAACGCAAGCAATCGTCATCAGGTGGGACAACCACAGCAAGAAGAAACTGCTGAAGTAGGCGAGAGACCTGCCGTGGCACGAGGTTATATAGGCCTCGGCAGTAGGGGGGGAGAGAGAGGAGGGGGGGAGGGGGGGGGAGGAGGCGGGGCAGAAAGTGGACCCCGCAGCACAGAGGTCGCAACCGGGTACCCGATACCCGTACCCTACCCGATACCCGGCTACCCGTAACCGGCCGGGTACGGGTACCTGTTTGCGACCCTGGTGCGGCCGGGTACGGATACGGGTAGACCGTGAGTCACTGGTGAGTAACTGTTTGTCACTCATTTCCCAACGTCTCGTCTCTTCTCACAATTAAAGTTCCTAGAATCAACCCACCCGCGCCTGCAACATGGCTTCATCCCAGAGGTCGCAATCAGGTTCCTAGAATCAACCCACCCGCGCCTGCAAAACCCGTTTGCGACCTCTGCCGCAGCAGCACCCGGGTCACTGGAGTAGAGATCGGAGAGAGATGCACTGAGAGAGAGAGACACAGAGAGTCGGAAATAACAGCTGACATAGGCAAGTAGGATGGAGACATCACAATCAGTTAAGACTTTACCTGGTTAATCACGTCCTTCCAATGATGTTTGTACCCATCTTCTCGGTTGAAGTTGTGTCTGTGTTTATATATCTGGATGGCTTCATGAACAAATCTCTGATAATAGCCGGTGGGTTTGCAGAGTACCTTCGTCTTGGAAAAGTAAATTTCGTGTGAGCCCACTGCGTTAAAACAATGATCAGTGCTGCTGCTGCGGTGGTGGCCCATTTTACTCCAGTGACCCGGGTGCTGCTGTGGGGTCCACTTTCTGCCCCGCCTCCTCCCCCCCTACTGACGAGGCCTACTATACACTACACTATACACTACTATATACACTACTATATACACTACACTATACACTACTATACACTACACTATACACTACACTATACACTACACTATACACTACACTATACACTACTATGCACTACACTATACACTACACTACACTATACACTACACTATACACTACTATATACTACTATACACTACACTATACACTACTATATACACTACACTATACACTACTATATACTACTATACACTACACTATACACTACACTATACACTACTATATACACTACACTATATACTACTATACACTACACTATACACTACTATATAACCTCGTACCACGGCAGATCTCTCGCTTACTTCAGCAGTTTTTTCTTGCTGTGGTTGTCCCACCTGATGACGATTGCTTGTGTTGCGATCGAAATGTCGTGATCCATTATTTTTCTACCGACGTGACTTTACCGAAAGAACCAAAGAGTTTGCATTAACCAGTTATGCTTGGGTTTCATTAATTCTGACACCGTTTCCTCCTCATCAGCCAGCCTCGGTGTTAGCGGGAGAATATCCTGGTAGTCCCGGCATGTTGTTGCCGATTGGCTGGTCTACAGATAGTAGAATTGGCGAGGTGAAAAAATTGATGTGATCGTTGCAGGCAGGCTCGGCATTAATTCAAAGCTGAAGACCACAGTCCCCTTTAGCTCTTAATTCTTGTAAATTACACTCGTAAATGTTTACAAGAGCATCGTCCAACCACCAGCGCCGCACATCACCCGTGACAGTTCTTCCCACACAGCGGAAGCGTGAAATTATTGTTCTCAGTTTATTGGTCACTTCGAAAAAACTACAGGACTGCTCTTTACGTGAACTGAATACATTTGGCTAAACTGCAGTATTCTGCGACTGCCGTTAATGTAAAAAAAAAATCAAGGAATGGCTAAAGCAAGGAATTCCAGTTGTATTCATTTTGTTTGTAAGTCATGACGATACTCCAAGGCACACACACGTCGGGCTAACATAACTCGATTCTACTTTACAAAATAGGTAAATGCTAAAATATAATACATAGTCGAGGCTAGGCAAGGTAGGCACTAACACAGCGAGGTTGAACATCCGATAAAATTATGGAAAAGAGAATGATTTATATTTTAATCTAACGTCTATATAATATTACTTTTACACTCGCGAAAAGCTTCAGAATTGCATTATAACCCAGTTGTCAACTCCTTTGTTGGCATTAAGAGTTAACATTTTGCTTCAATCACAGTCCATTCTTAAGCTGCCTAAGCATATCTGACGAACGGCGTAAATTAAACGAAAAAAATGCAAAAGCTTAAGACCCAACTAATGTAGCATCGTCTCCATTGAACAAGAATACCTAACAAAAACAGCATGTTCATGACAATACAAAGTAACGTAACATTGCTTATATTGGAAAATAGGCGGCACGCAATGATGAAAAACCCCACAGTGATGTGGAGGCTAAAAATACTTCACTGCAGCCTGTTACCTCGTGAGATTCAGATGCTAAATCTGGAAGAGATGCATTGGCCTGAAGTGCAATACGGTTGTCATTTTCACAAACACTGCCGCGACGTAGTAATGAACGAAATGCGTGCCACGTGCTACGCTGTCCATCCTGGTGGCGTGAACTGTTAGTAGCAGCCCAGCTGGGTCCACTTTGCAAACAGCAGAAGCATTGTTCTTTGCATAATAAAAGTATACCTGGCTACCTAGTGCACAGGCAAACAACGCTGAGCATTGGCGTGGACTCGCGAAAGAAAAATCTTGTTTTATTATATATAAATTCACCACTTCAGACTCAACGTCTGTTGGCAGTTCAAACCCATTTATCAGTTGGCTACAATGTAAAGAACAGCAATGTGTCTTCTTCCGCAAGGTAAATAGCTCCGCAACAAAGGCGGTGTTAGCCACTTAACAATATTAATTATTAATTCAGAGCGGTTTACTTGTAAGGCCCTTCTACCTTCAACCCTTCCTTGACCTTTGATCAGGGCCAGAATTCGTGGCCAGGCAAATGAGCAACTGCCTATGGTGGAAAATTCTGAAGAAAGCATTAATAATAGACATTTTCATATTATTGTTTTATCCATGGAAATAATGTTGCGTTAGCCGGTGGATCAGCTCAATAGCACCCCGCAGTGGAGAAAACGATCGCCGTCTCTATCGCACAAAGACAAGACGATTCGCTCGGGGTGTCTCGACTCGGGCGGCATGATCACTACGACCGCCACCTCTCCTCCGACCTCTGACCTGTAACCTCTATCGCCGCACGCAAATTCCCATCGCTCTCCATGCCGCCGCCGCCGCCGTTGCTGACGATGGCGGCGGCGTAGGGGGACGAAACCGCTCAGGGCACGGTGACGCGGAAGGGGCTCCCGGGCACGTGCTCGTCGCCCCACTTGACGATGAGCAGGTAGCTCCCGCGCTCCTTGACGGCGTAGGTGACGGCGAATCGGCGGCCGCCCGCGTGCTTCACGTGCACCTCCTCGCAGGGCACGCTGGGGCCCAGCACGCCCACCAGCAGCACGTTGCTTCCTTTTGGGGGGTGGGGTGGGGGGCAGAGAATTTGGAGAACATTGCCGTCAGTAGCGTTGCACCTTCTTCTTGCGTACGGCTGATGTAGATGCAGAGCAACGACTACAATTTCACATCCAGGTCGTCCAGCCAGATAACTGCGTCAGGAGCAGCGGAGTGTATCATCGCCGTGATGCCTCCGTATTTTTAGTGGATCGGGGCATTGCGTCGTCCATTTGTTGTACGGTCCGTTAACCACAGTCGCTACAACTTTATCCTTCGACCGCCCAACCAATCATATCATCAGTTCATGTAACTTTCACCTGAAGGCTCTCAGGCACCTACATCCTCTCATCTCCACTGAAACTGCCAACACATTGGCATGTTGCATAGTTGGGTCTCGCCGCGACTATTGCAACTCCGTCCTAGTCCGGTCCTCCTTTGGCAATCATAAAAAAACTTCTAAGACTTCAAAACAACCTGGCGCGCGTCATCATTGCCCGCACTCATCTTCATCTCGACTCGCCTCTCTCTCCGCGCCCTCCACTGGCTACCCATTGCCAGCAGGGTCACATACAAGATCGCCTGTCCTCTGCCACCACGCCTTCACATCTGCCTGCCCCCCGTACCTCTCTTCACTATTGACGACTTGCAGCACAGCACACGGCAGATGCCTTCGCAGTGCGACTCACGACCTCCTCTTGATACCGAGATCCAGGATGGTCATGTCTATGCGCCACTTCTCGGTGGCTGCCCCAACAGTCTGGAATGCCATCATCCCTCTGCACATTCGTAGCATCACCTCAATCGTCTCCTTCAAGAGACACTTAAAAACTCACCTCTACAACCACGTGCTTTCGAGTGACTCTGATATTGGCTCTGCGCCTCTGAATTGAGGCCGTTATGTCCGCAAATTTGCAGCGCGTTATAAATTGCATTATTATCATTTTGACACTTAAAATATCAAAATGTAATAGTTTATTGGATGATTTAATTGACTTAATTTGACCTGGCCCATCTCTGCATATACATTTTTAACAATGTTTCAGAACCCTAACTAACATGCCATGACCAACTCTTATCTCAGCATAAAGGAACTCTGTCTACCGGTGTCTCAGAAAGCATTACTGAAGTGACCCCAGAAGTGAGCAGTTCCGTGAAGCCATCACGCGGCGATATTCGCTGACACGATGTGGGTGCTCTGCTGACTCGAGCATCTTCCGGAGGACATTTTTTTCCCACTTCATGAAACAAATCCAATAACCACACAAAGAATGTCAGTGGCTCTCCACTCGGATGAACATGGAGTGGTGCTCATCTCTGAGCCAGTGGTGGAAATTCCACATTCCCATGGTCACGGGCAACCACTCGACAAGACAACCGCTGTTGACTTCGCCGACCGTGGCATTCTGTTACATTGACTTTCGATGAACGACTGAGTCAAACTCTTTTTTGGCGTGCACGTTAAGAGCACTCACCCGCCCTGCCGCAGTCCACAGTGAAGGCGTTCTGTTTGCCGACGAGCGCGGTGCTGAGGCCTGGGCCGTGAGACTCCACTTTGCTCGAGTCGGACGCCATTTTAAGAGGCAGAGGCTCGCTGCCCAGGCCGTTCACGGCCCGCCGTGGCTCGCCAGCCTCCACCAAGAATGAGGACGTCTCGTGCAGGTTGTGACCCCCGGACAGTCGGGGTCCTGTGAGCCACACAGGACAGGGAGAGGGTTAGGGGGGGGGGGCAGGCAGGTGGTGGTGTCATGCCAGTATCACGTGGTCCCAAACGAGGCTTATATTGGTAAAAACAAAAGTAGAGTTGTCGCCGCTTATGGTTTTCCCGGGATCGTCCCTCTTGTTGAGGTAGCTGTACCGGGAAATCTGTGAGTCTCCGGGAGATTAAAGCCCCCGGTGTTTGTCCGTTGTGTAATAACACAGCACTCAAGACAATGCATTTGCATGTAAAGTCGTTATCCCCTTAATAATACATGCTTTTTGGGTTAGATCGTATACATATATAAATGTGTCGTTAAACCTGCCACCACCCGACACAGCCAACTAGTAAGGGTTGTCAGGTAAACAGAATGTCCCAATTCATCACGAGTACAGCACACCGGTGTGTTGGAGAGCCAAGTCACAAGATTTACAATCTGAGTACGACGTTTCGCCAGCAATTACAACTAGCTTCATCAGGCGACAGCCAGATTTGTAGAGAAGTCCACCTGTTTTGTTCCTTGTAAATGTTGTGGCTTGGCTCTCCAACACACCGGTGTGCTGTACTAGTGACGAATTGGCCACGTTCTGTTTACGTGACAACCCTTACTAGTTGGCTGTGTCGGGTGGTGGCGGGTTTTAACGACACATTTATATATTCACGCGATCTAACCCAAGAAAACTCTATTATGGATGATATTGGTTGTGAAAGTATCCCATCTTCCGGTATTCAGATATAATTTTTGTCCCAAGGGATTTTTTGTTGTTGTACCTCAGAGGTAGCAACACTGGCTCAAAGGTAAGGTGGTGCTTATTATTTAATTATTTCATCCAGGAACGCCTAGATGAGCCTCAAGACTATGTTTTCAAGAGGGTTCTGCAAGGGGATGTTTTGCGTGCGTCAACAAAAAAAAAACGGGAGTGCCCGGAGAAACCCCAAGAATATGAGAAGATCACGCTGAAAGGTACACATAGACACGTCCACGAACCCACTTGCTGGACTGCCATCTAGAGACCACCTACAAGTTGAGCAGCTTTGAGAGCTCAACAACTCTCTGTGAGATCCACCATTCCTCATCTCCAATGCAGTGGAGTGTAGGCCTGTGCCCCAGGCACAGACGCACAGCCAACTCAGCGCCACGTTCTGCAGATTGGACGTTTCCACTTTCTCGTACATCCGTGCCCATCCGCGCGTTTTGCCATAATCCCTCCTCTTGACGTGACGATTCTCCAAGGTTACCAGCAGATGGCAGACATGGACTCATGAACACACCCACTTCCTGCTCAAAGTGAACATGGGGCAGTTATTACTCCAATTGGTGGCCCAAAGCCAGAATTCCACATTCTTATGGCTGGGGGGAGTCGCTCCACTGGACAGCCTGGACTGACTTCCCACAATGTGATGCTGAATACGGTAGAATGCAAGATAGGCCGTTATTTAAATTAAAACATGACGGTATTGCTTTAGCAATGTGATATGCAATCTCACTTTTGACCAAATTACCCGAAATGCACCCAATCTCATCACATCATGGAAGCTAAGCAGGTATTAAGCCTGGGCGGTGCTTGGATGTGGGTGAGCACCATGCACATGGGCCAGGTGCAGTATGCCTTGTGGGCAGCGCAGCAACATCCATTGCTGTTCTACACTCCGCCGCAATGCACACGACCTCCGACCTCGCAAGAACATGGCACGTGAGTCCCGAACGACCCGCTGCTCATAGGCGACCTGTGACGCGGGCGCGGTAGGGGCTGCCGGCGATGTGGTGGGGGCCGCCGTAGCAGATGGAGACGAGGTAGAGGCCGGGCGCTGTGGGCAGGTAGCAGAAGTGGTAGCCTTCGGGCCCCTCGCTGCAGTCCACCCGCACCTTGGAGGGCCCGTCGATGGCCACGGCGAGTGAGCCGGGCCCAGCGCCGCTTGTGTCCACCACAAACTCTGCCGGGGAGCCTGGGGCGTGGCGGGGATGGGGGGTTACGGACACGTGAGAGAGGAGGTCCGTACGGTGACACGTCCGGGTGTCGCTCTGCCTCTTTTCCACCGTGTGACTGAGCTTGTACCGAGCCCAGCCTATCACGGCTCAAGAGGCAGGCGGCAAGGTTTTTTTTTCCACAGCGCAGAATCCAAGCAGTGATGTCGTGGTGCCACTGACGTCAGATACAAAAGCTTGATATGTATTTATACTGGAGGAATCCAATGAGCTTAACATCTCTTTTTCATCCAAACAACCTTGACGACCCACACAGCGTGAGGAGGCCCTCATCCAGCAGCGGACTGACAAAAAGTCTGCTGCTGAACGTGCACATACGTCCGTACGAGTGCTGCGTGTGCACGTTGCGCGTGGACGTACCGGTCGTGCCCCTCTCGAGGCCCGGCCCGAACGCGGAAACGAGCGCTGCATCGGCGGCGTGGCCCGGCTCCCCGACGCGCACCCTGAAGGGGCTGCCGGGCACCGAGGCACCGTCGCACGTGACGCTCACGGCGTGCACGCCGTTCTCGCGCGGCACGAACCGCACCGCAAGTTTGTCTGGCGCAGAGCAACGAGGGGCGGGGGGGGAGAGGTGGCGGGTTGGGCGGCACAGCCGGGGTTCATTTTCCACCTGCGCTCCGCTGCAGCAGCCAGACCGGGTGGTGTTGCCTTTAAATGGACCCCCGGGGCATCCAGAGTACAATTTACTGACTGGAGGAAATGTAATGAGATACAAATTAGCAGTTAACCGTCTCTCACGTCGTTGAAATAAAATCACCATTTACTCAGATGTGTGTCATAGGTACAATTTATAAATGTGGTGAAATCGTATATTTAAATTACATGTAATATAATTATCTGTAATTTCCCGACTCTCTGCCGAGAGAGATGATGAATGATAGGTTGATTGAATCGTGGCTGAAAATGATGAATAAAGATTTAGTCCACGGGCCTCCAGGCCTGCACAACTATTTCCAAGAAGGAATGTGTTCAAGCAGACAAACTCAGGTTTCAACGCTCTCAGGTTCATCAGCGTATTGCGGCCTGTTAAACAGATCCTACTGGGGTTACGTTATGTTTTTGGCAAGAGCCCTCCACAAACACGATGAAGTCTGTTCATGCTTGGAACCAAAGAAAAAGGCCAAGGAATGTTCGTTGTGTTTATGTTACTCACAATCTCTACAGCACATCGGGAGTGTTTGGGCAACCTCACTGGTTGGAAGACGTGCATCACCACTCCATACTCTTCGACAGCATTAAACAAATAATTTTGTGGTGCTGCGTTGGCAGACGTGCAAAAGCATACGTAAGAAAAACAAACTCGACACATTCGTCAATATCAGTGTTTTAAAAGGAAAGATATATAAAGGGCAACATTTCAGGTCCTTCGGCATGGCGCATGTGGAAGGGTCCATCACACAAAGAAAGGACCATGACCCAATTACATATCTATCCTTGTAAAGCAGTGCTATTGAGGAATGCGTTGAGCTTCTCTCACAACGTGAATGCATGAACTTGATGCCCAGGTCTGAAATGGGGTTAAACCGGCGTCGATTGCACAGCGTGACAAACCGCGATGGCACGGCCACAATTCTGACCTTTGTCGATCTCGGACACGAAGCAGTTTTCCACCGAGCCTGAAGGCGTGTGAACCTTGGCTTCTATGCGACCTTTTGCCCCGTTCAGGTGAACCGCAAAGGATGCTGGGTGGTTGACCTTCCACCCTGACTCCTATTGGATGACAAGAGTTGCTAAGTTTTATAAATGATTTAAAGTTCCAACTACTGTGTGGAATGTACAAACATAAAGCAGCAAATAAGTACATCCATTGATTAGATATGTATTCGATAGAAGGCAGGTTGTGTTGATAGATATGTAGATGTTTGAGTTATTGTTTCTACTGTATATGGATAATTTTAGAAAGGTGAATGTCAGATGAGATGGACAGATACTTATACAGATTACACAGATGCATATGTATTTAAGATGTTTTAAAGTACTGTTTATAAAAAAAAAATACGGTACCCATTATTTTACAAAATAGTTTGACGTGAAAGATTCTATAATAGACATATAAATGCATGAACAATATAATAAATTAATACTTGGAAAACATACGCATTCATAGTTTAAACAAATGGAGGAATTAATTAATTTACAAATATATACGAATGGATGCATAGGTAAGTATGAATGAGAATCAGAATATTTATTTATACTGGAGAAATCCGATGAGCAATAAAGCTCTTTTTCACAGATGTCCAGTCGGGGCGGGTCAGAACGCTACATTTATGGACGAATGTTAGAATCGATAGATGGATGAATGAATAGACAAACGGGAAAACAATACTGAAATAGCTCAAATGTTGAATGAGTGAGTAACGAATGACCGCTTGACGGAATGAATGAATTGATGAATGGGTCGACTGCCGGTTGTACCAGGAGGCCCGAGACGGTGACACGGCGCGACTCCTCGCAGACACCGTCCACGGTGAGGAGGAAGGGGCTGCCGGGGATGTGCTCGTCCTCGAACCGCACCGACACCTCGTAGTCTCCTGCGCGGGGGCGCAGCGCAACGGACGGTCACGGGCCACCGTGCAAACTCCGATTGACGCAGTTGGCTACGTGAGGTGCGAAAAAAGTTTGACGTGCGTACAACCCGCGTGGCTTTCCTGCAGCCACTCTACAAACGCCAGGTCCACGCCGTTGGCCACGTGGTTTGGTGGGGCGGGCAGGGGGGGGGGGAGTCACATTTTCCACCGCACAACCCGGGCCGCGCTGCCGACGTCGTGCATACGGAATGCATCGCGTCAGCGTCACACGTTCCAGTGTACTGACTGACACGGCGTGCGGTGAAAATGATTAACCCCGCCTCCTCCCCACCCATGCGTTTAGAAAGGTCTTTTATATTGCTCTACATTTTATCATAAACAGATTCATACACGATTATCCACCAGTGACTCTCACGTATGATTTAATTTTATAAGTGTCCCCTGGGACATTGCCACTTACCCCCAGGGGTCCACGTACCCCCCCCCCCTGCCCCGGTTGAGCACCACTCCCCTAGGGTTTGGGGCCACTCCTCACCAGGCTCCTGCACGAGGTAGGAGAGGATGTAGGCACCGTCGCCCGTGGGGCAGCTGGAGATGGTCGCCTTGCCCGGGCCCTCCACGGCCACCATGATGGCTCCAGCCCCGGCCTCCCGCGCCCACAGCCCGAACTCCGCTGGGTGCACGGAGAGGGAGGATGGGTGGGACAAAAAGCTGCTGTCAGAGCCGTGTGCTGTCCCATTTGTATGCCGTAGAACTCCTCTTAACGACGGTAATTCGTTCCACGAAACCGGTCGTTAAGTGATTTTGTTGTTAAGCGAGTGGATGTTTCCACTTCACAGCGCAGCAGACACTGAACGTAAACAATGCCCCGACACTCGTGAATGGACGTCGCTGATTGACCAAGGCCTAGGTCAGAGCAATTTGGAGCTCACCGATTGGCCAAAATTGGCGGTTGAGTGCTTGCCGTAAGCCCGTCGTTAACAGGGGAATGGTCGGTAAGTGAACACTTTGGGCCCTATGGAGGCCCGTTGTTAAGCGATTAGTTGTTAATAGGGGTGGTAGTTAAGAGAGGTTCTACTGTACACAGTGCAGTGTGTGGTTCTCTGCGTGCTGCCGCTCTCGAACGCACATGCTGTGTTGCCGCTCCTATAATTATAAAGTCACGGATTCTGTTCCCATTTATAATAATGTTGTCTGTCACCCCTTTATTGCAAAGTGCTCTGTGTTTAAGCAGACAAACTGGATTTATTTCGACTTTATGAGTCTCATCAGCAGTCAGACATCTAAAAAAATACAAATGGGTTACCAGATGTTTTTGGCAAAAGCACTCTGTCTAAACAATGGGGCCATGTCAATGCAAAATCGCACCTCCGGTTAGCACGGTTGGCTGCGTACGGTACAAAAGATGTTCAACACATACCTACAAAAACACACAATATCGGATATAAACCCATTAAATATTGCAGTGGAGCATTACGGCTCAAAAACATGTATAAATAGACCTCCGCATGTTGAACTTTCGCGCCGTACATCGCCAACCGTGCCAATCGGAGGCGTACGTGTCCCGCCTCCCTCATGACCCCGCAACAAAACCGCAGCGACGGCTCTATCGCGACAACCCACGGCGCGCCGCGCGCCGTTGTGCCCCGCGTACCGGGCTCCCCGGCGAGCGCGTGCTCCAGGCCGGGCCCCGCGGCACGCACGCGGTGGGCCCCGCCCTCGCCCAGCGGCCCCACGGTGAAGGGGAAGGGGCTGCCCGGCACGTGTCCCCCGCCGCCACCGCCGTGGCGCACGCTCACGGCGTGGGCGCCCAGCTCGCGCGCCTCGAAGCGGGCGCAGCACACGCTGGGGCCCGCGTCCACCAGCTCGGCGGGGTGGATGTGCCCCGACGGGCCGCGCACCTCTGCTCCCAGACCAGCTCGCTCCGCGTCTGCGGATGGAAATCGACGTAAATATTTTAGCGAGTTTGGGGCCGTCCATAAATTGCGTCACGCACCTGGGGGGGGGAGGGGGGCGGGGTCAAACATTTGTGACGATGTGTTGACAAGGGCAGGGGGGTTTGAGAAATGTGACATCACATCAAAATGCGCAAACTTTAAATAAATATAGACAACACGTTCTACTTAATTAAATAGACTTTTTGATGTTTTTTTCTACAACATCAGAGTGCAACGCCACATTAAATACGCAACTACAATAACAATAGTTTAAAGCGATTTGAAGCATGTTTAAAAAAAATTGGGGGGTGGGGGCAGAGCTTTGTGATGTCATATTTGAGGGGGAGTCTGACTTTTTGTGATGACGTGTGACGAGGGGGGGGGATGTCAAAAATCGTCCAAAATTACGTGACGTCATTTATGGACGGCCCCTTTGGGAAATGCATGGCAAGCATTGCCCCCCTCCCGCTCCACCTCCCTACTGACAGAATAATTCCCGCTCCTTGTGCCACGCAGGGGCAGCTGTCTCTGTGTTTTGCAGTTGCCCCACAAGGGCAGCTGCCACTGGGGGTGCCCTTTCAAATGATTGAGATGATGTTGTTACGTAAGTCGCCGAGAGAAAATAAAGTGCTCTGAGATGCCAAGGGTTAAACGGTGCCCGGTCAAAAACAAATCTCTGTGATTTTATTCAGAATTACAGAATAGGCGTAGGAAAGCTTCAGCTGTCATCACCATACCATCACGAACATGAGCTTGCCACCACCCTTGTGTTCTCCACTGAAGCATTGAGATGGACATCTACAACTCGTTTGGCCAGCGAGACTATGTTTCAGACCCCAGACAGTGATTCCTGCAGCCTATGGCTATATCTGACACTAATGAATTCCCTGCAAAAGACGCGGGGAGGGGGGGACAAAGACAGCTTCACCCTCGAGAGAAAAGTCTTTGCCCGATGCTAAACGTTTGAGCATGCGGTGCGCGCAATCAGTGAGAATATTCCATTATACTGCAGGAATTCAATGAGCTACACATTTATTTTTCACAGATTCCCTAGTATGGGCGGGTCAGAACGTTACAACAACAAACGCAATCCAAAAACATACGTAAAATATCACTTTAAAAATGTTTTTTGTTATCTTACCGAGCAAAGGCAACCGAGGTGTTAACTTCCTTTTGAGAAGCGACCTGGCCACAAATGGCAGGTCAACAAAGTGGCTTATCGTGTGGAAAAGTATCGCAGCGATTATTCAACTGCGATGGCACTCTCTCCAGCTCAATTGAACGTCCCTTTCTTTATCTCAATAGGCACTTTAACAATGATAAAATACAATGAATGCCAGCCGGTAACAAAACACACGCTTGTTCTAGTTGTCAGGGCTAAATATTTAGTTAGTTTTGCTTGCCTCGTGAAGAGTTTTGCGGTGTGGGATGAGGACCCTATTGGAGTGACTACGGAAGTGGTAACGCGAAGTCATCTCATGGCATAATGCCGAACTCAAACTTTAATTATAATTGGGGAAAATATTAAATATAGTACATTATTCTCAATATACAATACGGATTATTTTATTCACATATATACGAAGAAATACCTTTACAAATCTGGAATATCCTCAGACCCAAAGTCACAGTGGCGAGATGTTAACTACCTCGCCTAGTATGCAGGAGGTCGTGGATTTGATCCCGACCATGACACCTGCTGTATATTTGTAGTTTGCATGTTCCCCCCATGGTTGCGTGGAGTTTTCTCCGGGTCCTCTGGTTGTTTGCTTCACATTTAGAATCAAACAAATGTTTAGAGTATTTTGCTGCTATAAATTTCCACGTGATAAGCCACTTCGTTGAGCTAAAATTTGTGGCCAGCTCGTTTATGAAAAAAAGCTTTATTGCTCAGTGGGCCTTAACTGGTAAAATAAAAAATTGTTGAGTTTTAGTTTCATTATGCTACATAAACCCTGTACCAAAATTATTTTTTCCAAAATGTTTCTGTTTTAAAGAACGCTGGAAGGCCAGACACTTATTCATTAGTCCGTTTAACACGTAGCATTTCGCGACCAATATTATTCATAATAAACGTTTTTGGGTTAGATCGCGATATTTATAAATGTGTCGTAACCCTCCACCACCCGACACGGCCAATCAGCAAAAAAGTGTCACGTTGACAAAAGACAAATAGTTCACTGCTTTCGCACACCGGTGTGTTGAAGAGTGAATCCACAACATTTACAATTTTTGAGTACGACGTTTCGCTGGTAATTGCATCCAGCATCATCGGGCAATTCGCCAGAATAGTGAATTGCCCGATGATGCTGGATAAATTGTAAATGTTGTGGATTCATTCTCCAACACACCGGTGGGCCAAAGCAGTGAACTATTTGTCTTTAGTCAACGTGACACTTTTTTGCTGATTGGCCGTGTCGGGTGGTGCAGGGTTAGGACACATTTATCAATAACGCGATCTAACCCAAAAACGTTGATTATGAATTATTCATGAGCACAGGGGGGCAGCCTCACCTGGTATGGCCAGGGGCAGGCTGCACGTGCTGCCCACGGCAGCAACGGGGACAGCCGCCTGCAACAGGGAGACCTCCTCCTTCTGTCGCCCGGGTCCACTCACCAGCACCGTGAATGGGCTGCCTGCACGCGGATGCACACACAAAGATAAAGACAAAGATCCCCCGTATAGCCTTAACGGACTGTAGAGGCAAGTGCTGTTAGCGAGCACCTATGAAGGCCGGAACGGTACACGAGGGGGTGGGTGGCCAGCACCACGCCCGACCGCCTTTGTCTCCCCAGTGGCGATGTTTACACACTGAACCAGGTACTCATTTAAGGCTGAGTCGACCTAGGAGAGGCCCAGGACCGGTTCAGAAAATCGTCACTGGTGTTAGCCGTGAGCGGGAATCGAACCCGCGCCAGGTTCATAGTGCAGCGCGCTAACCACTACACTACCGCTCCCCACACATCAGCACACACACAAAGACAAAGATCTTACGCGTAGCCTACACAGTCTGTTGGGGGAATTGCAGTTAGCGAGCTCCTGTGAAGGCCGGCATGGCACAAGAAGGGACGGGTGGCCAGCACCATGCCCGACCACCTTTGTCTCCTAAGTGATGATGTTTACAAACTGTACCAAGCACTCATACAAAGGCTGAATTGACTGTAGGGAGGCCTAGGACTGGATAAGATATTCTCCACTGGTGTTAGGAATCAAACTCGGGATCCTGGGTTTGTAAGCGCAGTGCGCTTAACTCCATGCTACCAATCCATATATACACACGCACACATGCACACACAGCACCACACGTGAACACACGAGTCAACAGGCACGGCTACGAGTGGCATTGCGGAAATGGCAGTGGATTCTCATTTGGGAAAATGAATAAAACAGCTGTGCGGCCCACCCGGTCACGTAACAGCTTCTTTAGATGGAGTAATCGTCTTCAGATGCTTTTCGAAATGTATTGCAATCGCTGGTTATCCATTAGGATGTACGATAAATTACTCAGCCTCTTTGAGTCGAAATGTATTTGCATAAGTTGATGAGGGTTTTCCAAACAGAATCGTTTCTCTGTAAGGGCCACTAATCCCATCGTTTAATGTGATTTATGCGTTGGTTTTACGCTAGTGTTCTAATTAGAGCCGTCTAATTGGATGGAATCCATCACTTGTAGCTCGTTCCAACTTAAAACGCACTCACCGCATCCAAAATGCATTTACTTGATGAAACAAAAAGGACGCAACTACATTTTTCATGATCACGAGTGGAATATGATTTTAAGGGATATATACAATTTATTTGTCCTTTCAATATTACCAACATTTCATTCAAATAATGGCACTTAATTAAGCAAAACATGTTATGGGAAACCCAGCATAGTCATTGTATTGTATAAGAAAAGACACAAAATATGTATATCTATACTCTTTGGTTCTTTCGGTAAAGTCACGTAGAAAATAAAATAAAATAATAATGGAAAACGACGTTTCGGTTGCAACACAAGCAACCATCATCAGGTAAGAATGAATGGTGAAACACAGACACGGAAACAGCAGACACACACGCAGAGAGAGACACACACAAAGTGCCTCTCTCTGCACGTGTGTCTGCCAATGTTGTTTCGCTGGGATCCGCCGGTGCACGACGCGGCCGTGTACCGGGTATCTGCTCCTCGGCAAACTTGATAGCGAGGTGGTAAGTGCCGGGCTCGGGGGGGCAGTAGCACACACGGCAGCGCCCGTCCTCCAGGTCCTCGCAGTGCAGCTCCACACGGCTCGGCCCCTCCATGGACACACACATGCTGCCGAATCCTGCCCTCCCGCACACAGACAAATATCCGCCCCGCCGTGTAGCCCTTGACAGACTGTGGTTCCTCCACGCGGCTGCGAGACGTTCCCTCTTTTCGAGAGCGAGCAGATACCGTGAAATCATTATGATGATGATGATAATGAAGAATTTATTCCGTAGTGAGCAATGTAAACTATTCAACAATAACTCAACATTAGATTTTACCAGTTAAGGCCCACTGAGCAATAAAGCTTTTTTTCATAAGCGAGCTGGCCACAAGTTTTAACTCAACGAAGTGACTTATCACGTGGAAATTCATAGCAGCCAACTAACCCGAACGCACGTTACTAAACGTGGAGGGAAAAAGCGGAGGACCCAGAGAAAAATCCACACGCGACCACGGGGAAAGCATGCGAACTCCTAATATCCAGCAGGCGTCAGGGTCAGGATTGAACCCACGACCTCCTGCACACCAGGCGACACGGTGGCGGCGGGCGGCGCCTCTCACCGGCGTATCGCGTGTCCACGATGAACTCGGCCGCCTCGCACGTGCGAGCCTCCTCCAGGCCGAGGCCGCTGGCGCGCACACGCCGCGCGTCCCCCACCTCGGAGGCGCCGACCGCCACGCGGAACGGACTGCTGGGGACGTGGCGGCCGCCCTCGCGGACGCTCACCAGGTGCTCGCCCACCTCCTTGGGGCTGAACGAGATCCCTGCGGGCACACGGAGCGGCAAGGGGGAACAGCGGATTTACACGTGTACGTGTACGCGCGCCGTGCTCGCCTTCATAGGTGCTAAACAGCCTGTTAAAGGCTATGCAGGGGATATTTGTCTTTGTGTATGTATGTTGAACTTCTTTTGCACCATACGTAACCAACCGTATGAACTGAAGGTGCGGAAATGTGGGGAGTAGTGATTAACGCACTGGGCAATGAACCCGGTGACCTGAGTTCAATTCCTGCTCATGGTCAACATCAGTGGCGAATATCTGAACTGGCCCTGGCCGTCCCCTCGTTAACTCAAAGACCTCGCGCATTGGCGAGACAAAGACAGCCAGGCATGGTGCTGGTCACCCACCCCCTTCTGTGCTGTGACGGCATAAACAGGTGCTCGTTAACAGCACTTTCTTCAACCTTCCGTGAAGGCTATACAAGAGTTGTCTGTCTTTGTCTCTGTTAGTGAGTACTTCATATGTGATTTTGTGTTTATGTGGGGAGCAGTTGGTGCAGTGGTGGGCATACTGCTCTATGAACCCAGAGCACAATTTCCAGTCAGCAGTAAGTGGTGGAGATAACAGCTGCACGGAAGAAGTGCGTACGTACGTCGACCTTCTTTCGCACCGTACATAGCCAATCGTGCTAATCATAGGCGCGGGGGAACGACAACAAACTAAACACAAAAAGCAGCTCTAAAGAAATGAGAAAGTAGCGGTAGAGATGTCACCGATGATGCCAGCGGCAGCATCTGAGATGGCGGCGGCATCAGCAGCGGCGGTGACAAATGCCGCCGCCGTTGCCGGCGGGGTTAACGACCATCGGGCGCCGGCCCCTTCGTACCGATCTGCCCGTCGTCGAGCCTCTTGAGGAGGCACGCGTCCTGGCGCCCCGACGGCGCGGCGATGTTGGCCGTGAGCAGCGCGGGGTCCGTGCCGTCGGGGATGCGCAGCGACACGTCGTGCGTGGAGCCGCGGCTCAGCAGCGACGCGCGCAGGCTGTCCTCCCCTGCAACGGAACGAGAGGGCCTCGGTTCCGCCATCGGGGGGGGGGGGGGGGGGGGGGGGGACCCGGTGGCTTGGTACGCAAGACCGGGCCCCTGAGTCCTGAGTGGCACCGGCGGTGCTGGTTGCGCTGCGCCATCGTGCGCCGCGCCGGCCTCCGTAAGCGCTCGCTAACAGTACTTGCCCATTGTCGTCGTCGACCGTGTAGACTATGCCGCGGTTCTTTGTCATCACGTGTCCGGTAGTGAAGCGGTTCAGCACGCTACACTACAAACCCCGCTGCGCTACAGACCCTGCTCACGGCCAACATCAGTAACGATTATATGAACCGGTCCTAGGCCTCCCCTAGGTCGACTCAGCCTCAAATGAGCACCTGGTGCGTTGTGCAAACATCGCCACTCGTGTGCCGTGCCGGCTTTCATAGGTGCTCGCTAACAGCACTTGCTCCTACGGTCTGTTAAGGCTACACGGCGGAAAACGTTGTCTTTGCGTGTACCGGTTATGCGAGCCATGTACGGGCTTCCGGGGATGTGCTGCCCAGCGAACTTGACGGCGATGCTGTAGTCCCCGGGGGCGGTGGGCAGGTAGGACACGGAGCAGGTGCCATCCTTGTTGTCCTGGCACGAGATCTCAGCCTTGGAGGGGCCCTCCACTGCCAGCGACAGCCCGCCTGACGCCACCACAACGTGAGGAATAGTATCAACCGTGATAACCACAGGCACGTTTCCCTGTCTGTCACACCGCGTGTGTGTGTGTGTACGTGCGTGTGTGTATGTGTGTGTGAGTGTGGGGAGCGATAGTGTAGCGGTTAGCGCGCTGCGCTATGAACCCGGCGACCCGAGTTCGATTCCCGCTCACGGCCAACACCAGTGACGATTATCTAAACCGGTCCCGGGCCTCCCCTAGGTCGACTCAGCCTAAAATGAGTACCTAGTGCGATGTGTAAACATCGCCGCTAGGGAGACAAAGGCGGCCGGGCGTGGTGTTGGCCACCCACCCCCTCGTGTGCCGTGCCGGCCTTCATAGGTGCTCGCTAACAGCACTTGCCCCAACAGTCTGTTAAGGCTATACAGGGGATCTTTGGATTTTTGTGTGTGTGTGGACGTGTACCGCCGTTTTCGTCAAGGCACTTCTGGATGACAAAGCGTATTTATGTATGCAATGACAAGCTGATCTACATAATGTCATTGGCTGCGGATTTATCAACTTAATTTGCATGCGCAGCCAATTTGTCAATCCACTTCTGGATCAGGCCCTCCCCATGCCGTGCAGATCATGGGAATTATTTGACCATATTTCACCACTCTGATCAGTGTGGGATGGTGAAGGCAGGGAGCATATATTCTGAAATATAGAACAGTACAATGAAGGATGTTTTCTACACCACCCTCGGCTGGCAACGTAAGTCAGCAGCAGCCTCAACACCATCTGTATGCACGGTGGTGACTTTGACCAGAATTTATCGGGCATATTCTTGCTGATATGGTCATAGGCTATGACTTCCTACCATGAAATTCAAACTGTTATTGTCACACGAGTTAGATTGGATCCGCAAATGTTGGGCCATTCATCAGGATTTTTGGACTAAACACGGATGCATTGCTTAATCTTTTATATTTAGATGTGCATAAACAAATATTTCCTTAATCGATATGGCGACCTAGATGAGACGCTCAAATTAATCTTTTGTGCAGAGCCGATCCATTAAAATAATGAATGATAATAACGATGATGATGATGCTGCAGATCACGATGATGAATACAATCCTAATGATGACAGTGTTGCTCTTGATCATGACGATAATGACAACAGTGACAGTGCTGATGACAGTGACGTTGACAAAGATGATAACGACGACGGTGTTGATGTCTACGTCGGTGCTGCTGCTGCTGATGATGATGATCATGATGAAGCTCGTGATGGAGTGGGTACCTTCGCCTGCATCCTTGGTGTCGATGGTGAAGGCCGCGTGCTTGCCGACTATTCCGTGGCTCAGGCCGGGCCCATACGCGGTCACACTCGGCCCGTCCATCTCATCCACGTAGAACTGCAAGGGGCTGCCTGTATGTGCGGCGTGTAAACGACAAAGATGAAGATCCCCCGTACAGCCATCAACCCTGTTGGGGCAAGTGCTGTTAACCAGGATCTGTGAAGATCATCACGGCACCCAAGGGTTCGGCGTCGCCAGTACCACACCTGGCTGCCTTTGTTTTCACGGTTCTGATGTTCAAACACTCCACTAAGTACTCATTTAAGATGGAGTCGACCTACGAAAACCCCAGGAAGGGTTCGGATACGACTTCCACGGGTGTTGGCCATGGCCGAGAATTGAACTCATGCCGCCCGGTTTGCAGCTTAGCTGACGAACCACCGGGCCAATGCTGCTCACGCTCATGCACAGACACACATACCCCGGGACAGCCATTCACCGCACACAGATGTTTGATACCAGGATTTGCAAAACTCCAGTCCTCGGGACCCACCAGGCACATTTATGCATTGACCAATCTCTGTTCAAATACAAATCAATTACATACGGTGACATGTCTGAAGACTAATGAACACATTTATCTTCATGTGATTCACTAATCTATACCTCACATAAGAGGTCATGTAAAGGTGCACTGCGAGACGAACCCGATGACACACTCACGGCGAAACATCACTCGTGAATTTTTTAACTGGTCCTGGGCCTCTCCTCGGTCGAATTTGCCTTAAACGAGCGACTGGTACGCTGTCTAAAAATCAGCACCAGGGAGAAAAAGTGCTCGGGCCTGGTCCTGGCCACCCGCCTCTTCATGTGCCATGGAGGCCTTCCAAGGTGCTCGATAACCACACTTGCCCAAACAGTATGTCATAGGCTACATGGGGGAACTTTGTCACGAGATACACACGTACATATACACAAATGCAATCCCTATATCTTAATTTGAAGTAGAGCTTGCGCTGCCATAGAGAACATGTTTACTAAATATCAGGCATGTGCAGCAAGTAACGACTAAATGTGTGTTCGAACGCAGAAGACCGGTGAATGTGTAAACGCGTGACGCGGTTGATCGTTTTGGAATCCCTGCATGACACATCCAGATGTCCTCATCAAGGAGCATAAACCCCAGATTTGAAGCTTTCGTGACTGCAAAGATTCATATTCTTAGGTTTTTTCGGTTAAGTCACGTAAGTAAAACATATTTTTATTTTGGATGTTTTACTTACGTGACTTAACCGAAAAAACCTAAGAATAAGCATAAACCCCCATCACGCAAACTGCGGTCATCCTCACAGCGGCGGCTTTTGGTTAACCATCGAACAAAGGTGGTCACTGCATCGCGCTTTCAGACGCACTTCTGCAGCCATTGGGAATGCTCTTTCTTCCGATGTGAGGAAGCCAAGTTATGCACTTTAAAATCATCCAGATTGACATTTCTTTAGAACAGTTTTTTTGTGTTTAGTTTGTTGTCCTTCCCCTGCACCTCCAATCAGCACAGTTGGATATGTACAAAGATCCCCCGTATAGCCTGCACAGACTGGTGTTAGTGAGCACCTATGATGGCTGGCACGGCACACGAGGAGGTGAGGTGGCCAACACCACACCCTGCCACCTTTGTCTCCCTAGTGGCGATGTCTACACATCGCAATGGGTGAATCGACCTAGGGGAGGCCCAGGACCAGTCATCACTGGTGTTGGTCGCGAGCGAGAATCGAACTCGGGTCGCCGGATTCGTAGTGCAGCGCGATGCTCTAACCGTTACACTACCACTTCCCATACATTCTAACTCACCTGGGATGTGGTGCCCATTGTATTTGATGTCCATCTCGTGCAGCCCCTTCTCGATCGGGGCAAAGCTGACGCTCATGGTTCCGTCTCTGTTGTCGATGATCCTGGGGCTGGCCTTCTTGCCGGACGGCATGTGCACCTCGCCTGCCAAACACCCGCGCAACTGTGAGCCGCCAGCAAGGCATGAAGTGTTTTGGTGGAGCCACGCGGGTTCTGTGAATCTCCCACACGTGCCGGGCTGCACGGCGGACAGGAAATGGCAGTAGAGCAGAGATGTTCATGAACCCACATGTGTGAAACATGCGTGTAATCCACGTGTGGGTTTTCTCCAGGTACTGCAGTTTCCTTCCACAGACAAAAATGCTGCTTAAACCTTTCCCATTCTGATGACGTAAAACTGATGACGTACGTGTACGTAGTCAGTTTGTCGGTATATCTTCAGGTCGGAAGATGTACTGAGGCTCCGACAAGGCGATGAGAGAGAGCATGTAGCACAGTTAGGTGACAGAAATCATAGAGTGCAGTCGTGTCGCTACAGTTCTCAACGGTGAGCACAACTTTAAGAACAACGGCGCTATGCTTCCCAGATGCAGCGGTGAATGGGACCCAACCAGCAACTTGTAGGCGACTCGAAACGGGAAAGGGTTAACAGAGAAATGGCCAAACCTCCCAATGCAGGACCCTCCTGAAAAAGAGTCCTGAGAATCAGTGAGGAGTTTCTGGACGTAAAAAAACCCCAAAATAAAGTGACTCTATGCTCAAACAAGCATAGCCCAGAGACAGTGGTAGCACTTCCACAGTTCATGCCCGATCGGGTAACCAATGTTGAGGTACCATGAAGTGGTACTTATTAAATCAGCACACTAAGAAGAATGAGTTTGCATCACTTTCTAAAAGACTTCTAAACTATAAAACATATTTGCGTGATGCCACGACACTTTGAGCAACATTGAAATATAATTGGGATAAAAAAAAGCAGCAATTATTTTAATAATTTTCTAACCGCTTCAACATTTAGACCACTCCTAATTTCCCCCCATTATAAAAACAACCGAGATGTGTGACACGTGACAGGTGTATTTGCACACGTGCAATGGTAAAAATGTGCGCACGTCCAATTAATTTATTTCCGTAAAAAAATGCGACGACGATGCCATCTTCATCACGAGTCACGAGTATATCATTGTTTCGACCAGTGTGTGGGTAAGGGCTCTTGTCCTACCCCGATGACGTCCAGAGATACCGGCGTTCTGCAGCTTCATTCTATTTTAAAGCAAATTAACCCTACTCGCACGAGGCAGACAGACACGCGTTCGAATGCAAATGCCACCGGGTGGTGTTTTGCGGCACTCCGAGCCACGTAGGATGCAAAGGGGAGGCCGAGGCTGCAGCGGGTACTTGCCCGTAATGTGTCCCTTGCGCAGAGAGAAGGGGACAACCAGGTGGAATGGTCTCAGCGACTCCGTCGAGATGTCCTCACTCATCGCCTGCATCAAAACAGGGCAGGGGCGAAGGCTGTACTGTATGTATGTACGTCGAACTCCTTTCGCACCGCACATAGCCAACCGTGCTAATCGGAGGTGCAGGTCGCGAGCGGTGGGGTAGGTGGTTGCAACGGACACTCGGCAACACAGTAGCATTTGGAATCAACACGCGTTCAGAGTATTTGGCTGCTATACATGTCCACGTGATAAGCCACTTCGTTGGGCTATCAATTGTGGCCAGATCGCTTCTGAAAAAGAGCTATGTAGCTCAGTGGGCCTTATCTGGTGAAATAAAAGTGTCTAGTTTTATAGTTTAGTTTAGGATTAGTTTTAATTTCATTTTGTTTCACCAAGTGAGAAGCTCAGGAGACCAGGATAGGATAATTTGCGAGTGACCTGAGGCATGAGTCTGCCATCAGGAGAGCGAAGATTGCTATGTATAGTCCCAACAGTCATTTGCAGGCGAATTTTCTAATTTGGCAGGTTGTTATAGCAGCACAGCGCAATGGTAGCTGGCAGATCATTCTAACGTAATTGTTATTATCACAGGTAATTACAATTAGTCAATGGGCAGGTCATATGTGGTGGGGTAAAGTGTGGTTACTCCCACCTCTCGCAAGATGAGTCTCGCCAGTGTGGAAGAGTGGGCAAGATGCTTTCTCAAGGAGCTCTCTCCAGAGCTCCCTCTCGCAGAGGACTCTTCCTCCAGCAGTGGCGTGAGTATTGAAATTACAGAGCTGTAACCCTGTCATCATTTTTGACCATCGGATATTGCCCCAACGAGCGGTGAGTCCTGCCCAAGCCCACTGTCTTTCTTTCTTTTTTACTCGCTACCCATTTTAACGGTCACAATAGAGGACACAGCGTATGTGCAGGGAGGGTTGGTCCGTCTGGAGTGGCTTCACTCCTCAACAGGAGCTTATGAAGGTGGTATAAAGGGTTAATTTTCTAACCAAGGTGGGGGATGTGGACAGGGACCCCCACTTAATGTTGTTAACAGTGTCAATAACATCAATTAGCCTATCTGCCTCTCAGTGGGATTGCAAGTTCGCATCTCTCCGTGCTTCCGTGTGTACTTTTTAGTATTTCTTACAATTTGTTGCAGTTGCTGCTGTCGTTACGACCACGTTCCTGAGCCCCGTGCCGTCACAGGGTTCCGTCACAGAGAGGTGAGCTGCGCGACTCGTCTGGGGGTGGGGGGCCGGGTTCGGCGGGCGAGCGGGGGGGGTTCTCACCAGCACGTGGAAGGGGCAGTTGGGGATGAGCTGGCCCCCGAAGCGCACGGCGATGACGTACGGCCCGGGCTGGGTGGCCGTGAACACGATGCTGAAGGTTCCGTCGGCGGCGTTCTCCACCACGTCCACGTCCAGCTCGAGCTGCTCGGGCGTGAGCACGCGGCACGTCACCTTGCCGCGCCCGGCTTCCTTGGCGTTCACCAGCACCAGCGTGGGCTCGCCGATTTGAATGGCTGGGCCCGGGCCCCCGTCTGTTGTCACGCCGGGGAGGGGAGATGGCGGCACTCTGACTCGAGGAATGGTAGCAGAAGACTCGCGGTTAATGTTTCAGGCGAGGGACGGATTCTAAATTCTCGGATTAATAATAAAAACATTTTAAAAATTCGAACCAAGATGCGGCAGTTTGGATGATCCGGAATTGTGACGTCGCAGGAAGTGACGTCACTTCTATGGCACCACTTCCGCGTTCTTCCCGATACAAAGTTGCATCCCGTTACACAAAAATGTGCTTCAGTAATAGAGATATTCATGTTTCCATGTTTCCATGTCAAAAATAACATTATTTTACTGGTGGAACGTCATGGCGAAATATAGAATGGAGTGATTATTAGTTACACATTACAAATCTCATTACATTTAGTGCATAAACAATGCAAGTTAAACAAAATGTAGTAAATTTTTAACTGAAAAGCCGATATTTCAACAATTTAAATCCAAAACTCGTCCCTACTTCAGACTTAACTCTGCAGAAGGCACAACGAAAGGCCACGTGCCACCTCGTTACACGTGTGTGCCCACCTCGGTATATGCATCACGGAAGTACATTTCTGGGCGTGGGGGCACATGCCTGTAATCCACAGAGGTGCGGTTGGTGATTCACTCAAAGGTCACTGAGGATCACATGGATTGCTATGATTTGGCCAGCAGGTGTAAACGCAGAAAGTTGGTGGTTGATCTCTCAGCCACCTTTTGCGGTTATTCCATTTTACAATGTACGTGGTTTGTATGAAAACGTATCTGATATGTGTGGGTATTCTCTGTGTATCATGATTTCCTCCGTCAAGTGAAAATACTTCGTAAGGAAGTGATCAGACATTCTTATGCAGGAGCCTCTTGGAGACACGTCTTGAGACTCAGTGAGGCTTTATAGTTTATCATTATACTTTAACCAAGCCAGAACTCAAGAGACAAGGAAATTATCGTTGGCAAAAGTGACCTGGTCACTAAAAGATGTTGATGGTTAGAGTTTAAAGTTACACTATCCGATGAGTCATTTTACTTCAGTCAGTGTTGTTTTGTTTTAACCAGGTAAGTAAGAACGCAAGACACCAGGATAGTCCCATTTGCAAGAGTTACCTGAATTGCAACCTCTCAGTTTAGGGTTAGGTGTTTACGTTAAGGACTTACGGTTTGAGTTGACCGTTCGGGATGAGGCTTCGTTGAAAAGTTAGCGTTTCAGGTTAGAGTTCAGGGTTAGGGTCAGGGGTTCAGGGTTAGGGGTTTAATGGTTATGTTTTATAGCTCGGGTTCAGTGCTAGTTCTTTGGCTCAGGCTCTCAGTTGCCAGGGCGACGCGCACCGGCCAGGAAGCACTTGGAGGCATCCCCTGTGGCGAAGGCGTGCACGGGGAAGGGGCTGCCGGGAACCTCATCCGTGCCGTAGCCGACAGCCACCGAGTAGCGACCGGCAACGTCCGGCAGGTACGACACCGAGAACAGGCCGTCCCCTCCGTCCAGCACGCGGGCGCGGCGCGGGCAACCGTCAGGGTCCTAGCGTCCAGCAACAGCAAACGGGTCATTAGCAGCAGTAATCATGGCCATCATCTTCCGTCTCTTGAAAACGCGAAAATTGGTATTTTATTGATATTTACCAGAGGAAAATATATGTTTAAATCGTTATTGTTATTAAAGTAGGGCCCGGTTTAATTGGCTTGAAGTTTCAGGACCGTCTCCCAGAGGTCGCAAACGGGTTTTGATTCCGTACCCGTACCCATACCCGGCCGCACCAGGGTCGCAAATGGGTACCCGTACCCGGCCGGGTACAGGTACCCGTTCCCTACCCGTACCCATACCCGAAATGAGTGACAAACGGTTACTCACCAGTGACTCACGGCCTACCCGTACCCGTACCCGGCCGCACCAGGGTCGCAAACGGCTACCCGTACCCGTACCCAGCCGGGTACGGGTAGCCGGGTATCGGGTAGGGTACGGGTATCGGGTACCCGGTTGCGACCTCTACCGTCTCCCCAACTCCTTACCAAATTGGGAAGTTTCTAGATCTGCCTCCACAGCATCATCACTTCTCAGTGGCCTGCGGCGGTTAAAGCAGGGACAGCGTTGCACTGGAATGCATACTGGTGAGAGAGAAAAAAAAAATGTACGACGATACGATGTACCGGGAAAGAGCAAGAGGCTATACGGGGAAGAAAAATCCGATCCGCTCAAACCGAATCTGAATAGAAACCGAATCGGAGACTGAATCTCCACAGAGGCTGCTTTCGGCTGGCTGGGAGCAGCACCTTCCGCCAAATTTGAGGTGGAACGCCGTGGGGAAGTCGGTAAGTTGAGAACCGTTTCATTTTAAATGCACTACGATAAATGTACGCGTTATTTAACGCATGTTAAACGCACTAGAATACGGTTAAGTAGCATGCAATGCAATGTAAAGGTATTTGAATATGTTAAGTATTGTATATGAAATGCAATTTGATAAGTTAAGAAATATATAATGTGTATTAAGGCAACCAGAATGCATAATGTATATCACAATGTGTACATTGAACTCAATAGAATAACGTTACGTAGAATATGTGTTTCTTTGTCGGCTGTCACATTTTCCAACAACACTAAACACTGATGTCCTGTGGCATGAGGACCACCTACAGAGGCGACACTCGCCAAATGGAAGGTGGACATCAGTTACATCAAAAAGAAACTGGTTCTGGTGAGTAAAGCAACGTGGACACTTTGCATAGGTTCCACCAATACATCGGGATCATCATTACACTCCAGCCTTGACCATTGCCACGAGTGTGCCCTGCGCCGGTGCCAATCGGAGCGTACCACGATGGTGATGGACAGGGGGGCGTCCCCCGCTTCTCGGGTGTCGATGGTGAAGTCCGTGGGCAGGCTGGCGGGCACGCCGGCCGCGCTCACGCCGGAGCCGCTCACCCGCACGCGGCCAGCGTCGTACGCGGCCAGCACGTCCACGCCAAACGGGCTGCGGCACAACAAGCACAAGCGTGGCATTACGGGCGCTCACAAATGGGACACGCGTACGCGCGGCAGTACGGGCACTCACAACGCCTGCACGCTCACTCGCAGGTGTAGCCAGTGAGCGGGCGAGCGCGCATGCAGGTGATACATTAGAAACTTATATTTTACCAGATAAGGCCCACTGAGCTATGTAGCTCTTTTTTCAGGAAGCCGCCTGGCCACGAATGATAGCTCAACGAAGTGGCGAATCATCATCGTGTGGACATTTATAGCAGCCAGATGGCTATGTACGGTGCGAAAAAAGTTCAACATACACATATATACACACTGCAGACACACCGCATACACACTGCAGACACAATGTAGACACACTGCAGACACACTGCATACACAACATAAGAGACACTGCAGACACACCGCATACACACCGCAGACACACTGCAGTCACACACCTGTGTGGGACGTCCTGCCCCGCGTACTGGACGTGGAGGCTGTAAGGGCCCACGAGCGAAGGGGTGTACGTCATGGCGTGAACACCGTCCACAGCCTGCACGACCTCCACTGGCTCCCGCGTGCCTGCGTACAAACACATGAGCAGCCTTGTGAGCTCACACGTGCACAGACACACACAGAACCCCTGTGTATGCTGTTGGGACAGGTGCTGTCAGGGAGCCTCTAGAAGGCCGCCACTTCGCATGAAAGGGAGGTGTGGCCAGCATCATGCCCTTTGCCTTCCCAGTCCTGCGGTTTTATCACTGCGCCAGGTACCCACTTATGGCCGAGTAGACCTAGACGAGGCCAAAAACTGGTTTCGTAATCAGTATCCACCAATTAGCCGAGCTGGAAATCAATTTAAAGGCTGCCGGTTTCATAACCCAGTCCACCACTCCCCACACACAAAGTCAAACACAAATAATCCCCCGTGTAGCCTTGAGAAGACTGTTGAGGCAAGCGCTGCTAGCGGGCACCTATGAAGGCCGACACGGCACACGAGGAGGGTGGGTGGCCGACGCCACCCTCGGCAGCCTTTTCCTCCCTCGTGACGATGTTTACACATCGCACCAGGTGACTCATTTGAGGCTGAGGCGACCTAGGGGACACCCAGGACCGCTTCAGATCATATCGTCACCCGTGTTGGCCACGAGCGGAAATCTAACCCGATTCGCCGGGTTCGTAGCACAGCGCGCTGACCGCTGCACACAAGACGTAGAGGCACACTAGAACGGAATTTACAATGCTGAGGATGTTTTGGGCGGCAGGCCTCCCCCCCCCCCCCCCCCAGGAGTACCGTGCGGTCCCTGTGCGGTGACGTCGAGGGCGGCGTCCCCGGCGCGGCTGCAGTCGACGCTGAACATCTGCGGCGCACCGGCCCGGACAGCGCCGACGACGCCACCACCGGCACTCAGGCCCAGCCCCGGGCCCGAGCACCGCACCTTGGCTGGGTTCACCTCGTCCCGCACCGGCACGCCAAACGGGCTCCCTGTGCACGAGGCGGACACGGCGGTTAGGGTGGTGGTGGTGGTGATGGCTACGGTGGAGGTAGTGAAGGTAGTGACTGGCGGTGGTTTCAATGGAGTCGGTGGTGGTCACTGTGGTTGTGGTGGTAATGTTGATGAATGTGGTGAAGGTAGTGGTGGTGGAGGTGGAGATGATGATGATAATGGAAACCGTGGTGGTGGTGACAGCAGCTGTATTCGTGATGGTGATATTGGTGGTGGTGGAGGTGGTAGTAGGGGTAATGTGGGCAGTGGTGGTGGCAGTGGTGATATCGGTGGTGGCGGTGGTGATGTGAGTGATATCGGTGGTGGTGGTGGTGGTGGAGGAGGACAACGTGATTATGTCTGAGCCACAAAACTCATCACATCCACTGCACCTGACAGACACTGGAGTCCGGAATATTATGCACCAAGCGGACCATTCGTTGACTCCAGCAGTCACCTGTGATGGCCGTGCCCCCGTAGGTGATGTGGAAGAGGTATTCGCCAGGCGACGAGGCGTGGTACTCCACGGTAAACCCGCCCTCCGGGTCCTCCTCAAACGCCACGTGCGCCTCGCCAGGGCCCTCCACGTGCAGTCCCAAGCCCCCGCAGCCAGCCGCGCTGTACGGACACACCGACGTCAACATCAGTGCCCTAGAGATTTGTGGTGCTGCGACGTGGCCAGGAGATGGCAGCACAGCAAGTGCCCGTGCAGTTAAATTGTCAAGATTTTCAATAATATTTCTGATACATTGAGGTGGCTCAAGGGGCGAATGGCATGTTTGAGTACTGTACCAACACTGCTGAAAATCAGGGTCCGAATTCAAGTGAGGCCTTCAAGTGAGCTGATGATCTCAGCTTAGTCACCAATGACTCTACAATAACGTGGATACGTTCGTTTTTATTTTTATTTTCTTGCTTTGAGAACTAAGTGTTAAGTTTGATTGTGAAGTCACAAACATAAGTTTGAGACCCACTCATCTTGAGTGAAAGAGTGACTCTGAAAATGTGTTCTGTGTCATGATCTTCCAGTGCTGTTCTCCAACACAAGGTGATTCACCGCTCGCTGTGAGGCTTGTTATGGGCCAATCTCTTTATCTTCTTAGGTTTTTTCGGTAAAGTCACGTAGGTAAAAATTTAAAATGAATAAAAGTAAAATAAAAGCTTGTGTTGCCTCTGAAACGTCGTGATTTTGTATTTATTTTTATTTGACTTTTATTAATTTTAATTTTTTACCTACGTGACTTTACCGAAAAAAACCTAAGAATATAAATCCTTGCAGTCATGAAAGCTTCAAATCTAGAATCTCTTTGTCTTTTATTCCATGATGGCAAACCCACAATCGGAGCAATCAAATCAACATTTTCATTCGTCCAAAAACCAACAACAAAGGTGTCAGCCGGCGAGAGAGGGCGATCGCTGGCGTGTCAACGGGACGCACCGCGTGTCGATGGAGAACACGTTGGCCCGGTGAGTGAGGCCTCCCTCCAGGCCGGGCCCGTGCACGCAGCACGCGCGAGGGGTCGCAGCCGTCCGCCACGGCGACGCGGAACGGGCTGCGTGGCACGCGGGCGCCGGCGTAGGTCACCTCGACCGCGTGAAGGCCTGCGGGGCCGGTGGGAGGGGGGGGGGGAGGAAGCGGGGAGCGCGATGGCTTCGCGTGAAGCGCGTGCTCGCACTCTCCCGTGCGGTGGTCGATAAGGAAATGTGGAAGTTACCCCGGTACAAAAACTATATGTCCTGCACCAGCCCACGTTCACTGCGGTGCTCACTTCTGTGGAAATATCGTGGCGTAGGAATGGGAACTGTTTGGTGTTCTGAGTAATCTCGGTATGGCATAGCGTTGCATGCCGGCCCATTTAGCTGAAATTAACTTCTGCTGTACATGAAGCAGTTTTTCTCCTTAATCTCCTCTCTCATTCCTCTCTCAAAGCCTCATCTCTTCTCTATTTGCCATTCCCTCCCTCTTCCCTCCACCCCTTCCCATCCCTCCCCTGCCCTTCCGTGACCCCTATGTGCCCTCTGTTACGTCACTCATTCCTCAGCCCTTGCACGCCCCTGCCATCTAAAATTTAAACTATGTAAAGCGCCTTAAGGTAAGGTGCCCTATAAGTATAAAACACGTTTATGACCAATTAATATAAACATTCATATATGTGTGTGTGTATTTGTCAATGTTTTATGTATTTGCTGTATGTGTGTATGTGTATATAGAATACGTGTGTATAAGGAATGCGTTCTTGAATTTCAGATTAATAAAACTCCTAGATTTGACATTTAGAAAAATAAAAGAGACTTTTTGTTTCACTTCCATTCTTTTCCTGCCAAAAGTGCCGTCATGTGGCACCATTTTGATATAAGGAAAATATTTATAGCGAAGTTATAATTTCACTGATGAAACTATATTTTAACAATGAAAATTCACGATTCATATTTAAAACGATGACATCTTTTGCACAGACAATTCTATTTAAAGAAAATAGATAATACATGTAAATCTGAACATGTAAAAATAAGCATGTGAAATTGGGCAAACTTTAAAAAAACAATATCTGAAAAATTCAATTCAATAAAAAAACTGGTCTCTGGTGTGCATGTGTGTACGTGCTTGCATGGGGAGCGGTAGTGTCGTGTTTAGCATGCTGCTCTCCAAACCTGGAGAACCGAGTTCGATTCCTGCTCATGGCCATCACCAGTGACGGTTATCTGAACTGGTCCTGGGCCACCCCTCGATCGACTCAGCCTAAAACAAGTACCCGCCACTAGGGAGACAAAGACAGCCGGGCGTGGTGCCGGCCTTCAAAGGCGCTCGCTAACAGGACTTGCCCCAACAGTCTGTCAGAGCTAGAAGGGGGGGAGGATCTTTGTCTTTGTGTGGGTACACAGCACCTGTCTCCCTGGGCACGTACTCCACGGCGTAGGTGCCATCGTGGTTGTCCGTGACGCTGCCCTCCGTGGCGACGCCCGACGGCGCCGTCACGGCGCAGCGCACGTGGTCCCCGCCGGAGCGCGAGACGGTACGCGCGTCCACGGCGAACTCCGACACCGCGTCCCGCAGCGCTGGATGGGATGGGGGGGGGGAGACGAAGATAAGGATCCCCCGTATAGCCTTGACAGACGGTTGGGGCAAGTGCTGCTAGAGGGCAGCTATGAAGGCCGGCACAGCGCACGATGGGGTGTGTGGGCAACACCACGCCCGGCCGCCTTTGTCTCCCTAGTTGGCGATGTTCACACATTGCACCAAGTACTCATTCGATCTAGGGGAGGCCCAGGACCGGTTCAGATTATCGTCACCGGTGTTGACCGTGAGCGGGAATCGAACCCGATTTGCTCGGTTCGTAACGCAGTGAACTCCCCGCCGTGCTATCGCACAGAGGCAGGACCGGAGATTGAGACAAGAACATTCGTGATCAAGATGAGGAGGTCAAGGTAGGTGGGTCAACGTGACCAAATCCACGCCGTAATCTATCGCTTCCATCCTCCTGCCAGGTCGAGCAATAATCCAGAGTGTCGCGGCGAGACCTCTCACTGGCACTCGTAAACGAGACCACACCACCCCAGTCATCAAATGTCTGCCCTGGTTCACAATATAATCCAGAGTCAACTTGGAAATCGCCCTCAACATTCTCAAAACCCTCCATGGACCATGCTGTCAATCTCTTCCCTGTCATCTCTACTCCCCTTCACATGTCCAGTCCAGCAACAAAAGCCTTCTGTAAAAACTCTCCACTGTTTACTGCTCCAATCGGCTGGAATTGCCTTCCTCTGTTGGCCTACACTGCCGAGACCCTCCCACTGTTGAAGCGTATGGCCAATACTCCATGTGCAGTACTCCTGTGTACCTGCCTGTGTCTGTGAAGTGCACTTCTACCATAACCTCTTAACATCTCCCTCTCTGGCCTATAGGATTCTACCCAGTGGCGGCTCCTGCAAAATCTCTCAGGGGGGGCAAATGTCTGGATGATTGATAAGGATATGGTCCACCCATGCAATGGATAAATTAACAGCTTAAGCATGTAAAGGCAACTTCACTTCTTTAACATTAATGAAAAATAAAGTGACTCTTACAATACATCTTGTTTGTTTCTATACTCACTATTAAAACAAACCACTCAAGTTTATTTTATTAAAGATTCCACTAGGTGGCGACAAATTATATTGTTGGATGAAACGTGCTTACGTATGATGACGTAAGCACGTATGATGACGTAAGCACGTTAGGGCGAGCCCTCCCGGAAGCCATAGAGAATGCATTGCAGCGCCCCCGTTCGAAAAAAAACATCTTTGAATGTAAGTCTATGGGGCCACTCGGGGCGATTCTCAGCCGGAGTGAAATCGCCCAAAAAGAGGCGGTACTCCACAGAACGTGACATGACGCTGATTGGACTATATCCAGAGGCACAGTGACGGCTAGCGTGACTCTGTGGTTGAATGACATTGGTGGTGCGTCGCCCAATCGCCCTAATGAAGAAACCGCCCCTGATTCTACCTATCATTCTTTACACTGATGTAAAAATAAAACCCCTGAATTAAAACACCCCTCTTCTTCAAACTCTCTAACCGGTCATGCGTTCCCTTCTTGTACAGCATCTTGCAAAGAAACCACTTGTGATCCTTTATAAATCCACAGCCCATTGTATTGCAATTGTATTGTAACCATTGTGGAGTTCACACGAGACCTCCTAGATCTGACTTCATGTCTCCTGCAGTCACTGATCCATGTGTGCCACTCCAATGCCAATGCCAGTAATGTCACTCTCTCGAGTTCTCACCTGGTTAAACGACAACGATCTTGACTTGAAGCTTTCGTGACTGCAGGAATTCATATTACTACTAGTAGTAGTAGTTTTTTGTTATTTTTTGTTATTTTCTTTGAACCTATCTACGTGACTTCACCGAAAGACCCAAGAATATAAACAACAACAACACTTTGCTCGTGTAATTGGCTCACACCTATCCCTCTCCTCCCGTGAGCGTAACGAGGGGACAGGCCTGCTAATAAAGACAACAACAATAATAGATGAGTGACTCTACCACCGAGGGACACCGGAGGGTCGTGGCAACTCTTTCTTTCAAAGTGTTCTTCTGAGGAACATTCGTGTGTCTGTAATTATGACTGGACGCACACCGATGGACCCCCACGTTAACAACCACAACTCACTCACTGCTCTAATACAATCTTAAATTTTCGATTTAAAGCTTTCGTGACTGCAGGGATTCATCTTCTTGGTTCTTTCTGTAAAGTCACGTAGAAGGGAAATAATAAAATATTAAAAAGAAAACAGAATAAAATAATAATTATTTTATTATGCTTTTTTTTATTTCCCTTCTACGTGACTTTACCGAAAGAACCAAGAAGAACAATCTTTAATATTTGTACATTCTGTAAGTGTACGCGTCCACATCATGTTGTTGTTACATCTATTATTTACATTTTGCTGTTTTTTCCTGGATTTTTCTGTTGCCTGCAGTCACTTTAAAATGTTTCTTGTTCGTGTTTTTGTTTGTTGCGGTTGCACCCGAGTCAAGAGCCGCATGGCTCACAGGGCGATACCTAATCAATGAAACTGAAAATGAAAACGGAATCCCCGTACAGCGTCCATCCCAATCTCAATAGGTGCCCCTTGTACCCTGAATTGATTACACTGGTCAACAAAAAAAAACATTTTTTCCTGGCCTGGACTTTTGCAGCTGTTTTATACTAATTTCAGGGTGCTGATTCCAAATCTGATCTTAAATTTGCTCTATCACATCATTTTTATGCTATCGGCATACCCCATTTTCATTGATTTTACCCGAAATTAACTCTGTCACTTATGATTGCAAGTTTTTGCGAGTCAGTGACTGCTTTAGTGTTAAAATATGGTGCTGTATTTTTAGGATAGTGTGTTTATAATATCATTTTATGTAGATATCCACATTTATTTAATATTTTTCTTCTGCAGTTTTTATTGAAAATGCAATATTTGATATCTCAAAAACCTGATGTGATAGACAAAACTAATGCACCCCAAAATTACCTTAAACCCGTTGGAATACCTTATGCCAGAAAAAGTGTGTTGACCAGTGTTACTCCACTGATGGGCGTGGCCTACTGTACAGTCACGTGAGTCTATGGGTCCAATCCATGGTCATCATTATCACCATTTACAATGATCCTCGTGATTCGTTACATTAAGGCCACACCGGCTACACGTGCCTCCATCCTAACTGCACACAATGCCCCATCCATCATGACCTCGCCATCCTGATTACGTCTGGAATGATTTCCCGCTACGTGTCATTCTGAACTTCCCAGTTGCTTAAACTATGAGGACATGATTGTTTTGTAAGTGCCTATACCTTTGGTGGTAATTTTCATTTTAAAAAAGCTTAAATGAGTTTGATTTGGAAACACAGAGATGCAACTTTATTCGAATATAAATTGACCAATTTCATTTATAAGACATTCTTTTTTTCCCTACCACTCACACGCATCAGTGTGCTGCGATGCATTCATCACGTTCACAATAGAACCTTGATTGTAATTGATGGGAGTCATCATGTACGGCTTCTCTCTCAGAGTTTTCCATTTACAGCATCAAACATGCATTTATTACAACATACATATTAGAAAAAGGCACGTAAATGTCATCCTAGAAGTGAGTAGGATAAAATAGCTTGCAAATAAAAAATAATCCAAATAGATTGAAATGAAATCCACAAAAAAATGTGAACTACATTTTATTTGAAACTCGGTGAACTAGAAACTAATAGCAATTTCCACTTGAGGTGTTCAGGTTGCTGGTTCGGTTCTGACCTATAAACTAAAACCGCATGCGTTCTTGTGCTCCCCATCAACCCATTGTTTCTCCCCCGAAGCTCATTCTCTTGAGACACATCACACATGGTGACAATGGTTGAATCGGGTTTCTCTTTGGGCGTCGGTACATCAAAAGTGTGGACTCCACCTCTTCCCTCTGTATGGGATAGTGTGTTTCTCCCTTACACGTTTTCTTTGGGTGCTCTAGTTTCCTCCCACATTAATTAGCTGATAACACCTTTTTTATATATATAGCACCGCAGAGCTTGGGCAATTCTCGGCGCCGACTCACCGTGCGGCTCCCCTCCTGCTTGTCTGTGGTTCATCGCACCACTGACTCGTTCTCTGTCTTCAAAAGTGAGTGAACACTGTGCAGCGCATGTCAAGTTGAAACTATTGGGATTCTAACAAGCTGTGGCTGTCCGAGAGAGCAGGAGGAGTGAAGACGAGGAAGAGGAGGAGGAGGAGGGGACGTCGTACCTTTTTCCACCCCAGGGCCAAACACCTGCACGCCGCTCGTCTCCACGCTGGGCTTCACCACGGCTGCACATGGGGGGCAGAGAACGTGGCGGCGGCAGCGGCATCGACACAGCGGTTAGATCACGCGAGGCCTTACGGCCCCGGCTGGCCGGCTCTCTCGCTTACAGAGGCTACGATGTGTGCGCGCACACGCGGATAGTCGAGCGGTCCACGTGACCCGTTTATCAGGTCCTCGCCGGAGACTTTTTAAAGGGGAAAGTGCTGTTCGTGATGTGCAAGTGCCATCTGGTAACAATTCTCTTTAGTGCCAACGTTAACATGCCAGGTGATAGCCACTAAGATTGAGACTTTGGCCACTGATCAAAATCCTGATTGTGATGTTTACGTTGCAGCTGGTGATGATTGATGACGGCGATGTGAATGATGGCGATGCTGATGATTTGGGGGAGCGGTGGTGCAGTGGTTGGCGCATTGTTCTGTGCCTGGCACTGGCCAATGTCAGTGGCGAGTGATATTCTGAACCAGTTTCTGGCCCTCTCTTCACCAACTTACACTGACCACCGTGGCCAAGTCGATTAAACAACTCCCACAAGTGACACGGCATGGGAGGCATGCATCTAGCAGCAGTGGATTGAAAACTGGGTGTCAATTATCATTAAGGATTATTGCAACTTAACAAAGATTATCATTATTATAATGATGGTGGTGACCAATGATGAGGATGATGACAAGGTTGATGATCATGATGATGATGGCAGTGTTATTATGATAGAAGATGATGACCAATGCTCTTGATGATGATGATGAAAACAATCTTTACTGATGACGTTGAAGACGACAGTGCTCACAGTGACAATTCTATTGGGGATGACGATCTTCATCAGCAATTATGATACTCTTAGTTCTTTCGGTAAAGTCACGTAGGTAAAACATTGAAATTAAAATTAATAGAAAATAAAATAATTTTAATTTCATTTTTTACCTACGTGACTTTACCGAAAGAACTAAGAGTATGAATCCTTGCAGTCACGAAAGCTTAAAATCTAGAAGCAATTATGATGTCAACGCAGATAATAGCAATGACTAAAAAACAAACGCAAAGACAATGACCATCACGCGTTGGATAACGATGACCACGAAGGCCATCTCCCCCCCCATCCCAGTGAACGCGACCAACTTCGGCCCGACGTTCGCACGACGTTGACCTGACGACGTTCACCGGGGACCCCCCTCCACCTGCCCCCCTTACCGGTGAAGGGCGATCCGGGCACGTGCGCGTCGGCGAACAGGATGTTGACGGCGTACTCTCCGGCTTGCACGGGGAGGTAGGACACGGAGCACGTGCCGTCGCCGTGGTCGTGGCACTCGAGACGCGCCTCGCAGGGCCCCTCCACCGTGAGGCCGAGGCCGCCCACGCCCGCCGCCGTCGTGTCCACGCAGAACTCGGCCGGGGTGCCCACCTCGCCCCCACGCAGACCCTCGCCCCACACCCGCACCTGTCAGAACACACCACCGCCGCCACCACCACCACCCCAACATCAAACAAAGATCCCCCGTGTAGCCTGAACAGACTGTTGGGGGGCCTCAAGTTGATGACGATGATGATGACGATGATGTTTTCAAGTGTGATGCAATTTAAAATGCAATGGCTCTTGATTTGTGGGTGCGTGCCTAGAGGGAGCGTTCCCTGACTGTTTGACCCGAGTTCGAAGCTTCTTTTGTGAAAAAAAAAATTTGCAGGTCAAGGCCACGAGTGGATGCACAGCGCCGTCTAGTGGCGTCGCTATGATATGACTGCCAACATTTAAAAAATATATAACTTCCTCAACGCCATAAAATAAACTTTTTTTTTACCAGGTAAGACCCACTGAACTATGTAGCTCTCTTTCAGAAGCGACCTGGCCACAAATGATAGCCCAATAAAGTGGCTTATCGTGTGGAAATTTATAGCAGCCGAATACTCGAAACGCATGTTTTTACATGTGTGCATACACAAGCCGCAGGTCCAAATATATATTTATTAGGGGTGAGTTTTGGATAAAAAAAAGTGTGGGTTTCAGATTCTTTTTTATTTTTAAGGACAAATTATATTCTTTCTCAGATTTTCAGATCATTGACAGTTTCTAATAAATCAACGGGTCTCTGTGATAATGAACCGTGACATCGCCTGATGCAATGACGCTACTCTTTGTAGGAAAACCGCAGATGTGATATCACAAAAGTGACATCAATTCCTGTGATGATGTCACATTTTCAGACGAATCTACAACAGAACAAAAAAACTAATTTTAGATCATCAGAAAAATCAGGACCAGAATCCCTAACATTTACATAAACGAAGTCATAAAACACACCCGACCTCTGGTCGGTGTCTCCAGACCACACGTGACGACAATGAACAACGGAACGGAGGTCTTGTTCCCGTACGTCAGAAACCCACGCGGGCAACGACGTTGAGAAGAAGGCGTCACACCTTGCTGGGATTGGCAGGCAGCACGGCCTCCATGAGGAAGGGGCTGCCCGGCACGGGATGCCCGTCGTAGGTGACGTCCATGCGGTGGGGCCCCGTCTCGAGCAGCGTGAAGAGCAGCGAGTGCTCCACGGCGCGCCCGGGCGACTCCTCCTCCGCCGCCGTCTCGGCCAGCGGCTCGGAGGAGCAGGGCACCGCGTGGCGCGCGGGCGACAGCAGCCTCGCCTCCAGCTGGCCACGGCCGCCGGCGCCGCGCGTCACTACGCGCACCTCCTGCTCGCAGCCCATCTCCAGCTCTGCGGCGGTGGAGCGGGTGCAACGTCAAGGGGGGGGGGGGTCAGAGGTCGCCGTCGCGAGCGGAGTGAATGCACGTCTCCCGCCGTCGACTTTCGACGCTTGTAGAGGAGGGTATGTGTACGAGTGGGTGTGTGTGTGTGTTGAGCTACTTTCGCACCGTACATAGCCAAGCGTGCTAATCGGAGGTGTTAATGGAATGGCACTCCCAACAGAAAATGTATTCATTCACAAAGATTACGGGGTGTTTCCCAACACTGACAATTATATTAAAATGTTGTCGTCTTCTCCTTGCGTGTGCTGCTTAATAAGCACGGACTCTGTTGGCACTTGCCTGCAATCCAGCATTTTGGAGGCAAGGCTTGGGAACGTCATGCACATTTCTTAAACTCCGCAATTCCTTGTGCTGCGAGGTTTATGCGAAAAAAAGTCAAAAGCTGTAAATTCAACGGCGGTCCTTCCGAGTTTCCTCCCGAATTCAAAATCGTCCTTAAAATGGACAAACATCCCAATGTAGCAGGAAGTCTCGAGACTCAATGAGGCTCAGCGAGATCACCGCATACAAGAAGGTCCAGCCTCAGCAAGGCAGTCAGCCAGATCACGGCACAGACGGCAATGAAAGCCTGAGGATTTATTTTAATTAAAATTAATTTTATTTTATTTCTACATATGTGACTTTACCGAAAAAAAGAATGAGTATAGTAATTTCTGCAGCCACGAAAGCTTCAATTCTAGAGTAAACCCTGAGGAGTCTGGCTATAGATAGGCCAATCAGTTCCAAAGTCAATGCATATACTATCAGACCATGTTTGTTTGCATATTTTGCCACAAGTATGTGTGGTTAATGCAGACGTGGTGCCTTTCAATAGGCATCTATTTGGTATTTAAACATCTTAGCAACTCCTGTTTTATTACCAGAACGTGAGAGGCCTATTCTTATTTTGCCATCGTCTTTGCTACTGGCAACAAGGGTCCCGTAGACATGAATCTGTGTCTGGTGAGAGGAGTCGGGCTGCTGGGTGTGACGCGGCTTTGCCGGCCAGCACAGAGAAGGGGCCTCACTTGTTCCGAGCCCCTCCACCCGGATCTTGCCGAGGTCGAGCGGCGGAGCCACGGTGACGGGGAAGGGGCTGCCGGGCACGTGGTCCCCTCCGTAGGTCACCCCCACGCACACGCCGCCCTGCTCGCGCAACGGACAGGCACGACAACGCACGGCTCGATCCAGTCAAGTCGATGCGGGGACCTCACCGAACGGGCACCGTGGCGGTGTTTGGGAAAGGCTCTTCCCCGCAGCGGCAGCCCACCGAGCGGCGTTCGTTCGACAGGCCACAACACTGCTGATGAGACTCGAAAATGTGATGCTGGAAAAGACCGGGACAGAAGACTCATCGGAAAACTACTGCCTGTTAACAAAATGGGCCGCCGTGTTGCCGGGTAAAAAAAATCTACTTTCACATGGAACATCGGAATTTTTTGCCTGTCTGCGCATACAGGGTGGTCCAAAAGTCAGCACACGTAGGGTAATTTGTATTTATTTTAACAAACCTTTAACGTAAAGAACAATCAATGACAACGTTGCAATGACAGTGTTAAAATAAATGAAATAGCTCTACGTGTCCCGACTTTTTGAGCCACGCTGTATATTTGCACATGGCCCTCCGTGACGGTGCCAAATGAGTTTCACTAATTTCTATCTAAATTACATTGAACACGAGACATTGGAGATTTGTATCTCACTACATTTCTGCCATTAGTTTGTACTTTGAAAGTATTTATCCCATCTCTGGCAAGTGGTAGAGAACCAGATTACCTGGAAGACAAAAAAACAACAACCCAAAACACATGTTAAGAAATAACCCTCTCAGCTCCTGCACAGATGGAGTCTATCCACTGCTGCATTGCCATCTCCATGCCACCTCGCAGCCCAATCCCGATAAGCGTCCAATATTCCTCGGCAGTCTCCCCGTCCAAGTCCTAATCGGGCCACCCGCCGGCACGCACCTGCTTGTCCGGCGTGTACTTGACGGTGTACGAGTAGTCGTGGTTGTCGATGATTTCCGATTCGAGGATGGGGACGGCCGCGCCGACGCGCGGATCCTCGAACTGCACGTCCAGCTCGGCTTTCCCCGCGCCGCGCGTGTAAACCGTGAAGTGCGCCGGCTTGGCGGCCTCCACGCCTGGTGGGAGCGGCGGTCATCGCTCGTTCACTCGCCGAGTCTCAACACCCTTCACACACTCGTCCTGGTATGTACGTACGTACGTACGTTGAACTGCCTTCGCACTACCGTGCGAAGCCAAACGTGCCAATCGGAGGTGCAGGGGGAAGGACAACAAGCTAAACACAAAAAGCAGTTCTGAAAAAAGAAATTTTCAAAATAGATTATTTAAAAGTGCGTAGCTCCCAGTGGCTTTCTAATATCGGAAGGAAGAGCGTTCCAGACGGCCGCAGAAGCGCATCTGAAAGTACGCGAGGAAGTGATCGTCTTTCTTCGAAGGTTAGCCAAAAGCCGCTACGAGGATGACCGGAGTTTGCGTGATGGTTTACGCTGCTTAATGAGATCGGCAAGGTACGGTGGCTCTCTTGTGGCAAGCACTCTGTGTGTCATGAGTGCGACCTTAAGATTGATTCATTTGGCAACAGGAAGCCAATGCAGCTCAGCGAGCACTGTACGGACATAGTCAGATGTTGCAGTACCCATCACGACACTTGCCAAATAATTTTGTTCATGCTGCAGCTTGGTAATGCATTTACCAGACGTCCAACGGTATAAAAAATACATGATGATGATGATGTGAATGTCATCGGCAGCAGCAGCAGCATCATCATCAGAACATCGTCAGAGCAGGAGTCACAATGGAGAAGGGAGAGTTCGTTACCGGTGGCGTTGATTCCAGGGCCTTCAACTCGCACTTTACTTGCATCATGAGACGGAACGACGTCGATGCCGAAGGGACTGCCATGAACCTCCTGAGGAACAGAGCACAACGCAAAAAAAAAACATGTTCAACCCTGATAGAAATGGACAACTTTATCTGAGATATTGTTCTATTAGGTTTCATGGAGTGACTCAGAAGGCCAGACTCACGTGTTGGTCAATGTCCTGAATTTTGGCCAACATCTGCTAATGTCTCTGTCACCAACAATGGAATAACTTGCCAAGGTGATGTGTTTTGATCGTTTCTTTAAGATATCAATCTGGTTCCTTGTCGTGGTTTGTGATCTTTCAATGTCTAAATACGTCAGTGTTGGCAGAGTGTAATGTGTGCCTAGGCAGGTTCCCCTGAATATATATTTCCCCTTTGAAAAAGGTCCACAGGCAATGCATCATCCGGGCACCCACGAAAAAGTCCCCAGCGCCGAGACAACGCTACGCATTTATCCCTGGGATAGATTGGCGGTGCAGCAGTTCACGCACTGCATTGCAACCTGGTGAACCGAGTTAAATTACTGCTGCGGCGAACACCGGTGGCCAGTGATAGTTGAACCGCTTCTGGGACCCGCTCTTCACCAACCCTTCACTTAGCAGCATGGTGAATTGAGGTCATGCAAACGTCGCAGACAAAACGCAGCAGCGGGAGGCCTTCATCCAGCAGTGGATTGGCAAAGGGCTGTACATTACGATGATCACTTATTTATCACTGGCAATGGGAAGATCAGCGGCTGAGTCTGCGGTCTCAATTCCTGTGACCAATGCCCAGGCCATGGTGTCCCCGGCATTTGTGTGTGCGTGTGTGTGGTAATGGGGAGTGGTAGTGTGGCGGTTCGTGTACTGCGCTATGAGCTTGGAAGCCCGAGTTCGATTCCCGCTCATGGCCAACACCAGTGACGATTATCTGAACTGATCCGGCGCCACCCCTCGGTCGAGTCAGCATCAAATAAGTATCGGTGTGTAGTAAACATCGCCACTGGGGAGACAAAGGCGGTCGGGCGTGGTGCTGGCCACCCACCCCCCTCGTGTACCGTGCTGGCCTTCGCAGGTGCTCGCTAACAGCACTTGCCTCAACAGTCCGCTAAGGCTACACGGGGGATCTTTGTCTTTGTCTTGCATGTGTGCGGTAGCGACGAGCGCCGCACCTGCTCGCTGAAGAACACCATGATGGTGAATCTGCCGGCGCAGGGTGGCGTGTACTTGACGGTGAGCGTGTCGTTGTCGTTCTTGATGATGTCGAAGTGAACGTCGCTGTCGATGGGGCCCATCGCGCCGGCCGCGCACTTGATGCCCACGCTCACGTCCCCTGGCGGCACCACCACGGGCGACCTTGCGTTAGCGCTGACTTTTGTCGAGAAGCACTTCGACTCACGTGTACACACGGCCAAGGGCGATTGGGTGACGTGTGTAAATCCTCATGTTCCAGAAGTGTTAGAAAGATGACATTTGACGCAAATATAGACAAGTTCAGCCTTACAACTGGAATGTTGCAAACACCCCCATTTATGGTATTGGGACATCTCCATGAATAGTAGTCCCTTAAGTCATTGGTAGTGCCTTTAGTTACCGGAAGGATTACGTTAGTCCATAACAACGTTTAACAACAGTAAATATATTATTACACGTGCAATTTACCAGTAAACATGGAATGTTGGGCGAACGTTGAGCCAACGGTTCCAAGCACGTTCCACCGTTATAGCCCGATGCTGCACGCCTAATTGGCTGAGGCATGCATTGTGCTTAAATTTATGATGAAGATGACAATAATAATGCTGCTGCTGACGATGACGACGTTACTGCCGACAACAACGCTCACGACGACAACGCTATTGGGGATAAAAAACAAACGCAAAGACAATGACCATCACGCGTTCAATAACGATGACTACGAAGGCCATCCCCCCCATCCCAGTGAACGTGACCAACTTCGGCCCGACGTTCGCACGACGTTAACCTGACGTTCACCGGGGACTCCCCCCCCCCCCCCCCCCCCGCCGGCGACGCACGGCACTCACCCTGTCCGGCCTCGCCACAGTCAACGGTAAAGTAGGTGGGCTCGTGAGCCTTGACCTTGCCGGACTCCACGCCCGGGCCGTACACCCTCACTCGCTCCGGGTGGCACCCCTCCCCGACGGTCACCTGCGACAAGATGGCCGCTCGAGTCAACAGGGGAAGTGGTCATTCTGCAGAGAGATCTGGGCCATGCCGCGGGAATGTGGAATTTCCCGGCACGGAGTTCAGGGCCACGAAGCGAGGCAGGAGCAGAGCGGCACTCGTGCGGACTTTGAGTTGAAAAGGGATACTTGGACGTGCTTTGTGGATTGGTAATTACGCGGATTCTAGATAGCACGATAGACTTTATACACAATGAACCGTGTCTGGCCGTGAAAAACAATGAACATTATTATCTTTAAAAAAATAATCGTGCTTCCCCGAGGATAACTAAGCCTAAAATGCGTACAAAGTATCGTGGCATTGTCAATGTCAACATTTGGCAATCGCTCGTCTGTGGTACTGGCCCCACACGTTTCCACACGTGTTAATAATTGGAATACATCATCCCAAATACATGCATGCTAATAGCCCATGTTGAACTTGGTGTAATGTCTGGGCGAAAGGAGGCTCCCTGTCTGGCCCGCGAGGCTGTACCCGGAAGGGGCTGTCCGGGATGTTGACCCCCGCCCAGGTGACGATGATCGTGTGCTTGATGGGCTTCTCTGGGGTGTAGCAGCACTCGTAGATCCCACCGGGCCTCTCCGCCACCTGCACGGCCACCGGCTGTCCCTCCACGTCCTGCGGATCAAGTTCAAGTTCATGTATTAGGTGTAGCCCTGTGAGCCATTCGGCTCTTGAATCGGGTGCAACCGCAACAAACAAAAAACAAAAACATGAACAAAAAACATCAAACACCCCCCCCCCCCGCCCTTGCAGTCGGTACAATAAAAACGACGACGACGATGTCATTCGGTGTCATTAGCCGGGCGGCGGTGGCTGTGTACGTCAGTGATCCAGCACTGTGGAGGCGAATGCTGGCGGATGCTTCAAAGTTTGAGAGAAACTCCCTTCCCACAGGTGTCATGGAGGAGCCATTGCTTTGGCTGGCCAGGATAAGGCGGTACAGCAGAGTGCAGACTGATAGCATCTGGTGAAGCCAGTTGGAATTACTGGCGAAACGTCGTACTCAGATTGTAAATGCTGTGGCTTGGCTCTCCAACGCACCGGTGTTGCTGTACTAGTGACGAATTGGCACGTTCTGTTTACGTGACAAACCTTACTAATTGGCTGTGTCGGGTGGTGGCGGGTTTAACGACACATTTATATATTTACGCGATCTAACCCAAAAAAAACTTGTATTATGCATAATACCATCTGTGCCTTCTCTATGGGATAGAGTGTTTTCCCTTGCATGCATGGATTTTCTCTGGGTGTTAATGTTTCTTCCCACATGTATAAACACTAATTGGCTGAAAAAATATGAATATATCGAGAACTGCAGAACTTGGACAATTGTTGGCACTGGCTGACTGCCTGGCTGCCTTCCAACTTGTCTGTGATTCATAAACAATCGTGAGATGCGATTTGCATGATCGACGTTTCATAAAACCAAACATTATCATGATTGTATTCATCCAGGAAGGGTTCACACAGTCACAAGACTTTATTCAGCGGAGTGCCGCAATTAGGTGATCACCCAATTCCTTTTTAATCGGTGTTATTGCGAATTTGCGAAGCCATGAAAAATCACAGTGCCCAGAGAAAGTGCACGAATAAGAGTGGATAGCACTACAACTGCACAGATAAGAAATAAACTACATTCTCTATGGACCTAATGCACGGCTAGTTAAATAAGGACCACATCGTATTAAAAACATTTATATAAATTAGGAATTAACAAACACTGTGACCGAAATCTGCATTTTTATCGTATTCAATTACCAGGTTTGTAAGGACAAAACAATTACCCGCCGGCGAATGTACAACTCAGGAAAATACAAATCTCGAACGAAACCATTTTTATTATATTTCTACTCCCACGCGGCAGTGGAGGTGAGTTCACCTGCAGGTAGACTTTGAGGTTCCCTTTGCCCCCTGCTCGGGCATCGACGCTGAAGTGTGTGGGCGTGCTCACGAGGCTAAGAGTTGGCATCCAGCCCTGGGCCACTCGCCAACACCTGCACCAACGAACAAACGGAATCAACATGTTTATTTAGACCGGAGGAATCCGATGAGCTTTGAAGATATTTTTCACAGATGTCCAGTAGGGGCGGGTCAGAACGTAGCAACAACGAACAAAGTATAGGAGAAGTAAACAAATCACTTTAACAACATTTGCTTAATCTTGTTAACTTATTTTCACTGAGGTGTTAAATTATTTTCCAGAAGTGACGGAGCCACAAATTATAGCAGCTCACCATGTGGACATTTATAGCAGCAAAATTATATAAATGCATGTTCCTAAACGTGGAGGGGGAAGAAAAAATCCAGAGGACGCGGAGCAAAAAAATCCACGCGGCTGCCGCCAAGGCAGAAGAGGTGCTGAGAGGCGGCGGAACGAAACAACTTTTCAGGGCGGCAGGAGACCAGCAAGAGTGGGCTGACCAAGGGGGGTAGGGGGTGGGCAGTGGTGGTGCAGTCGAGATCGAGACAGGACACGGAAAGCCAGGCAGAGGACACACGCAGAGAGACGTGGCAAGAGACGAAGAGATAAAGCAGAAGGACAGACGATATGAAAGACAACGCAAGAAGATCCATGAGAGGTGTTTTGTTGGGTTAGATCGCGTAAATATAAATGTGTCGTTCAACACCGCCACCACCCGACACCGCCAATTAGTAAGGTTTGTCACGTAAAAAAAACGTGACAATTCGTTACTAGTACAGCACACCGGTGTATTGGAGATTAAACCTGCAACATTTACAAAGCCCGAAGGGTTTACTCTCCAACACACAAATGTATTGATACAGTCGCAAATTGGCATTTTTTGTTTATGTGACAAACCAAACTAATTGGCTGTGTGTTGGGTGGTGGCGGGTGCAACGACACATTTATATTTACGCGATTTAACCCAACAAACCTCTACTATGGATAATATTGGTTGCGAAAGCCGACGTGTTAAAATAATAAAGCAAGTGCTAAGATGTTCAAACACCAAACATATACCTTTTGCAAGGAATGAATTCTATTCTGGCTTATTCCAATGTGTTCAGGAAGAGACAGACATGGGGACAGGTACAAAGAGACGGAGAGCAACAGCCGGTCGGATATGGAGATCGGTACAGAGATACATGAAGAGAATCACTGCTCTGTCACTGACACTATTGCTACGCATTGTGCTTCGTGAAATAATTTCAAATTTTAGGGGCAGTGCCCAGGTTAAATAAAGCCGCGATATTAACCAGGGCGGCCGCCGGGCCTCGAACCGCGAACCTCCGCGACGAGCGGTGATCTAGCGCCACCGCTGCGAACGGCCAAGGTTGTTTTTAGTGTTTTTAAAGGGCTCGAGGCGCGCGAGGCGGGCCGGGAGTGGCGGTTTAGCGCTGGGGCGGTGACGAACCCTCTCGGGGAAGCAGTCCCTGCTGGCGGGCAGGATGTGCGCCATGAAGGGGCTCAGCGCGACGTCCTCCTCGTCGCACAGCACGTGCACCGCGTAGTCGCCGGGCTCCGTGGGGACGTAGCGCACGTCGCACGAGCCGTCGCCGCGGTCGTCGCACGCGATGCGCGCCTGCGACGGGCCCTCGATCGAGAAGCCTGCCACGAGAAGGAGAGGGGGAAGGAACGGGCCCTCCGCGGGTCAGCGTCCAGCGAGGTCGCTATTCGGCTGATTGATAGTGCAAGGGAGGGAACTGGACTGGTAATGATCATCATCGTGACATCATCGTAACCGCGCGCCTCCGATTAGCACGGTTGGCTAGGTATGGTGCGAAAGAAGTTCAACTACGTACAACAACAAATCGCTGACACCATTATCGTGCACATCCAACAATACATTGCTGGATGAGGGTGTTGCCAACACCGTGCGGATTGAGGTTGTTTGACCATGCTTTGGCTTGGCCGCACCGGTCAGTACAGTTCAATGATACTGGTATGAACGAAGTGAACCAGCCTACAATAGATTATATCGTCCGTCCATCCGTCCGATGCCCGATTAGGTGTAGCAACATCGCCCCCTACTGCAAACACTTGGCAGGATCCTACAAAAACCTTTAGACTCGGTGAGTCTTTCCTGGCTAAACAAGTGTAACATTCCCTTATAATTCCCTGAGATAGTTTTTAATTAAAACATTTAAATAAAAAATTAACTCACAGCGGCCTAAAGCCTATAGCTAGGCCTAAAGCCTAGAACTAGGCCTCAAACTCTCCCTTCGTATCGTACCCCCGCCATTTCATTTTATTATAGCCATTCATTTGTTCGTTCCTACCAGCCCACCCCGCAGGGACCTGTTATATTTTACTGCACTACCCTTTCCTGCTCACCACATAGCCCCACAGCCGTGAACAATCTGTGTTGCAAAGTGGTGGCCCATCCAAGCACGAGCCCGGCTCAAACCTGCTTAGCTTCTGGGATGTGGCCAGGTCGGGTGCATTCCAGGTGAATGTCCGTAGGCACCGTCATCCCTATCATCATCATCATCACTGTCATCATTATCACCACTCCCATCATCAACATTGTCATCATCTTTCGATTTAAAGCTTTCGTGACTGCAGGGATTCATCTTCTTGGTTCTTTTGGTGAAGTCACGTAGAAGGGAAATAATAAAATAATAAAAATAAAATAATAAAAATTAAACATGATAAAATATGTTTTATTTTATTATTTCCCTTCTACGTGACTTTACGGAAAGAACCCATCAACATCGTCATCATCGTCATCATCACTGTCATCATTATCACCACTCCCATCATCAACATCGTCATCATCGTCATCATCACTGTCATCATTATCACCACTCCCATCATCAACATCGTCATCATCGTCATCATCACTGTCATCATTATCACCACTCCCATCATCAACATCGTCATCATCGTCATCATCACTGTCATCATTATCACCACTCCCATCATCAACATCGTCATCATCGTCATCATCACTGTCATCATTATCACCACTCCCATCATCAACATCGTCATCATCGTCGTCACCGCACCCAGGGTGCCGACGTCGGTGCCGATGGCCTCCACCACGAAGTCTGCGGAGCGGCCGGCCATGCCGGTCTCCAGGCCGGGCCCCCACGCGCGCACCTTCTGCGGCCCGGCCTCGGCCGACACGAGCACCTCGAAGGGGCTGCAGCACCACGCACACACACACACGCAACGACACGACATACATACAGCACACCTGCACATCAGCCACGACTGTGTGTGTGAACGGAGTGTAGCGGTTAGGGCGCTGCGCAGCAAACCGAGCTGCCCGAGTTCGATTCCTGCTCACGGCCACCACCAGTGACAATTATCCTGGGTCACCCCTAGGTCGACTCAGCCTCAAATGAGTTACTGCTGTGGGAAACAAAAGCGGCCAGGTGTGGTGCTGGCCACCCACCCCCTCGTGTGCTGTGCCGGCCTTCATAGGTGCTCGCTAACAGCACTTGCCCCAACAGTCTGTTCAGGCTACAAGGGGGACCCTTACACAGTCCGTCTCATACACCGAAGACATTCACGGCAAACACGCGAGTGTGTCTATATCGGGTCCATCACATTCACATAACGTACATGCAAATGCAGCAACTGACATACGCGCGTGTGTGTGTGTGGGGAGCGGTAGTGTAGCGATTAGCGCTACACTGCGCTATGAACCTGGCGACCCGGGTTCGATTCCCGCTCACGGCCAACACCAGTGACGATTATCTGAACCGGTCCTGGGCATCCCCTAGGTCGACTCAGCCTGAAATGAGTACCTGGTGCGGTGTGTAAACATCGCCACTGGGGAGACAAAGGCGGTCGGGCGTGGTGCTGGCCACCCACCCCCTTGTGTACCGCTCCGGCCTTCATAGGTGCTCGCTAAAAGCACTTGCCCCCACAGTCTGTTAAGGCTATACGGGGGATCTTTGTCTTTGTTCGACAAGGCACTGCATCTCCCCGACGACACAGACTGCCGGGCGTCACGCATCGGAGCGCTGCGACAGGCGTGAGACTCGCGCACTCACCTGCGCGGGATGTGCTTCCCGCCCCACGTGATGGTGATGACATGGGGCCCCAAGGCGAGGGGTTTGTACTCGAACTCGTGGACGCCTTCCCCGACCTCCCGGTGCCTCATCGGCTCCTCCCCGCCTGGGATGCACGCGGACAGGACAGGATGGCACTCGCGACACCGGCTGACAGAGGATACGTGTATGTCCCCCCCCACCACCCCACCACCCCACGTCTGTTTCCCCAAAATTAAATGTTCATTCTCCCAAGGCACCGATTTTAGGGAATGTTTAGACACCATTATTGTTTGTTGTCATAAAGTGATATCAATTACTTACCTGTCAACCCGTACGGTTTGCAGGGAAATTGAGTAAAACAAATTAAGTGTTTTGTCTAATTGTGATGGGACTTTATAGGATGAGCGTTGAGATTTATAAAGGCACGGGGTGACCAATGAGGTCTGAATTGGTCTTTAATAATGTAGGGCACTGATAAGGGATTAACAGGTATGCAATTTGCCGACATAGCCATGCATTCTTAGACCCTAAATGTAGGCCCAATTTCCACAGTTATTTATGAAATAATCGCTCAGTTTGCTTTCAGTATAGTTTCACATTTGCATACCACTTGTTTGGGCCTAACATTGTCTGAACCAATGCGGCAGTAGCTTTTTCAACCACTTCCTCACGAACTTACCTCAGCAAAACCTCACCGTAAATCTGACGCTGAAATGTGTTCGCTGATAGGAACAAATATTAATTCCCTCAGGGGTCCAAGTAAGTAAGGGTGCAAAATTGTTTGGCAGTTTGAACATTTATCCTGTAGGGGACAAGTATTCATTTACAGACAACAAAATCTGGACGGCACCGAACCACATATTGCACTTTAATTGCGTTGTGTTAAATCTACGCTTTTGCTTTTAAATTTCATCAGCAATTATTTTTCCAATTGCGTTTGCGTAAGTCACATCATGCACGGTCTCCGAGCGGCGAGATGACCAGTGCTTGACAACTCAGGGGCATTTGGTTCCATCTCAGCGTGGATGTTATGGAGGTCTCCGAGGGCTTTCCTGGTCCCAGCGATCCGTGAGATTTTGCTGCGTGAGCGCGAGGTCACGAGAATTGCTTCAAATGCATCGATTATCATGCCAAATGAGCGAGAATCGAGAGTTCTGCATGGAGTGGGATAAATCAATTTTTGGAACTCTCCCCCCACCCTCCACACATCCCTTGTCAGTCGAGCAACATGTGACATCAGAGAATGGCACTGGAGGATGCCACAGAGCCACATTGGCGAGTCATTCCCGCACGGTTGACTCCGCACGACGCGAAAGAAGTTCCACATGGGTTACATCACAGTGACGCTCTCTTATTCACCAGGAGACAGAGCTCCTTCCAAGAAGGGCTCACCGTATATCATTCATCCCATCTGTTTATTCACTGCCCGGATTTTAACCGGTGGTGCTGCCCTAGCAATTTTGAAAAGGCGTGGTACTACCCCCATGAGCCACCCAGCAGCCACCATCCAAACAATGGTGAATGAGTTTGATAAGTGCTTCTCAAACCCCAGCCCACAGTTCATAAGTCCAGGTTCGCCGATCTTCAAAAAAATACCAAGTTATCGCACGCTGCGCGCGTCTGACTGAATGGTGTTGAAATCACCAGCAGCGGCATTGCAAAGGAGCGCACTCTCACCCTGGCTCCTGTGCCCACGTGAAGGTCACGTGTTCACTCGCGCAGCCAACGCGACACAATGCCCTTGCCGAATCAAATCCCATAATGAAATTGACGATGGCAGAACATAAAGGTCGATTTGGAATTCCTGCCGCACCTCCGCCAGTAGGGAAGCTCTGATTCAGCGGAGCTCGCGTTCTGCGGTGAGCGATCGATCGAGCGCGATGCGAGACGGGGGGCGTGGGGGGCCAAGTGGCTGGACTCACGAGGGACTCCTGAGCAACACGTTGAGCTCCCCGGAGCCGGCCTGCTTGGTGAGCACGCGGAAGCCGGCCGCGTCGCCCACGCGCACGCCCCTCGACTGCAGGCCCCGACCCGACGCTCTGCAGGCGCCCGGGTTGCACGCTGATGTGTGGGAGGGGGGGGGGGGCACGGGTGGTGGCGATGGTGGTGGTCGTGAGAGTGGTGTCGGTAGGAGTGGTAGCATTGGTAGTAATGTTGGTGGGATCAGTGGTGGTGGTGATTGTAATTGTGATGAGGATTGGATTTAAAAAGATTAATTGATGCACTCTCATTACCAGACATTGCTCATCACAATTACCATCAACAAACATTGCTAATAACTTGCAAATTCACCAATTGCCGGAAGCAGGATTAATAATGCAGAAATGCACTGGCAGTGAGAATGAACTTACAAATGCGCATGGTTTACACTCAATTATTTTTTGCACTAGGAATTAGAAACACATATATACAACCAGACCAAGACACACAGGAGACGAATGCACGTGACATAAAACGTCACGGACAGTAGGACTGAGCACTGAGAAGTTAGACCCAACCAAAGCGATGTCGATAAATACATACGAGCGTTGTACGCAGACAGTCTGAACCACACCAACTTACGCTGAACATTATTTGGTGATGCTGTTGCCGCGTTGACAGTGGCGCACGAGCACAATTATCAACAACAACAAAAAACTTAACACATTCGTCTATAACCCAGTGACTTTAAAAAATTTTTTTATGAAATCCACGAAGTTTTGGGAAATGGCCCTTCTCCATAGCACAGTTACGCTACGGTCAGACCCGTGAGCATGGGGCAGGGGGCTCGTGGGCCCGGGGCTCGTGGGCCCGGGGTTCGACGCACCCTCGCCGATGTTCACCGAGAAGGGGCTGTGCGGCACGGCCGCGCCCGCGTAGCCCACGGACACGACGTGGGCGCCGGGCAGCAGGGGCCGGTACGTGCAGCGCAGCACCGCGTCGCGCCGCTGCTCCAGCGTCATCTCGACGGCGTCGCGACGGCCCCGCGGGTCCAGCACGACCACCGCCACGTCGCCCACTCCGGCGCCTGCGTCGTCGCCACACGGCACCACGGTGGCGAGATGTTAACTCCCTCGCTTGGTATGCAGGAGATCGTGGGTTCGATACCGACCCTGACGCCTGCTGCTGTATATTTGGAGTTTGCGTTTGTCTCTCTCTCTCATCATCATCACGGTGGCTATGAGATGTTAACTACCTCGCCTGGTATACAGGAGGTCGTGGGTTCAATCCCGACCCTGACGTCTGTTGTATATTTGGAGTTTGCGTTTGTCTCTCTCTCTCTCTCATCATCATCATCACGGTAGCTAGGAGATGTTAACTCCCTCGCTTGGTATGCAGGAGGTCGTGGGTTCGATACCAGACCCTGACGCCTGTTGTATATTTGCAGTTTGCGATTGTCTCTCTCTCTCATCATCATCACGGTGGCTATGAGATGTTAACTACCTCGCTTGGTATGCAGGAGGTCGTGGGTTCGATCCCGACCCCTGACGTCTGTTGTATATTTGGAGTTTGTGTTTGTCTCTCTCTCTCTCATCATCATCATCACGGTAGCTAGGAGATGTTCAACTCCCTCGCCTGGTATGCAGGAGGTCGTGGGTTCGATCCCGACCCTGACGTCTGTTGTATATTTGGAGTTTGCGTTTGTCCTCTCTCTCTCATCATCATCATCACGGTAGCTAGGAGATGTTAACTCCCTCGCCTGGTATGCAGGAGGTCGTGGGTTCGATCCCGACCCTGACGTCTGCTGTATATTTGGAGTTTGCGTTTGTCTTTCTCTCTCATCATCATCACGGTGGCTAGGAGATGTTAACTCCCTCGCCTGGTATGCAGGAGGTCGTGGGTTCGATCCCGACCCTGACGCCTGCTGCTGTATATTTCGAGTTTGTTTGTCTCTCTCCCCGCGGTTGCATGGATTTTTCTCCGGGTCCTAAGCTTTTCCCCTCCCCATTTAGAAACATTCATATAGAGTATTTGGCTGCTATAAATTTCCACGTGATAAGTCACTTTGTTGAGCTATCATTTGCGGCCAGGTCTTACCTGGTAAAATAAAAAATAAAAATGTGTTTAGTTTAATTTACCCCACGGGGCCAGAGAGCTCTCCCTCACGCCGGAGCCGTGCCGCAGCGTATACCGACACCGTTCGGTTTGCCGACTGCCACCAGTGTACGTACTGCTGCGAGCAAGGTACCCAACCTGGCAGCGCATTTGTACTCATCGAGCAGTTGGAGGTAGCAGTGATGGACGCTGTAGCAATGGCCGCACAGCTTTAGGGGGCTTCACGCCTCCGTCATTGCACACTGAGCAAGCGTCGCAAAAATGGAAGATTCAAATCTAGAAAGACACCCGCGAATAAACTGGGCTCACAAGCACAGCGAGTTGACAGCCTAGGCCCCAGTCTCCAATGAGTGAACATTTAAAAAATCCATGATATTAAATGTGTTGTTTCACTTAATTCTGCTAATTCTACCTCTGAGAAGTTTAATATATTTTGTTTCGCTTGACACATGACAAACACTCCGTGTAGACCACCCCTGTATAAACGATGTGCCCATCATGTAGCTGAACAGGCCAATTGCGGAATAGAGTACTTCACGAGCTCTGGGTGGTGCACTGCTCACTGCTAAATATCTGAACGTAATTATTATTTTTTTGCAACGTGATTACGCGACGCAAAATCGGAATGTGACCGACACGAAAGAAGCCAAGTGAAAATAACAATCGTCACCGAACAAAATACACGAACAAACAATAAGCCCATTGCGTAATCGTCTAAGCCCACCCCTACACCAGCCCCCCCCCCCCCATACCGGCGGTGCAGATGTCGAAGTAGGTGGCCTTGCCGGCCACGTTGCCGCTCGGCTCCAGGCCGGGCCCACGGGCCGTCACCTTGCCGGCGTCCCCGTGGGGCGGCGCCACCAGCACGGGGAAGGGGCTGCGGTCGATGTGCTGCCCCGCGAACAGCACCGTCACCTGCCGGGGTCGGTGGGCCGGGCGAGACCGAAGAAGATGGAGAGCGCGACACACAGACACAGAGAGAGAGAGAGAGAGGCCGCGGATCACCCGGGGCCCCTGCCGTGCGGAAGTTCTCGCCGGTGGGGTAGCCAGGGCAGGGCGCACCTGCAGGGCTCACCCACCGGGTGTTTTTGTTGCTATGAGAGCGACAGCCATTATACGACAAACACAATAAGTTGGACAATATTAAAAAATGTAGCACTGGATAAAGCAAATTAAAAACAAACAAGTAACACGATTCATCTACTTGGTTCTTTCGGTAAAGTCACGTAGAAGGGAAATAATTAAATAATAAAAATAAAACATAATAAATATACAATTCTCACGACGTTTCGGCCACAACGCAAGCAGCCGTCCTCAGGTGAAGAACAGGTCTGTCGGAGAGACAGCGTCTGAATGAACACCGCCAAGCTTAGCAGCGTATATCTTCCCCCCCTAACCCAGCTTAAATATACTGCTGCCAAGCTTGGCGATTTTCATTCAGATGCTTGTCTTTCCGACAGACCTGTTCTTCACCCGAAGACGGCTGCTTGCGTTGTGGCCAAAACGTCGTGAGAATTGTATTATTTTATTATGTTTTATTTTTATTATTTTATTATCTCCCTTCTACGTGACTTTACCGAAAGAACCAAGAAGATGAATCCCTGCAGTCACGAAAGCTTTAAATCGAAAAGTAACACGATTTCACAAATGGTCAATGAGGTGATTACAGCGGTGGCGTGCATTGTGTGCTGTGCACAGTCTCGTTTGGGCAATTGATCCTTGTGGCTGATACCCCGGGGTACCAAATCATACAAAATGCCCGAGGCAATTAGATATTTTATTTCTGGGACACTATTTTTTTCAGCGGTGTTACTTACCTCCGTAATTGGGGCAACCAATCGATCCGAAATCAGTGCCACTCTGCGATGTCGAAACGGCAAACGTCAGCGCAAAAAAATCCGTGATCGAATAATTCAACTTTGAAGAGTGCATCGTGTGCAGCTCGTCGAGATGAGTCGATTGCCGCATCGGCGACCATCAATAGACTCAAAGTGACTGCATCACGGACATTACGCGAGAGCCCGGGGTATCGCCACGAAGTTCAATGAGGCAGGCAGGTGTGCTAGCCAGATTGGTCCAATGTAGCCGCTTGGATCAGTCAGTCCGGGTGTGAGCGGAAAGTGTCAACCCAACTATAAGCAGAGGATCATCAATTCTCCGGGTCAAGATGAAGTAACCACCACCTTGTCGAGCGTCCGCCGTGCTCGTCTTATTGGACAGACTCGCCGTAGAAGAATGTCACGTGCTGGCAGAGGCCCACGGATGGAGATTATGTATTTCATTCATTTAAAATTATTCCGTAATTTTTTTGTCGGAAAACATTAAAATTAAACGGCAGATATGATCACGTTCGAAAGACATTTTGCAAAACAGACGGTACGATTACCGTGGACCTCATATCGTACGATATACGTTCGTATCGCTACAATCCTGAAACAAATAACGGGGTGGGGGTGGGGGGTGGGGGGTGGGGGCTGCCCCGTGGTCGTGGTGATCCCAAGGAGCCCTGTGCTGCTTCTGATGTGAGAGAGGCCGCGAGAGCAGCGGCAGCAGCAGCAGCATCATCAGCAGCAGCATCAGCAGCATCAGCGGCATCAGCAGCAGGAGCATCAGCGGCATCAGCATCAGCAGCATCAGCGGCATCAGCAGCAGGAGCATCAGCATCATCAGCAGCAGCATCATCAGCAGCAGCATCAGCGGCATCAGCAGCGGCATCAGCGGCATCAGCAGCATCAGCGGCAGCATCATCAGCAGCAGCATCAGCGGCATCAGCAGCAGCATCAGCGGCATCAGCAGCAGCATCAGCGGCAGCATCAGCGGCATCAGCGGCAGCATCAGCATCAGCGGCATCAGCGGCAGCGGCATCAGCGGCAGCATCAGCGGCAGCATCAGCGGCAGCATCATCAGCAGCAGCATCAGCGGCTTGCCTTGTGTGGCCCCGCCACGCGGGGGCGGTAGACCGCCGCAAAGGAGCGCTGCTTGTCGTGCATGGGAGTCACCCGCGCCTGCTCCGCATCACACACACACACAGCCCCGGTCAGTCAGCGCCACCAGCAGCAGTGGTCACATCGTCAGCAGCAGAAGCAGTAGTCACATCATTAGTAGCAGTAGCAGTAGTCACATCATCAGTAGCAGTAATCACATCGTCAGCAGCAGAAGCAGTAGTCACATCATTAGTAGCAGTAGCAGTAGTCACATCATCAGTAGCAGAAGCAGTAGTCACATCGTCAGCAGCAGAAGCAGTAGTCACATCATTAGTAGCAGTAGCAGTAGTCACATCATCAGTAGCAGAAGCAGTGGTCACATCGTCAGCAGCAGAAGCAGTAGTCACATCATTAGTAGCAGTAGCAGTAGTCACATCATCAGTAGCAGAAGCAGTAGTCACATCGTCAGCAGCAGAAGCAGTAGTCACATCATCAGTAGCAGTAGCAGTAGTCACATCATCAGTAGCAGAAGCAGTAATCACATCGTCAGCAGCAGAAGCAGTAGTCACATCGTCAGCAGCAGAAGCAGTAGTCACATCATTAGTAGCAGAAGCAGTGTTCACATCATCAGTAGCAGAAGCAGTAGTCACATCATCAGTAGCAGTAGCAGTAGTCACATCATCAGTAGCAGTAGTCACAGCATCAGTAGCAGAAGCAGTAGTCACAACATCAGTAGCAGAAGCAGTAATCACATCATCAGTAGCAGAAGCAGTAGTCACATCATCAGTAGCAGAAGCAGTAGTCACATCGTCAGCAGCAGAAGCAGTAGTCACATCATCAGTAGCAGTAGCAGTAGTCACATCATCAGTAGCAGAAGCAGTAATCACATCGTCAGCAGCAGAAGCAGTGGTCACATCGTCAGCAGCAGAAGCAGTAGTCACATCATTAGTAGCAGTAGCAGTAGTCACATCATCAGTAGCAGAAGCAGTAGTCACATCGTCAGCAGCAGAAGCAGTAGTCACATCATCAGTAGCAGTAGCAGTAGTCACATCATCAGTAGCAGTAGCAGTAATCACATCGTCAGCAGCAGAAGCAGTAGTCACATCGTCAGCAGCAGAAGCAGTAATCACATCATCAGTAGCAGAAGCAGTAGTCACATCGTCAGCAGCAGAAGCAGTAGTCACATCATTAGTAGCAGAAGCAGTAGTCACATCATCAGTAGCAGAAGCAGTGTTCACATCATCAGTAGCAGAAGCAGTAGTCACATCATCAGTAGCAGTAGCAGTAGTCACATCATCAGTAGCAGTAGTCACAGCATCAGTAGCAGTAGCAGTAGTCACATCCTCAGTAGCAGTAATCACATCATCAGTAGCAGAAGCAGTAGTCACATCATCAGTAGCAGAAGCAGTAGTCACATCATCAGTAGCAGAAGCAGTAGTCACATCATCAGTAGCAGAAGCAGTAGTCACATCATCAGTAGCAGTAGCAGTAGTCACATCATCAGTAGCAGAAGCAGTGGTCACATCATCAGTAGCAGAAGCAGTAGTCACATCATCAGTAGCAGAAGCAGTAGTCACATCATCAGTAGCAGTAGTCACATCATCAGTAGCAGAAGCAGTAGTCACATCATCAGTAGCAGTAGCAGTAGTCACATCATCAGTAGCAGAAGCAGTAGTCACAGCATCAGTAGCAGAAGCAGTAGTCACATCATCAGTAGCAGAAGCAGTAGTCACATCATCAGTAGCAGTAGCAGTAGTCACATCATCAGTAGCAGAAGCAGTAGTCACATCATCAGTAGCAGAAGCAGTAGTCACATCATCAGTAGCAGAAGCAGTAGTCACAGCATCAATAGCAGTAGTCACAGCATCAGTAGCAGAAGCAGTTGTCACAGCATCAGTAGCAGTAGTCACAGCATCAGTGGGGAGCGGTAGTGTCGTGGTTAGTGCGCTGTACTCTGAGCCCTGCGACCCGAGTTCTATTCCTGCTCACGGCCAACACCGTTGAGGATTATCTGAACCATTCCTGGGCCTCCCCTAGGTGGACTCAAACGAATACCTGGTGCGGTGTGTAAACATCGCCACTGGGGAGACAAAGGCGGCCGGGCGTGGTGCTGGTCACCCACCCCCTCGTGTGCCGTGCCAGCCTCCATAGGTTCTCGCTAACAGCACTTGCCTCAAAAGCCAGTTAAGGCTATATGGGGGATCTTTGTCTTTTCATTATTCGTGCATCTGCATTTGTGAGTGTGAACGTGTCTTTGCATCTGCGCGTATCGAGTATTTGGCCTTCATAGGTCCTGGCTAACAGTACTGGCCACACAAGTCTGTAAAGGCTATAACTGGGGGATATTTGGCTTTGTAGAGCATTCATTATCTGCGTGTGCATCTGCGCGTGTGCATCTGTGCGCGCGTGCATCTGTTTGCGAGCACCTCTTCTTTATGTCCCTCGGGGTCCTCCACGAACACCAGCACCTCCCCGAGGCCGGCATTCTCCGTCTCCACGACGAACTCGGCCGCGCGCTCAACCGAGTTGCCGACGGCCTCCACACCTGAGTTTGAGCGTATTTTTTTTTTAAACAAATCCGGTGGAAAACGTAAATGAATACGGCGGGTTGTTTGAGACGGTCACGAGTGCCCGGGCCCGAGACTGTCAACTCGCGACGCTTGAAAACTCAGTTCAATCTCGGGCGAAGCTCAAAACCAGATTCGAACTCAAGATGTCACAAGAACAAAAAAAACATTCACCCGAGCGCGTCGCTCCGATTTCAATCACGGTGTTGGCGGTACACGGTGCGAGGAACTAGCGTCGGTGAAATGTCAGGTGGCCCTCATTTGCCTCATTCAGGTGCAGTATAGGAATGACCCCTCAGCCCTTCACATCATCCACTTCCCTTCACACAGCACGAGTTGTTTGTTCAGCTGGCGCTGGGTTTTTCTGTTCACCACGGCGATCAAGCCGATCAACATGGTGAAGCTTTTGGACGCCGAATGTCCCCATTGGACGACCACATCAGTGCCCTCGGGAAGCCGACGTCCAGACATTGGGTGTTGTTTACCTCTTCCGCCTGGTTATACGGGAGGTCGTGGGTTCGATCCTGACCCTGATGCCTCTATATTTGGAGTTTGCCTGTTCTCCCCATAGCCTCGTGGGTTTTTTCTCCCGATCTACCAGTCTTTCCCTTCATATTAAGAAACATGCATTTTGCTGCTAGAAATGTCCACATGATAACCACGATTTAATTCCTTACGGCCAATTTTGTTCCCCCAAAAGAATTAAGATAAACTTTGAATTTTTCCAGGTAAGTCCCACTGAGCTATTTAGCTATTTTCAGAAGCAATCTGGCCACAAATCATAGCCTAACGAAGCGGCTCATCACGTGGAAACGTATAAGAGCCAAAACCTCTAAGCGCATGTTGTGGAGGTAAAAACCGGAGGACCCGGAGAAAAATCCATGCGACCACGGGGAGAGAGAGAGACGTGCAATCTGCAAATATACAGGCATCGGGGTCGGGATCGAACCCACGTGTACCAAGCGTACAGCTCAGTAGAGCAGCTTAGGTCGAGCAGGGGAGAAACGATAGCCCAAGAGCACTCTGCCTCGTGCGAATTGTGCCTTGGGGCTGAGCCCCGGGGCGATTTCGTTCCATCACGCACTCCGTCAGCGGTCGCGAGCCGTACCGGGGCCGAAGGCGCGCGCGTTCTTGGGGTTGAGTTTGGGGCGGAGCGGAGCGCCGGGCTTGAGCTTGGCCTTGGGGAACTGCGAGAGGTAGGTCATCACCGAGTGCTCGTCCACATTGGGGTCGACGATCTCCTCCGGCGCGATTACCTGTGGATTGCGCACACACGACACGCGCGAATGTATGTACGTGTGTTGAACTTCTTTCGCGCCGTACGTAGCCAACTGTGATAATCGGAGGCGCGAAAGCTAAACGATCTACCCGTGTAGACGAATAGGCTGTGCCGCAGCTTTGTGCACAGTCATCAAATCCATGACAGACATGGCCTCTTAGATACGCTTACTGTGCAACTCAGTGACGAGGCAAGCAGCCAGTCCATTATTAAATCATTACTGGAATTTCAACTAGATTAGTCTGTCTTTGATATAGCTTAGTATAGCCACTCCGGTCCAATCTTGAAAAAAAAAATTATTATAATAAATTTTATATCACGTCGTTCATGCAAATTACATCTCACAATCGCTGAGGAACCACAAACGAGCCAGATGGTGAGCCAGCACCAACAAATACTCTGCAGTTCTCTATAAGGATATCTTCAGCCAATTAGTATGTGTACATGTGGGAGGAAACTGGACCACCCGAAGTCAACCCATGGATGCGAGGGGGCAACACTCGATCCCAGACACAAAGGACAGATGCTATTGGGCCACACGCTGCCCCTCAATGGCCACAGGAAGGGAGTCTCCCAGAGTGTTGTCATTTGTATGACCCACCAACCCTCGCTCCACAGTGCTGGATTACATGCGTGCATAGCCACCACCGCCCAGGTGGTTCACATTTGTGGTTGACGGTCCTGTCAAGGTGAGTCCGTGCCACCTCTCGCCTGTACCTGAGCCACTCCCAGCCAGTCCTCTGCTTGCTGCATGGCCTCCCGGGCATTGTCGACGGGCTGATGCACGTCCCAGATCTCCCAGTCAGGACACAGACCTGCACGGCACGCGCAGAGTCATGCCCATCTTTGTAGCAGGCTTTAAAGTGAATTCAATGCGCATGCCCTGTCTTTACATGCCTCTAACCGAGTCACCCCGAGTGCACCCGATCTCGTCGGATCTACGAGACTGAGCAGAGGTGAGCCTGGACAGTGTTTGGATGGGCAACCACCGTGTAAAATCGGTTGCTATAGCCTGGGTGGGCAGCAGGGGGAGCGTGCATCAGAACCCACAGCTGTCCTGTTCGGTCTTTGTTCCCACATCGATGTTCCTTGCCGTCACTCGCCCGCACTGACCACAGCGTGGTGAAGTATTATCGTGAAACAAGCCGTCACGAAGCACGCAGACCCTGGGAGGAGGTCCTCCTCGCCCCGACAGTGGACTGCCAAAAGGGCCGCTGCACGTACACGAACCAAAACTCTCCCCGCGCCTTCGTCCGAAAAAACGAGACGGGTGGTGTTGGGGGTAAGGGGGGCATCTCACCCGGTGCGCAGCTGTCCACCAGCGCCCCGAGTGCCCGGCCGTCCTTCCAGTCCTGGCTGAAGTTGCTGATGGGCAGGTCGGGCAGCTTGTGCTGTATCCAGCCGAGCAGCCTCTGCTTGGGCGTCTGCTTCTTAGCCTCGTCCTCCTCCTCGTCCTCCCACACGGGCATGGAGATGGAGTAGTGCAGGATGAGCGTCCACACCAGCCCGAGGATCAGTTTGAGGTTTCCGTCGACGATTGCCTTGCTGTCTGCGAGGGTTTGTGCGGCAAGTTGCGTCACCAGCAATCGGTTAACGAGGGCCATTAACCTATTAAGCATCACCGGTCTTAACATATCAGTGTCCTGGATGTAACCAGATGTAAACAGATGTGAACCCACTGAGACACGCACGAATGCAACATTAATTATTTTTAGGCTACGTGGACAAATCCCATCCAGAGGATATTGCACAGGGGAAGCGATTGGGGCATTATCTTGCTTATGGGCCTCCACTAGAGCAATCCTGCCCAACTTGCGCTACATGCCTCATAGCAGTGAGCGGGGACAACCAGAGTGAACTGCGGTGGAAGCAAGCCATGTCCGTCGGTTAAAACCTTCACGTCAGGGAAAATTACCACTCAGGGAAAATTGCCTCGTTTGCAAGGCACCCCTTGGCTTGACAATCCAGCAGCAAAGCCAACATCAAGAAAGGGTCGGCTTCAATTTTGGCCATTCAGCATTGAGAATATCTAGGGAAAGAAAAATAACTTTCAGACTTGCCATCTCTACCATGCATAATGCAATCAGAACCAAATGTTTACATTGGTACAGGGAACGAATGCAAATAAAGCGTGCAATGGGTGCAAGCGCTCAGCTTAACTCACGTTACATCGCGGCAACAGCCACCAATAATATGCAAGCAATGTGGATATAATATTGGAGCTTTAGTCCCACGCTTTATGGCACTGATGTAACTCGCCAACCTTTGCTATTTTCTGTGAGGAATCCCATCAGGAACCACATTTGATTTAAACAAACACACGGGTATATGTATTTATTTGCAAATTTTTACATGTGACAATTATTAATCGTGTTTTTCATTGTGATATCCAGGCACGCATCGTGCTCCACTTCGTTTCAATGCGTTCGTGTGTTTTTGCTGGACGATGCTTGCAAAGCGATTCGGGGATCTATGAAATGAAAACCTCCTGTCTAAGCGACTACAACTCGCTGTGTGGCAGCGCGAAAGTTGGCCAGGCAATGTGGCCTCACACTCAACCAGAACTAAGCTGCCTGTGTGGCTTCAGCCGCTGGAAGAACTTCCCACGATATAAAAGTCGTGTTTTACATACCACAAATGGGACTTTGTTCCCACAAAATGTGAGTGCCTGACAGAAGCAATGGGGCACCACTCTTGTACACCGCGGCTTGCGAAACAGCGTCCATTGACCTTCCAAGAAGTGATAATTAATCTAATATAAAGGAACATTATAATAGTGCTGTTGTGTACGGAATGTTGTGTACTGTGGGCAGTTAACTTGGGGAGTTTCTGTCAGAGCTACGGTATTTCTTGTGTGCTTAACGTGATGATGCACACGCACTGGTTGACTGAGTGAGAACATAAGAACAATTATTACATTCATAAGTATTTTTTTTGAGTAGGCCTAAATATCCTCTGGAGGGATTCTCTAGAACTCTCGCTACAGGGAGCTCTGGATTTTAAATCCAGATGTCGCTCCCTTGAGCGGAGGCCCTTCTACGAGCAGTGACATGAGCAAGAAATTACAGGACAGCACCTTAACCTATGATAAAATATTTCCATCGTTGAAGCATGTTCCCGATAAGATCCATATTATGAACGATGCAATGAACGGCATGTGGGTTTACACCAGGCAGACAATAAATTAATAAGCCATTATTAGTAACACGTGCAGACCACGGCCGTTTTATCGGCAGCAATGATCTACGGAACATCTGCAGGTCCACAAGATCTAAGGACTTTTATTGTGTGCTTAATTTCATTGGCATTTCATTGCGAATTCCAGGGATTTTTTTTGTATGGCTATTTTAATTAAAGGGTTGATATGAGCCAAGCACCCGCTGGTTTCATATTTCAAAACGATAAATCCATCAAATGATAATTTCTGAAGAGATGAGGGTTTGTTTGCAGGTCACTGCATGCGCTCACTAAAGCTTGATGCCCTCTCTCAAAATTAAGTCACAATGTCTCCCTGCTCAAACGAACAATTGGAAAGTGCTCTGCTCCAATGGTGGTTCCGAGCCGGTGCTGGAAATTACACATTCCGATGGCAGGCCTCAGTTTCTTCATAGAATGACCACTATCAACCTTCCCAGAAAGTGGTACTAATTTTACAAACCGCGAAGAAATCTTTTTTGAGCAGAGACTACCAAACTGTAATCTCGCGGGCCTTAAAATTGTGAGCCAAGTCTCAATCAACAAAAATTTAAAGTACAATTTGTCTTTAAAAAAAAAGTATAAAACGCGTACCGTTTGCTCTAAAGCACTTCACTGCATTAGAGGGCGTTTCAAGCATACTCCACGACATTAACGCATACATTATTAAAATCACTGTCATCCGCGCGAGTGCAAGTTTATTAAACGTGGCGTGTGTCTGTACATGCGCGTGCAAGTAGCATCGTTAAAGGCAGTGAGAGCACATCGGAAGGAATAGTCCGTCCAATGCGGTGGGGCGTATGCAGTCACCAAGCCCCCCCTATGTTCCAGTTGCTTTTCGGTTCTTCCCCCTCCCCACCACATCCGCTGCCTCCTATCCAGTGCCGTATTAAGCTACTGCGGGGCCTGTAGCATAAGTTATAAAGGGGCCCTACATTTTAAAATATACATAAATACAAATGTTTTACTTGCACAGTAAAGTAATTGTATTTTTATATTTTTACACAGCCAGATAATACTACAAATCGCTAACCTTAAACACCCAGTCGTTCATAAAAGTTGAAGGCAGTATAGTACTATAGTGATAGAGCAAGTGCAGAATCACTGAACCGAAATTGATAGCTTGAAAGTATTTTAAGCATTTTGCGCAGGGCGCTTGAAAGTGCGGGGCCCGCAACTACATATGCAGCAGCTACTTTTGCTACTAGGAGAAGTCGGCACTGCTTCTTCCCCCCCCAAAACGTTTCCCACGCTCATCCCACGGCCTCATTACGATTTACGGCACGCTCGGTCTAAGTCCGTTTCGCCACCAGTGTGGTGTCGAGTCGCGCGCCGTGTGCCGTTCTGCTGTGAGCCCGTCTCATTACGGTGACAGAGTGTGGGCTCAGTGAGCCTCGGGCATTTCCACTGCGCATATTAAATCCCAACTACGAGTGTGCGGTTAATGCCTTAGCAGAGGGGAACAAATCCTGTGGAATGCACAGCCCCTCGGCTTCAGCACTCGCCAGTTCAAACCATCGCAAGAGGGATTGGTGGATAGCGCTGAATTGTGAAACTGCCTCCCTTGGTGGCGGACACAAGGTGGCCAGCAGATTGAAGTACAGGATGGCTTGAAATACAGGACATGGATTCTAGATTTGAAGCTTTCGTGACTGCAATGATTCATATCCTTCGGTTTTTTCGGTAAAGTCACGTAGATAAAAACACTAAAAAGTAAAATAAAATAAAAAATAAAAAATCACGACGTTTCGGAGGCGACGGAAGCTTGTGTTGCCTCCGAAACGTCGTGATTTTTTATTTTTTTTTATTTTATTTTACTTTTTAATGTTTTTACCTACGTGACTTTACCGAAAAAACCTAAGGATACAGGACATGGACTTTTGTGGGTGTGAACCCCTTTTGTACGCCAAGGCTTTTTCACGCGTCTCTAGTTTCATCCAACACACAAAAACATTCCTTGTACATTGTAGACATTGGTCAAACATCGAATGCAGGACCTTCCTCAATAAAGTCTGGAGACTTGCCCAGATTAATACATGACATCAGTATGATTACTAACACATTATTGGTGAGTAAACCCTGGTCAGTTTGAGACTGAGTGACGCTGCCTATTGTGAAAACCACTGAATAAATGGTTCAATGAAGCGGCAGTCAAGTTTACTTAACGTGTCGATGAAACTGCGAGTCGCAGTTTGTGAGATCAGGCCAGGGTGTAGCTGTCACTGGAAACAATGTCCACTGAAGCGTTCATGAAGCCAATTTAGTATTATAATCAAAGCTGGCCTGCCTTGTAACTGAACTGCACACGTCTCGATAGGGTGCGGCTGTCTCATACGAACACGGAAACAGCACGCACACAAATCGGTGAAGATCGGTGAAGATGCACGTGTGCAGTTTACATCGGGACATGTCGAATGAATGTGGAGCAAGTGGCGCAGTTATTGGTGCACGGTGCTTTCTCTCCAGTCCGCCGAGTTTGATTCCCAGCCATGGCTACGGTCAGTGGCGAGTGATGTCTGGATCAATCTCGCTGCCCCCTCCACTCCTCTCTTAATCCACTGACCAGCGAAGTGAAGAACGGCCAAACATCCCCCATCAATGACGTTGTGTTGCAACGCCTTCTTCCAGCAGTGGGCTGACAAAAGGTTGTAAGTTATTATTGTTATCATAACATTCATGTGTTTATGTATGTTTAGTGACATCGCGGATGAGAGAGGCTCGGTGAGCGCTGACTGACAGCGCTGAGTGGCACCACGCTCTGCGTGCAGTGCCGACCCCTACAGGGTAGAGTATGAGAGTGCCAGCCACGGGAATGGGGTTGCTATAGGCCGTGGAACTCTGGTTGACCCCAGAGGACACGTGACGGGTTAAGTCTACACAGGAGCCCCAAGTGGGGGCTGGGGGTGGTCACGTGTGGTATTGTGTGTATGCACGATTCGTCAAGTGACTACATCCAATACATTTTGGCCAGCATGGAAGAGTAGGCAAAGCTACCTTGTGGAGGGGCTCTCTCTGGACGTTGGAGGAGACCCGAATGGCAGCCGTGGCGTGATCAACGTCCACTTCTACCTTTACATGTACACATAGGGGCCGTCCATAAATGACGTCACGCGATTTTGGACGATTTTTGACCCCCCCCCCCCTCGTCGCACGGCGTCACAAAAAGGGAGGGGGGGCCCTCAAATATGACGTCACAAAGCTCTGCCGCCCCCCCCCCCAAACCATATTTCCATTTTGAAAATAAAACATGCTTCAAATCGCTTTAAACTATTGCCATTGTAGTGCGTATTTAATGTGGCGCTGCACCTTGATGTTGTAGGAGAAAACATTTATTATAAAGTATTGTCTATATTT